TGTGGGATCCGAACGAAGCCTTGACAGCCCTGTGGTTATTCAACGACGACAAGCCTCTTGAACTTATTCGATATGGGCAGAGCGCCTTTTGCGGAGGAGTTTTGCTTTAATCGACATGGAGCCGATCAGAAAAATAAAGTCCAAGAGCAATTAGAAGCAGAAAAGGCATTGAAAGTGTAATGAGCACCGCCTCTACCAGGAATACAGAGAGGGGGAATTGGTGTTTCGTTGCAACTAATTACACTTTTAATTAAAATCAGAGGTGCAAATTAACAGGTTCTGCGAATTTTATTCGCTTCTCTTTATCTGCAGATTGGAATGAATAAAACCTGTGACTTTTTAACGAGACTGAACTTGCAAAAGGCAAATAAATTTATTGTGTTTAATTAAGATGAGATGTAAAATTGGAAGAAAAAAATTGGGAAAAAAAATAATTCTAGGAATAATTAACTTATTTATAACCTTCAACCATTTTGGCCATTCTTTCCAATATTCATAAAAGGATTATTTTGCAGAGATAAAATTACCCCGGCTAATTTAATAAGCGGATGCGTCACTTCTGGACCGGCTTTTTCGTTATAATTGATCAGGAAGTTGCTCTCTGCTCTCAGAAGACAAGCAAGGTTTCTTCGGTTGGTCGCGCGAATCGAACTTCCTATTGCACGTTTTGCATTGAATGGGCTTTTTGAATACAAAAAAAAGAGTAATTGCTGTTTGGCTCGATAGCAAGGTCCCTGTCAGGGCGTGGCTCGGCCCAAGAAAAACCGCACCTTCACCTTTGACTTTTGCAGCCAACGTCGATCGCCGGCCGCCCTGTCGAGTGTCCACTCGCTCCATAAAACACGACTCTGCTCTCTTTATGAGCAGGGAGTGGCAAATCCGCAAGCCAAGGTTATTCATTTATGCTCGAATGTTAAAATGGATTTGCGAATGCAGAGCACTTTTTTTATGACATAAAAGAGAAATTATTCGTAATAGGTGTCAATTGTGCGCCGAGCGAGTTAATTCCCACGAGATAAGAGCAGGCGGCGGCAGAGATAAAATTATATGTGGTTTCTCCGCTTTCTTCCAACATTCGATTCCACGCGACACCCACCGCAAAACCTCACTTTTTTCTTATTCTTCCTTTCTTTCTGCATCTATTCTCGCGGACAAGGTCGGAAATCGAACCAAATTTTTAATTTTAGACCTGAAGTTTTAATTTTAAAGAAATGTAGAAAATTAATCTTTAAACTTAAAAAGATTATTAAATTTTGTTGTTACTCTTAAAAGAAGTTCCAAAGAAAGGACTGTTACGTTCGAAAAGAAAGGGTCTCTTCTCACTCATCTCATTGATTGATATGCAAATGAGAGAGTGGATTTTCATCACTCGTCGGTTTTATTACTGAATGGACCCGAGTGCCGGTCATTGTCAGTTTTCTTTCTGATCGCGCGCATTGAACAAGCAACGTGCCCATGACCGGCTTAAAGTTTGTGCAAGCAAAAGTTAAAATGCACTTTGCTAATTGCCGTTATTTTTCGCTCGCTCGCGTGGCGAGCGACAAAGAGGCAAAAAATTAAACGACGCAATTTCACGCAATGACATAAAAAATTTACTTTTACTCTCGGCTCACGTGGGAATTTCGACCCGGTTTGTCTCCTCTTAACCTTTCAACAACAAAAACTTCCTCTTAATTTCCATTTAATCTTCATTCTTGAATAAATAAAAGTTCTTCCGCGACGCGATAGTATATTAATTAAGACGAAAGTTGTCCTTGCAACTTTTACTCTTCGTAAAAAAAAGCAAAAATTCTTTTGTTGTTAGCAATTTCGATTGAAGAAGAAATGGTCGAAGGTCGAGATGTTTTCCGACTTTCACCTGAAAAAAAAGCGAAACAATGGCGAAGCAAGGTCGAGAGCATTCGGCGCCGGACAAAAGACCAAACAATATTTGTTCTGAACATAAAGTGCACTCAGGTTGCGTAACGCATTTCAGATTTTCATCTCTTGGCAGCTCTAAGGAAAATATTTCACAATTCCCTTTTAAAAACAAAACTAGTACCGATTTGAGTTCATTTTGTGACCCAAATTCATCAACAACACCTCGTAAAAAGTTGTGTTAATTAGAAGTAAATTGCCGGCGTTAAAGTGTCCCCTACGCTCAAACGGAAACCGCTACTTTTCGTCGCCATAGGAACTCAGGCGTAAAAATTCAATTAGAAGCCTTTCTTCTTTATCCCGCGGACCAAGACAACTAAAGAACAAAAGCAAATAAAATGGCAAATTTATTTATAGAATTAAATCAGAGACCTTCCTCGTTGACCTTTGGCGAGATTATTTTGGGAGATTCTTACTAAAACAAAAAATTATTCATCTCACGACGTAAACTTCAACCTCGAATTTTCAAAAAGGAAACTGCACAAACTTAGAAAAAAATACGGCCTTTGATCGAAATTAGCCTCACAGAATTTGCAAATTTCAACCTTTGGCGTGTCGGTTTTCAGGAGAGGCCGTGCAAGTGCACAGCTTCCTGCGTGTGCACCGACCTTGCCCCTTTTCAGACGAAATTAACCGCGAGAGATGAGCTACTGCAAGTGAATAACCTCGATTCGCGCGCGGCGCTAGAAACCTCGTTCGTCTCACTTTTGCTCGGCAGCTGGACGAAAGAGAGAGAGAGAGAAAGAACCTTCGAAAGAGGAGGCGGCGTGGTTTCTTCGCATCGTCTCATCTTCGTTTCCAGCAGAGTGAGCATTAGGCAAATTACGATCGAATAAATAAACTCTCGGATTTCACGCGCGTTCAAATCTCCGCGGGGGACTCCAGAAGCACATAAATCACGCGTTTAGAAATTCATGACCCGGTCAACATTTGCATTAATTCCATTTTCTAAATGCTTCTCATTTAAAAACACCAAAAATAAAATAATAATTTTGAAAATAAAATAAAATTTGATGTTTGTTGAAATGTGTATAATTTATAAAAAAAGTTAAAATCTCAAATAAACTATCTCTTAAAATTTTAAAGGTTTTCCCATTCAAGTTAATTTGAAACAACCTTCTCTTTCCTTTTATTTTCTTTTCAAACAATGAAGTGCACGTGTTCCAAATTGTGGTTTTATAGGCGTCAAAGCGACACCTCCCGAGATTTTGTCACCTGACAAGTTTACGTACAAGTAGAAAAGATCGGTTTGAGCGATTCGGGGGTCGAAACAATAGGAAGTGCCGCGCTCTGTTAACCGCCGCGTTAGAGATAAAACACGTTTTTAGTGGCTCGTCATTCATTTAAGTGTTGCCGCGAGCCGGAATCAAATCGTGCAAGTGCGCGTGAAACGGCAGAAAATGGACCTGCAGAGAGAAAGAAAGAAAGAGAGAGAAAGCAAATTCATATGCACTTCTCCGAAGAAAGAGAGAGACCGGCGTATTGATTTTGTGCGATTGTTTCTTTAAAGCGAGTGTCACTCTCGTCAGGAGGGAAATTGAAATTGGCCTGGTTTGAACGAAAACCGCATTTGCATTTTGAACTGCAGACTTTCCCAGCAGCGATTGTTGACGCTGACCTGCCGCTTTGAGTTCCTCTTGTGATAATTTCTCGTTTGTAGACGTGTTATGTAAAAATTGATCTCGGCCCCGCAAGTGAAACGTGGTGAATTGGGGCAGTAAGGCACGTTCGATTTCGCCAAGGGCTGTAGGCCAAAACCAACAACGACCGGCCGGCCACTCGCGCCCGCCAACCTTGTATTCGCAACGCTTTTGCAACAAATTTTTTGGTCAGGGTTGCATTGCGGGAAGGAAAGAGTGGAAAAGTAACGGAAACTCCCGTGACTCAAAGGCAATCGAGATTTGAACTTTCTTTAAAGGAAACTGATGGAGTGCAGAAAACACAAACCGCAAGAGCAGAAAAAAAATATAGCAACCACTGGCATGAGAACTGGAACGAGCCAGAAAGGGAACGTTTTGGATAATTAAATAGATATTGCAGATATTGCTTATACTGATATAAAAATTTATCAGCACGTGTATCCAAGATGCAGATAAGAATTTATAATTTTTTTCCTATTTTGAAAATATTAATCTAAAGAAATTTAGCAAGATTAACGAATTAAAACAAAAAAATAGTACAGGTTATTAAATTTTTTTTTTAAATTTCCAGATTAGATATTTGAATCTTGGAAGCTAAATTTTGTCTATACCGGCTCATAAAAAAACTATGCCATGGTTTTTAGACAATTTGAAACTTTCAGCTCTTATTCTCAATCAAATCACGGGCGGACCGCGTGACAATTATTAGACTCGAATTTGCATTTAGGCCGCGATTAAGTTTTGTGTGTGACTTAATGCGGAGCAAATCAAGCGCGTGCAGAAAAAGCCTTTCACTCTCTTGTATTCTTTGAATTACATTACCAGAGTACAATCTGCATAGAGGCGCGCACGTGTGCAGCAGGTGCCTTTGAATAATATTTGTAATGAGGCGGCAGAGAAAAAAACCCCAAAAGAACTCCATATGGAGAATTACGCAATTTCAAACGCTGGAATTTTTAGAAGGATGTATTAATTAAAAAAGTTTTACTTTCGTCTCTCAATCGAGCAGAGGCGAGGAAACAACTTTTTCTGCGTTCAACTGGAGCGATCGGAGAACTGGGGCAAATAAAAATTGTGCGCCAGCCAACAACTTCAAATCGGCTCTTTCTCTTTCGTTCGAGAGACGTGTAAACGCGTGAGTTACAATTTGCACTTTCCATAATTCTGCAGATCACATAAATATATTAAAGAAGAGGTGTGTTTTGGGCAAACACTCTTGACCAAACTGCACTCATATGTTTGCTCTCTTCAAAGATCGAACAAATTCCTCTCGAGGCAAAAACAAACAAACGACTCTTTGTCAACCTGTCAAATTCGACGCCTTTCAATTGGGACACAATTTTCTGTTTGAATTGTTGGAAAAAAAATGATTGAAAAAGATTCATTAAAAATAAATGAAGAAAACTTTGTTCTTGATATTAAGGTGAATTTTTTTTTACTCACCGGCAGTAGCGAAGATGAGGGCGGCGAAAAGAGCGAATTTAGCCATGGCGGTTGTTGCGGGGGTGGCTGCTAGGTTGGACAGGGGTGCGCGTGGGCACCGGCCGCTGACACTCGCTGCTGTGCTGCTGCACCAAACGAACGCACCAACTGCAGCCGCTCTCCACGGCCAACTGAGTGGTTCGACTCAACTCTTTCCTCTCCTCGGTCTCAGACCTGCCCTTCTCTCGCGGAGTCGCGCGCGCCGAATCCCTCCGCAGCCACTCACTTTCCGACCTTGGCTCCTGCGCTGCCTCATTACATATTACGCCCAATGTTACACACGTTCCAATTCTGCACTTTTTCAACTCTTCCTGCACACTTCACGGAAAAAATTCAAGGCACTTTCCCGGCACTTCTGCCACTTTGTTTCAATTGAAAATAATTCCGGCTAATTCTACATGTTTGAATAATACTGCAAAAAAATTTGCATAAAATATAAAATTCCCATGAAACCTTTCTTAGCATTGAAAATCACTTAAGTGTTTGCGGTGAAAAATGCAGATAATTTTATTCATAAAAATTCTACCTAATAAAATTCAAAATCAAAACCCTCTCACAAAACTTCCTAATCCATTTACATCGTATCTATCTATCTATCTGTCTTATCATAATATTACTCTTTTGTACATTAGCATTCATGCGGATCACCAAAATTATAAATTTAAAATGCCAGCAAATAAATAAGCTATCATTTTCAAATATAGTCCAGCCAATGCTGCGGATGGGGTCTTTTTGATCTCTAAATTTTGGCAAAATCTTTGCTAGTGGATGTTGGTGGTGCCATTTTGTCTAAAAATTTTCCTTTCTTTCCAACAATAAATTATTTTTCAATAATTAAAAAATTGAGTGCATACATTTATGTTACAAATTTAAAAATTATAAAAATAACATTAGAAATTATAAATAAATAGCGTTGATTAGTAATAAAATTTCCCTACCTCTTTAAACAAGAAACAATACATGATGTGGTTCTACTTTTTGAGTATTTTTTTTTTATATACAAAATATCATGATGAAAAAATCTCTTATTTAAATTTTGGGATTTTCAATTGTTGAATAAATTTTCGTCCATTACTTAGAAACACCCTTTCTCTCTTTGAGTAGATGGTCTCACGCGATAATTGGAGGTGTATTTTTATTCCTCATTATTATTGTTTTATCTTCAGCCAAGAATCTGTTTGATTGACCCGGGCACGGCGCGAGCATATTACATTTACACTCTGCTCCATTATCGGCATGCAAATCGCAAACTAATCGCAGCACTCGATCTTGCAGTGAACGTTTCATTTTTTCTTCTCTCCACTTTTGTTCGAGGCTGTGATAATTAAGTATAAACGTTTATTATTTGCTGTGCTCTAGCTGCCTGCAGGGGCACGCCGAGAAGCAATTCGATCCAAATTATTGCACACACACGGTTAATAATGCAATTTTCCTTTCGCGGCTGCACGACCGATAATCGCGAAAAATAAGATTTCATATATGTATTATTGTATTCGCGCGAAAGGAAACGCCCGCATACTGCACATTATTCAACTCGTGGTCGCGGGTGAAATAAAAAAAAACCTTGCAGATTATTGGTTGCAAAATTACTGACCAATTTTATTTACAGTCCAACAGCTGGCATCCCTTTTTTATGGTCTTGATACAGTCATCTAATTAATTAAAAGAATGGACTAATTTTGAACCAGGATGTTGATTTGCTCACTGCCCTTTGATTAAGTGGAAATTGTAATGCTCACTTGAAGTTGAGCAAAAGTTTGTGCGTGTGAAATGCAAAGAGGATGAATGCGTCTGTCTTAGGACGCCTTGATCGTGGCAGCGGCAAATTTATTTTATTGCAGCAACGCACAGACGAAGGCTGCGGGAAGGTGAAATACCAAAGAAAAACTCATCACGGCGCCAAACAGCAAAATTCCCTGCAGCTACTTTTTCTTACTCTGCACCGCGGCTATTCACTCGCTGAAGATTTCAATCTTTGGGAATTTTGCCTCACGTTCCTTTTTACAGTTACAATACTTGTTATTACTTATTCACTTCATGCCGTTATACGATTTGCCAGATTTTATTATTTAAACAAAACTGAAGTGATTTGAAGTAACTAAAATTTGAACCAATTTAATGATTATCATTATTACAAATACGAAGTTCGTTTCAAATGAAGTTTATTAATATACGGAGAGTGACGGAGAGAAAAATTAAAAAAAACATACTGGGATAGAATTTAAAAGTTTGCGACAAAAATAAAATAAATATGAATTTTTATCGGTGATGCTTCTTGATTTAATTAAATTAATTCAGTAGATAAACTTGAAATTTTACAGTAAATAATATTAATAGTCCATTTAATTATATTTAAAACATTTAAAACATCAAAATCATTCAATTTTGGTAAATTTTAATGTAATTTTGTGTACAAGGAACTCAAAATCTTGAATTGTTTGGTCCTGTATTGATGTAATAATGATTCAGTTTCAATTAGAGATTCTAATTAAACTAAATTAATTCAAAGTTGTCAACCTGTTCTAAAAATGTTTGATTACATAAGACAAATTGAATGTGTATTGTATTATGTATTGAATAAATGATTCTTTTCGCCGATAGAGATCAAGCTGAGCGAGCGCGTATTGTACTTTTGTGGAGCAGAAGAAAGCGGCCGGCGAAAAAGGGGCCTGGGGGCGTGGGTGGACCCTTTCGCAGCCCTGACCCCCGACCAGACCTTTGGCAAATCAGAAAGAAAGAAATGCAGCAGCTCTCGTTTCATCACGTTTTTCTCTTAGCCGCGACAGAGCAAGGTCGCTTCGCTTTTCTTGACCAAACAAAAAGATCTGAAAAGTGGTGCAATTCTCTCTCTCTCTCACCTCAACCTTGGGGTGAAAACACGCGGCACGATCGCACACACACTTCATGCAACCCACCCGCACGTCGTCTCGCGGAAAATCAAATGAAAATCTGCGTGAGTCGTCCATATATAGATAGAATGTAATCCTGTATTGGCGTTGAAAGAAAACACTTCAGCACTCGATTGAAATTACAAACCATCAATCAGAATCTTTTAATCATAATTTTATGCATTTTATTGTTAGTTACACTTCACAGTCGATACAAAAATTTTAAAATAGATTTTTTTTAATTTTAATTATTTGATCATATGTATTTAAAGTTGGATATTTAAAAAAAAAATAGCTCTAGAAGTTGGCCAATAATAGTAATTGAAATTTTTACTAGGTCGGAGCTAGATTTATTATTTTGTATGAAGAGCAACAGTCGAAATAGGCGAGATTTCAAAATGCGCGTGAGATCGAGATGAAACCACTTCTGGTTGATACTATCTTTTGTTTATTGCACGTTCAATTAATTGGTAGATCGCGGACAAATGTCACAACTACTAGGCTTTTTATTTATTACCCTGTCCACGCGGGTTATGGAAACGGAGTTTCAGAACAATAAATTTTAATTAAGACGAGTAAATAATTTTAAACTTATTTCATTCCCGCGTGACAGACAATTATTTGGTTCAGAAACTTCGGTATTTGAAAAACTAGCATTCAACCACTTAATCTTTCAGTTTTTTAAGCTTAGTTGAAAAATTTCTTTATAAATAGAATAAATTTCCCATTTATTCTGTAAAAATAAATATATTTAATAATCGCAAGTACAAGGACCAAATACTCTAATATTTTTTATTTTAATATTGGCTAAAAAGATTGGAAACAAGAGGTGTTGCTCCAACTTTCGATTTTTTAAACTTCAATTATAAAAATGAATTCAGAATTTTCTCAACCCAGTAGCTATAAAAATCAATGAACAAAAAAACTTTTATTTCACCCAGCAGCAATTTCAGGTGTGCCCATTACTTCTTTGCCGTTAAATTTAATTCTGTAGCATTCCACGCCATGACATAAGAATTCATTGGTTTGTTCTCCGAGCAAATATCGATTTGCTAAAGTTAATTACGTTACGTGACCCGAACACTCCTGCTTTTTTCGTAACAAGCGGCGGCGGCGAGTGTGTGTTTCGCTGCTGACTTTGTTAAAAACCGCCCACCTACGAGTAAGAGAGAAAGAGACCATTTCACTCTCCACTTATGTATGTAACTCGAAAGCCGCGCCTCGCTCGATAATCGCAAGGAAAAAAGTGTATTGACTATTGAGAGAGAATGTGCCGCCGCCGGGATTCAAATCTGAGCCACTTCCCGTCCTGCCGATTGCATAACTTCCTCCACCGCTGCAAAACGCGAGAAATTTCAAACAACTCAAAACTGATAATTTCGATCACTGCACGAAGGAAATTTTAAGAAACAAATTTTTTAAGCTCCTTTGGTCAATATATGTAATAAAATATGAATTACATCGGACAATTAAATTATAAAATAAAGTATTAACAAACATTTGTCCATATTTCTGATGAAAAAAAATTTGATTTGAAATAAGTTAATATTTACAAAAATTAAGATAAAAGGAAATTTGCGTCTTTTTATTATAAATCTCTTACTAAATTTAAGTATGCAACAAGCCAATAACACAAGTCGATCGTGGTAAAGAAATATTTATTAAGCAATATCTACCAAAATTATTTCCTTCAATTTACATAGTTTTTCTTTCTGTCTCTTATTTTTGTTGAGCTTGTAATTTTTTAACTTGCAAATAATTTGTTTGGGTAGAAGATGCTCTTAATTATGTAAATATTGATAAACATAAATCACGATTTTTCATGAAAGTAAAGTCAATTAAAAAACTCATTTTTGGGGGTCGAGTTCCTTGACCAATGTGGAGATTTGAATTCCTGCAAAAATTAGCCAAATTTTGGCAAGTGTCGATTATTTTATTTTTATTATTCTTCATCCGCTGGTGAAGAATGCTGAGAATTTTGTACATTATAAATATACGCGATCTGATTTGTTCATCTATGCGTGAAATACGCGTGTGTGTATTTGTGTTTGGTGTGTTGGAGAAGGAAAGGGAAGTAAAAGCTGCTGGTCGGAAGAAAGAAAGTGTCACCTTTTGCGAGCGAGCGAGCGAACGCGGCGCCGCATGCATGACAATCAGCAAATCTTTAACGAATCGCGGGCGAAGGTGTGAAAATATTTGACACAAACTTAATTTGCATTGCAAGAAGAAATCCGGCTCAAATCGGCGATTTATGTTGGACGTGACTGGCCAAATGTCGAGGGGTCTTTCAAATTAATTGTTTTCGCAATAGGTGAGATTTAATTTATAATATACTTAATATGCTAGATCCTGTTTGTGACGCAACTTTTAGCCCATAGGTGCATTTCTTGAAGGACTAAAGTAGAATATTATTGGAGTAGTGGGTGTCGGGTGTGCGCACGTGCTTATCAGCTGCAATACGGCGTGTATTGAGTTCACAATCACAAAAAGAACAAGAAGCAATAATTGCTGGAGAACGGCTGGAAAGATCGAGTGAAAAAGAACGGTGTCAAGAACACACACCAATAAAGCTCATGTCAATAGTAGTGTTCTTATTTTGTGCACTGAAATATTTTGTTCAAATTTGTAATACATATGCAGCTTAATTATATCGATTCTTTGCCATATTTTTAAATACTTTATGAATTGTAAATTATATTTTATTTTACCTGAAGAATAAAATGAATCTTACCGGGAATTTAATTGGTTGAGTGAACAAATCTATCCCTTGATTGATTTTTTTTGTCTTTCAATCTCGCGGATCAGCAGATTAATTAATGCGTGATTAATCAAGCGTAAAAGCTCTAAAAACTTTTACTTTATAATCTTTCTTTGCTTGCACACGCGTAAATTCCTATTGAGAAACTTGCGTGAGTGACAATGACTTTTTTTGAATAAAAATCCTATTGCAAAATCAGAGAAGAAATTAATAAAAACACATTATTAGTTTGTTTCTATTATTAATGGGAGAACTTGTTGCTAGAAGACTCTAATTAATTGCATTTCTCATTTCTCGCGTGCCTCTTGGGAAATTGTGACAAATTGCTCAGCGTCGGCGGTGAAGGGCAAATTTTTTCAAGAGAAATGCGGGTGTTCTTAGAGCACATTGTTTCCGCTATTTCTGCAACGGTCGAGAGGAATGCACCAGAGATATTATTTGTTTGATTAAAATTTTAAAGACCTATTAAAAAATTTTAAAACTCTGTCATCAAATTTAATAATTAAATTTTATATTATAAAAATTTGGTGTTCATTTTTACACTGAGATTTATAGCATCTGATAGCTTCATTTCATGAAAAACTCAATCTTGCACTGCTTTTGGCAAGTTGGATTATTTCTAAAACTTCAACTTTTAACAAAAATTTATGAAAACATTTCATTTTAAATTTAAATCGAAGCTCTTGGATATATATTTTTAAACGAAAGGAACAAGAATTTTGTTTGTTGCAAAATTGTCTAAAATTATTGTTTAAAAAACTCATATTTAACACAATCATGGGAATTCTGGTAAATTTGATCCTTTGTTATTAGGATTCACTCTGAAAACAAATCAAGATTGATGTGTTAATTTTGCAAAATCTGCAGATTCCGTGGAGGTGGAAAAAAAATGGATCGTCTCGGATTGCGGCGGTGGTCGCAACGAGATGAAAATTGAGTTGCAAGGCCGAGGTCGGACGCAATTTCGTCAGACCAGAAAAATATATTTTGTTTCGATCTGGGCTCGCGGCCGCAAATAATTTGGAATCGCCACGCCCGGAGCTGAAAATTATGAGACGCCCGTCCGCCCGCTGCCATCAATAAATAAAAATGTTTTTCCCACAATTCGATCCGCAGCAAGTTTGCGAAATTGAATCCGAATAAAAAACAGTTTGCGCGATTTATTGTTATCGCGTCGCCCTAAATTTGAATCAAAAATAAAACCAAAGCCAGCAGCAAATAAAAAATCATCGTTCTTCCTCTAAGCCTGCTCTAAGCTAAACGGGTTATAATTTTTTTTGTCGTTTGCCGCAGTTGCATAACAGCAGGGGAGTTGTATTCGCTTGTGGTATAATATTCTTTGTGAATAATCATTGTTGTTCTCTTTGTGCTTGCAAACGTCAAGATGGGAGATTGGCAGGAAAGTAAACAGGCTCTCGAGTTTTTTCACTTGCTGGGTAAGAAACAAAGGTGGCAAGTTTAATAATAGTAATTTGGCTGGCGTGCGCGGGCAAAGGTGAGCCGAGAGACAAAGCCTGGTACAGAATCAATCAGTCATAACGAGAGCAAGGCTGCGCACGACTCGATCTCTCGCTCCTTTTCGAATCGCGCTACGACAAAAACGCCAACTAAACACATCTCGCAACAAACAAAATATTGTACTTTATTTGTGCACTTGAATTTCAGCCATTTACATTTTTAGTTTTAGAGACTAATTTAGATATTTATAAATTGACTGGAGAAATATTTAATTTAGAAAATATTTATTAGAGATTATTCAAATTCATTTTTAATTTGTTTCCTTTTAATACAAGAAAAATTAGGGCTCATAGAATGGAAAATAAGTCTGCAGTAAGTCTGGAAATAAGTTGCATTGCACGGTCACAGCACAGTCATAATACGGCAAAAGTAAAACTCGCTAGGCAGCACGTGGCGCGCGAGAGTTCCGCGGGTTGCATAATAAAAGTTAACAAGTAATAGATTTGGCGACAAATAAATTGACGCCACCAAACTATGAATGCCAAAAGATTTTTATTATAATCATAAACCTCGAAAATGAACTGAATGCAGTATTTTTTAAATTTCATAAAAGTATCAATCGGTATCAATTAGGACGATCTGCTCCATAATTCTACGCTTTTCTTATTTTATTTTTTTCCCTAAAATTTTGTCATATATATTGAGACGATGGAATGGCTTGGAACAGGGGAAAAAAATCCAAACTTGGCCTACAGCCTAATTTATCTGCTGCTATTTTCTGTTATTCGAGAATATATTAAAATTCTGTATTACTTTCATGGCCAAAAAAACATAATATTATGAGAATGAAATCTAAATTTAAAAAAAATATAGTTATTTTGCAGATTAAATTTAAAAAAAAAATATAGTTATTTTGCAGGGGACTCTGATTGGGCTCCTATTCTAACACAAAATAATGTCACGAACACAAAATAATAGATCCGATAGGCCATAGGGTTTCATGATGATTTAAAACTATTTTGTCACAGCAATATGTAATGTAATAATCTAACACTTTGCTGCTTTGAGTAAATTATACTCTGCATTTTCAAGAGTATTAATAATTTATTATTGTCTTTCTTTGATTAATACTTAGTTTGCGAAAATGTATTATATTCAATTATACATTATTATAAATAATTCTGAAACCCTGTTTGCGTAAAATTGCATTCGGTTTTGCTGTAACGCTAAAAACCCCCACTCTCCCCCGGCGCATGACGTCACACTCTTAACTCCATCATCTGTTTTGAATGATCAAAACCAAAACAATCCCATAATTTTTGGCTTGTTCCGGCTTATTCCTTATTCTTCCAACTTTCTGGGAGTTGGAAGGTATTACCCTTAATTAGAACAGCCATTATCTCATAGTTTAAAAATTCGAGAATTCACATTAATGACCAGTTTATGACCAGCAGAAGGTAAAACGTGGGGTCCCCGCAAATCTCGATTTGCGTAAGTGTAAAATATTTATTCCTCCTCTTTCCTCTTTATTACAATAATTTTATTTCATGTTGCCATTTTCTTGTCAGAATTAAGTCGGATTATGGCTGCGAGCTGCGAATCATCGTGCTGAAGTTTGAGGTCGGACAAGCCAGGATGATCAACTGGTCGGACTATGGCAAGGAGCTGCTGCTGCTCACCGTGGACACGTTCGTCGTGGCGTGTGCATGGAAATGGTACCGCAACAGCAGTAAGGCCGTCGCCGCCCTTGACGTGAGTTTCCTCTTAAATTCATAAACTTATTCTTAATCATTTGTTATCAAAACAAAGGCGCCTGTGATCACAGACCACAAAGGCCTGGAATACTGGCTGAGTGAAGGCGGGGGCAAGTGGGCCGTGGTGCAGGGCTTCGTTGAGCCCATTGGGCCCGTCATCCACAGCTTCAATGACAAGTCTGTCAAGGGCGTCATCCAGAGGCTCAAAGTCAAGGAATATGTCACTTCGAGGAGCACCGCTGGCTTCTGGTTAGCAACTTTTTTTTTACTTTTCTTTTTTATTTAATTCAAATTTGTGAAAATTCAGGCAGGACGGAGAACGGGTAATTGCAGACACGTCAAACGTGGTGCCCTTTGGGGTCAGGGTGGGCAAGAGTCTGGTCGAGATGGAAGAGCCTGTGGAGGCGGCAGCCCTCAGTTTGCGCACGGTCGCCTCTGAGTTCAGCCAGAAGTCTTCAGGCTTCCTAGACCAGCTGTGGAGCTTCCTCGTTGGAACTAGACACCGGGGCATCCAGTCGACTGAGGAAATGCTCCTCGTTGGAACTAAAATCTCTGCCTGTGGTCCCATTGCTAAGGGTAATTTTAAAATAAGATTGGTCTTCATATATTTCATTTAAAATTAGAAAATTGTGCACATTTTAGATTTTTCAAGTTCAAACTTTAAAGTTGATTTTGAATAGTTGAACATACAATTTTTCTCTCTATATACTTTATTAAAAAAAGATTATATTTGAAAAAGTTTTGATTCATTGAAGTTAGTTGAAGAATTTGTATTTATTTTATTCATCTGAAGTTCAAATAATATTTTCCAAATATTTTCTTACTTTATTATTATTATTTTAATTAATTTCTTTTTTTCTGTGTGCAGACAAAACGCTGAGCCCTGTGAATGGCGCCTCGATGCGCCCATACATCTTGACAGAACTGACCGTGTCTGAATTGAGCAAGAAGCTCAAGGTCAGCAAGCGTTGGTCTGTGGTGCTGCTGCTGGTGGCCAGCTTTGCAGGCGCCCTTGTTGTCAGCTACACCCTGCGGAGAGCCTTTGAGAATCACCGAGCCAAGGTTAATATTTTCACCCCTAAATTTTGTCTTCTTAGAGCTACAATGAATAAAATCTCCTAGGCTGCTGAGGACGAGCGAAGACGGCGGCGCTTTGAGACAAAGCGACTGGAGGAGAAGCGGCGAGCAGAGCAATCAGACCAGTCGACCGCCTGCATTATTTGCGACAACCCTCGGGAGGTCATTCTGCTGCCATGTGGCCACATCTGCCTCTGTTTCGACTGCAGCAAAAGTATCAACAACCTCTGCCCTATTTGCCGCGCCCATGTCGAAACTATCACCGAGTACTTTATTTCGTAGCGTGCACTTAATTCAAAACTTGATTTTTTTTTCTTTCGTTCTCTCTCCCTGGTGATTAATTATCCTAAATTAAATGCTGAATTAAAAAAAAAATCAAGTTTATTTAGTGACAAAAAGTGTTGTGTTTTTTCAAATTCTATAAAAATCAAAATGTGATTGTTAAGAAGCAAGGTATACATATAGACAAACTTAGCTAAATTATTTATAAATAATGCTTGATACATGTTTGTATCAAAACGATGTGTACTTTTTGTTAATATTATACAAGTATCTTTTATTTATAAATGAAAGATCCTTGTTTTATTGCATGCATAACATGCAACGTTATTTTTGAAATACACCGCAAATAAAATTAACAAATGGTTTATAAATAAAATATTTGACTATTAAAAAAAAAAATAAGAGTCAAAGAACTGTCAATCAGCGCTTTTACATACACGCATATTGACTCAAATCGCAGTATTTTTTATATTTAATTTTTAGGAATTTTTCGCAATTTTTTATTGCTTGCTTCAATTTCAATGCTGCCAACCATAAGTAGTGTTATATGAAAACAAAAACATCAATCCCGGATTCTTCATTTTTCAAATTATGTTCCATAAAACAAAGAAATTTCTCAAACTAAAAAAAAGTTATATTTTTTCCTGAATTTATTTGTTTTTCTTCGTAGAATTTTTGAGATTATTTCTGCAAGGTTGTTGCAAATGAATAAATAAGGGGGCTCGAGGGGGTGTGGCAGTTCACAGCTCGAGCCTCGAAGTCGGATTTTACTTTCAGCCTCGTTAACTTTGATTATTTAAATTGGGACTTTGGAATCGTATAAAAATTTGTTCGCTCAATGAATGGTCGGATTTAAGCTCAGTGTTCGTCCGGAATTCCACTTTCGAATCATTTCGACCGACCGATTCCGAAAAATTCGACCTTCAAATTCAAAACTACATTTTGCCGTGCTCGTTTCGTGAGTCATTTGGCAAAAGCTTGTAATACATACACACAATAATAGATTGTGTCTACATTGGTGCACTCGTTTGTATCGACCGACTATCAGAGTAGTTGTTATAATAAGAAACACTCTTCGTAATATTACCACTCGATCGTCGCTTCTTTGATAATGATAACAACCATTACCAGCAGTGCCTCCTCAAGGTGAGAGCTTCCACTAAAGACGCAAAAGAGGTGCTTCTTATCTCACCTGCATGATGCAAAATAATAATTTTTTTGGACTTCACAAAATTTTGCTTATTTTACAATCTATGCAAATTATGATAATATGTAACATCGGAGGACGTTCTTTTGCTAAATTTTTCATACAGATTACTAAGTTAAAAATTACCATAATGTGATTAATTTATGCTAAATTTAACAAATTTAATGCAAAATGTAAGACTTTGTTAATTATCCAATTATTGCTAATTTTGCAGATAATCAAACAGGCCTCATTTGCGCCGATGATTCCTGAAGAAGCGCTGGCAGGGTCGTCGGGAGGCTCCAACAAGTTGTCTGTGAGGGACGAAGATTCTTCAGCCATTCTGGCGTCCATCGACACACCTAGTTTGTCCATCTTCAGCAGAATGCCAAACATCTCTCTGGACGACGACCTCATGTCCCTGCCGATCGAGGACTCTGACCAGCACCAGCTGCTCAACAACCTGCCTGATGTCACTTGCAATCTGTCCCTGCAGCCTGAGGTTGATCTTGAGCAGAGTTTTCTCCTCATTGATGGCAAGGAGCACCTTAAGGTATAAATAAGTTTTAATGCATTTTTTAAATGGTGGAAGTTGGAATGGTGCTCTTGATTTTCAATTTTAAGCCTAGACTGAAATTAACAAAGTTGCAATTTTTTTTGTACACTTTTTATAAGAAAGCCTAGTAGGTTTAGAATTTGCCGAAATTGCATTATTACTCTCATGGTCCATAAGGATTCATCTAATGAATTTGGTAATCCCCTTTATATCAAAACCATTCAGTCTGACTTGTTTTCATTTTATTTTTAGTTTTCAAATTTATTTTGATTTCAGGTTAGCACTTCCGACCAGTTCGCAAGTCGCTTAGGCTGCGAACCTTCGACTAGGGTGAAGGTGGTGTCTGTTTTTGGCAACACTGGTGATGGAAAGTCGCACACGCTCAACCGGTTGTTCTTTGAAGGACGCGAGGTGCTGCCTGAGTCGAGTCAGCCGGATCCATGCACCATGGGTGTGCGGGCAGCCTTCTGCCCTGCTGAAAGGGTCATCTGCCTGGACACAGAGGGCCTGCTGGGCGCCACCAACTCTGAGCACCAACGCACCCGCCTCCTGCTCAAGGTGCTGGCTGTTTCTGACCTCGTGCTCTACCGTACCCGCTCCGAGCGCCTCCACAGGGACCTCTTCACCTTCCTGGGCACCGCCTCCAAGGCCTACCTTAAGCACTTTGCCGACGCCCTTAACAAACTAGAAACCGACTTGAACCAATCTTGCTCAACCTCCAGTCAGGTTTTTTTTTAGATAATTGTGTAAATGTGGTTTTTTTATTTTCATTTAAATTAGGACTCTGTGTGCAATTTGGGTCCGGCGGTGCTCATTTTCCATGAGACGAGACACACTGAGCCGCTCAAGGCCACCGATGATGAAAACAACAGTCCCGAGGAGCAGCTGCGAAAACGCTTCAGTCAGCTTGGACTCGACCTCAACGCTTTCAGTTCACTTAGGTCAGTATAGTAATGAGTCACTTTTGCTCCTTTATGTCAATTTATTTTCTAGCTTTCCACCCCATCATTTCAATTTATTCATCATTGCATGCAAATACAGGCATAGACACATCTGTGGATAATTAAATCATCTGCTAAATAAAATCCTTATTTGAATCTAAAATATCCAACCCAAATAAGTAAATCATTTCATATTAAAAAGATAAAAAAAAGTTTACATCTTTTTTACTTTGCAAAAGAAAATGTGGTGGGTTTAAATTTTTTCTGTGCCACAGAATATTTCTTTAATTCATTGTTGTGATTTCCATTTTATTTTAAATTAAGCATTCGCACTTATTTTTTTCTTTTATTCATTCAAACTCGACAACTCGTTGAATTTGTTAGATACGTTGGTGTGCAGTGCGTAGACGGAGTAACAAATTTTGGTCTTGTGAAGACTGCTGTGCAGCAAGAGCTTTCGAGCACTGCTGTGCGTTCGGCCCGAGCTAGCAAATTGGTGTTGGGTGCGCTGAGGGTGTTGAACGACAAGTTCAGTGGGCGGCTGCAGGACGACGGCCGGACGGCGGTGCTGCCGGCCGAGTACTTCAGTTGCGCCGCTTCGTGTGCCTCTTGCGGCGAGCGCTGCGAACTGAGCATGGGCCACCTGAAGGACGGCGACCCACACGCCTGCGTCTCCCTGTGCACCTTTCAGAGCCAGTTCCGCAACTGCGAGTACCTGTGCACTGCCTGCTACAACAACGGACACCGCCAGGTTGTGGTGCCCAAGATGGCCGCTGCCAACGAACAGGCCTCTTGGCTTGGAATTGCTAAGTATGCATTTTTTTAAACTAATTATTTCACATCAATATCCCGGAGTTAATTTATTATCAAAATTTTTGAAGAATCTGAGAGGTCCGCTCAAGTTTTTCTTTAAAATTTAACACAAAAAATGTTCATTGTCTTATTTATTACTGGCTGGTGTTGCAGATACGCGTGGTCAGGGTATGTTTTGGAGTGCAGTAGGTGCGGCGTGATATACCGCAGCCGGCAATACTGGTATGGTAACAAGGAGCCTGAGCAGGGCGTAGTGCGTGGTGAGGTGGTGCACGTTTGGCGCGTCGGCGTCCTTGGCTCCACCGGACACAACACCGCGCGCCGCATCCTTGACGGCGTATCGCAGCTCTCGGACGCGGTAGTCGGCGTGTCCAAGGCGCCGTCTGTCGCCCTCTCAGCCTGGGTGGCAGACCAGATTGCGCCCAAATACTGGAGGCCTAACTCGGAGATCTCCCACTGCCACCAGTGCGGCCTGCACTTTGACCTTGACTCAGCCAAACACCACTGCAGGTCCATAATCCGTAATGCAATCAACTATTTTGTTACTTAAATTGGAATTTTTATGACAGGGCGTGTGGCGAGGGATTCTGTGATGCGTGCTCGGCATACCAAAGGGCAGTACCCGAACGTGGCTGGGGCCAAACGCCGGTGCGTGTGTGCCAGCGGTGCCGTGACTTTCGAACTACCCAACCCTCCCTGGACAACTCGCTGGAGGAGATCAGGGCCAGGAAGTATGGCGAGGTTGTGTTTAACACCCTGACCAACGTCGCGTCCGTTCTTGAATATCCTAAAGGTACAATATTTTTTTCTTTTTAATTTTAAAATATGTAGACGTAATAAAAAAAAAATACCATCCTCTGAATTGCAGAACTTATTAAGTCGTCAGTGCAACCTGAGTACTGGGTGCCTGACTCTGAGGTGAAGGAGTGTTATGTTTGTCGAACACCTTTGCCGACTGCAAAGCAGAAGACGCACCACTGCCGTGAGTGCGGCCAGGGTGTGTGCCAGCCTTGCTCAGGGAACAAGCGGCCAGTGCCCTCACGCGGCTGGGATACACCAGTCCGCGTTTGTGATTCTTGTTTCAAGAGAGACTGACTACTTTTAATTTGAACTAGCCCATTTGTGAGAGTGAGTTGTTTTATTCTTCCATATAAAAGCAAAATATAATAGAGTATACACTTCTGGAGGTTTAATTTTTATGTACACACTTGTTAGCGTCCTTTCAGTTAAAAAAAAACAAAATATAAATGACAATAATTTATCATCGTCAAGAGTCATCGTCGTTGGAAAAATTGAACATTGATCGGCTTTGACTCATAGACATGGCTATAGCATCACACTGCTTCAGTCATTCCCCAGCGCCGTCCACACCCTTGGTCCCCTCTGCACTTTTGTTACTAGCCGCTGTTGCCGCCACTGTTGCTCTTCCACCGGGCGAAATTATTCTAGCGAACACTTGTTGGCGGCCTGCAATTATGAAATTCAATTAGCTGCACATTTTAAAATTTAAGGCAAATTTTAGCAAGAGAAATTTTCTATGAGACCCAATTCTCATTTGATTTTACAAGTTTAACATCTTATGACTGATTTATCTTTGTTTGTTAGTTATAAAAAAATTTTGAAACGCAACAAATCATTTTATCTTTTCTGGCCTGTTAGTCTCTAAAATAAAAATATATCTACCTTTAGGTAAATTGGTATTTGCCCCTGCAGCCTGGGCAATAGGAATGACCCTGATGCCGTGGACGTTCTGCAGCGACTTGAGGTTAATATTGGCACCATGCAGGTTGGCGGGCAGCATGAACTGCTGGCCGCCGCCCTGCTGCAGGACAAGTGCCCCACCCTGCGGCCGCAATGACGTCGGTGATGCCAAAACAACCGTCTGCTGGCCCGAACCGCTGCCACTAGCCAGTATCAAGTTCTGAAAGAAATTTTTATGTAACATAATAGGACAAAGAGCATTTGATAAGGTACCTGGCCAGTGGTGGTCTGCGGTTTACTGGCAAGTAGGACCTGCTGGCCTCCAATTGACGCCAAATTGTAGCCAGGAGGGCCACCCTGAGAGGTTGCAGGACCCAAAAGGCGGATTCCGCCACCTTTCAGCTGCTGGCCAACCTGTGTGGTCATCCGAGGCCTCACCACTCCTCCTGGCGACACTACGGCCAGCTGAGGGACACCTCCCGAGCCACTGGCCATATGCAATATCTGTGCAGATTTGACACCACCTATGGAAACCAAAATTGGAACTGTCGGTCACTATTTGAAAAAATTTACCAGAGGAGGTGACAATTTGTTTCTGCTGTGAAGCGGTGAGTGAGTCGAGGGAGATAAGTTGACCCTGAGCATTGGCCGCTACCAGCTTGGTGACCATCGGTTTTGTAACTGAGGCGTCGCTTGCGGACTTGACCTGGATGGCGCCGCTCTTATTCATGATCAGGGTGGGGATCTGTGAGCCCTGCTGACCGGCCTGGCTTGTTGACTGCTTAATGAACACAGCCTGCGGACGTTGCCCCACCAAAGTTGTGCCTCCTCTGATTGCTGAAACATCAAAATTACACTTAAAATAAATAGAAAATGGTTAAAACTAGTACAAAAAATATTCACTTTTGCAATCATCAAGTACAATCTTTAGATATTAGAGTTATTAACTCATTTTAGGCTCAAAATTGAACACATAAAAATTTCTCTATTGCAAGTTTATATGCTTGGACTAATTGAACGTAATTGTAATATTTGTAATTGTAATTTTTTAAATGAAGTACTGTGTTGTTTTGTTAAATTACTTTATAAATAACTAATTACCAGATATTATTTTGTTTACTTATGTATCATAAAGTATTGAAAATAATAACTACTGATGGTGTATTGTTTGACAACCGTAAAGTTTCAAAAGTTCACTGACCAGTATTAGGAATGACCTTGATACCCTGAGGAATAGTTTTGGCTGAGACAAACTGTTGCTGCAGTTGTGGCCGAGGCAGCTGCTGGCCCTGTGGCTGCACCTTGACTGCCGTGTTCATCACCTTAACCTGCTGCGGAGGTCCGACGGTGCTTTTAACCACTCGCGCCGCTTCCAGCTTAACCTGATAAAATTTTTATTAATTGGTAAAGGAGGCATCAAAGTCAGCTTACTTGGGGAGAAGTAGAGGCAGTTAGGCTTGGTTTGACTGAGCTCATCTGAGTGGCCAAGGTTGTCTTAACCTGTGGCGCTGCTCTGGTTGTAACAATGGTGCTGCTCGTCACAATTGGCACTGCCGTCGAAACTACCGTCCTTTTTGTCAGCAGTGTTTGAGGAGATTTACTGTCAATATAAAGTGCAGGAAAGTTAATGTTATTCTTATATACCTAATATTAAAAAATAAAACAAATCATTGATGCATGATTTTTTTCAACAATCAACATAACTTAAAAAAAATGCCTATCATATTTACACAAATTGAAAAATGAATAGAAAAAAAATATGGAAACTATTGAATGAAATTAAAAAAGGAGCACCTGCTGATGGGTGCCTTTTTGACAGCAGGTTTGGTCTGCTGCTTATTGGCGGGTGAGTTTGCAAGCAGGGATGTGCCGCCCTTGGCAGGCGCTGCAATTTGAATGGTCTGCAGGCCTGTGCTGGTAGCAATCTGCACGTTCTGGAATGTGCCACCGCCTCCTGTAGCCACAGAGGCTGTCGAGGGCCTTGGGGCCGGCGGAGCTTTCAGTCTGTGCTGGGTGGCAGCAGGGGTGGGGCCTGCTTCCGACAAGGAGCCCACAACCTCTGCCAAGATACGCTCCATTTGCTCAGGCTCATCAGGGTTGTGTGCAATGGTGATCCCCCCAGACACCTCCTTGGCCTTTGACACCCTTGGTGAACGTGTCATATTCTTCTTCGGGGAGGCTCGCTTGCTCTTTGCAGGCATTGCCTGGTGTTGCTGGTAAACTTTTTCTATAACACAATAATAATTTGAATTGGATGGTTAAAGAACTGTGGGAAAAATTGTAGAACTTGTGGAAAGTTTAAATTTAACTATTATTTATTAGTAGGTTAAGAAAGGTTAGAAAGAAGGATCATTGTCTATATCAATTATTTTCAATGGTGCGATTTTGAGACAAAACAGAGGGTTTAATGACTTTTGGTTACGTTTATTCAAATGATGTCTGTTCCTTGATGAATAATGAATATTGGCCTCACCGAACTCCTCCTCGGTGCGATGCCTGTGAAGGTATACCCAGGTCTTTCGCTTGGAATCATACTTGACACAGGTGTCAGCCTCATAGTGAAGTCTATCTAGCGCGCCACCCACGACTGACTGAAGGTAATTCTCCTCTGAACCAGGTGACATAAACTGCGAGTCACGCAACAGCATACAAATATCACTTCTTGCTCCCTCTCCATTGGGCAGTCTTGCAACGGCGTCTCGAACTGCAATGTTTCAAATTTATTTAGAGCTCAAAAAAGATCAGCAATTTCTATGATAGGGGTTGTAATTAGTACCTAAAGACAAAATCGTAACACAATTAGGCCTATCAGGAACAAGGAGAGTGTGACCCCTGGGCTTAGAGAGCGACGACCCTGTTGAGTAAGCGCCCTTCAGAGGCCCCACGACTGACTCAAAGCCGTGCATTCGGTATGTGAATGCCTTATTCGGGTTTCCGTAACGCTCTCTTTCCTGAAATTTCATTTTTGACTTATTTTGAGGTGGATGGATAAGGAATGCCTACCTGCAGATGGAAGAGCTCTCTGGCAGGGCCAAGAGCGGGCTGGACCTGCCATGTGGTGGGGAAGCGTGGGGGCGGTGGCTGTAGATGGTTGGGATCGTCGGCACCCTCCTTCAGGGCCACACTCGACGGTAGGTCATGACGCCGCTCAAACCAGTGTGAGCACAAAGCGGCCAGGTTATGGTCAGAGTCACGTCCTGCCCCTATCCATTGGTAAGCCTGCATGTGCGGTTTGTACTCTAAATACGGCACAAACTCTTCCGGCTGCGTCTCAGCTGAAGACAAAAAAGGCGAATTTTATTAATGCCTAATATAAAAATATGGGATAAAAATTTCTGCCAAAACATTCTTCCAAAAAAACTATCATCTCATCTTTCTGATGTTTCGTATTTTGCAAAAATTAGACGAGTATATAAGCGCACAAGGCACCTCTGCACATCTAAATTGCCTTTCCCACATTTTTATGATATATATTATTCTGAATTCGATTGGAATAGTTTAATTTTATGTGTCATTATTTCTCTTTAAAAATTCTATCAACCTAACAATAAGATAAAAAAATTGTGAATTTCTGTGAAGCTTTCAATTGCTTTAATTAATGAAAATTATTATTATTTAAATTTTAGTCTCATTAAACTTTTAAGTTTTAATAAAAATTAAGATTCTGCTAAACACTAAGATTTGAACCTGAACCTGGAAAGTCTCCAGACAGGAAGTTGATGGCTGAGTGAAGGTGGTCAACCCAGTTTTTGGAGAAACCAAACCAGTCGTTCAGGGGCGATATAGGGCTTTCCTGCCAGGTCTGCAGCTTGCTAGTCAAGGCAGGCAGCCCCATGCGCTGGTCTTGCGTTGAGCAGATTATGTCCCTCAGCAGAGTGAAGAAGCACACATGCATCTCTTGGTTCAACTCATATTCGGGTCTAATTAAAAAAAAATCAAATTATTTTATTTTATTGGAAAAAATATTTACTTACTTGACAGAGGCGCTGGGGGCGGGAGGGGTGGTGGACGGAGGGGCGGCGGTGATTTGGGCAACAATCTCTTCAAACTCGGACAAGTTGAGCATCTCAAGAGCCTCCATCTCCTGCGGAGTGAAGGTAATGTTGGGAAGGATCTGACTGGTGTCAATTGCGCCGTGAGCGTCATCGGAGACAACAGGGCCAGGTGGGGCTGCCATCAGAGGTGGCTGAGGAGCCACTTCGGGCACTACTGGAGTTGCAAGGGTCATGGGCGTTACCGGCGCCAGACCGTTGCTCTTAGGCGCCACTTCCAATTCAAGCGGCTCCTTCTTAATTTCCACAAGTGGCGGGGGCGCCACCTGCACCTTAGCGCTACTGCGCCTACGACTTGTAACTTTGGCGTTCTTTGTGGGCGGTGACACCTTTGAAGGACCGTTGCCCTGACTGACCTCAGACTTGACTTTTACCATTGGCTTCTGCAAATTATAAATATTAAAAGATTCCAAAAAAGGTTTAAAAAAATATCAATTTACTGGTGCCTGCAGAGAAGAGGAGCCATTGACCACACTGGCAGCGGAACTGTTGAACAGGGGTGACGGCGCAGCCTCAACTTTGATTTTTCTCCTCTTGACTGGCGGCCTTGAGGGTGGTTTGCTGACAGGCTGCGTTCTCCGTCGACTAAGTCCGTTTGCCTCTATGCAGCTCTGTGAAAATCAAATTTAATTTAAATTTTCAATTTGAGACAATAACCTACAGCTTCTTTTCTCTTGCGCTTCCTATAGTTGGATATCACTTTCTTGTAATACTTTTCATTGAAGTCGAGAGAGTTGCCGACTTGCAGGCAGCCAGAACTGAGATCACTGAGGGAAGACGCAATAACTGGCATTTCCTGCTTCAGACACGTCTGTGCAGCTAGAAGCTGCTTTTTGTGCTTCTTGCTAGGACCAACCGGAGGGCCTTCTGAAATTTTTAAATTTTTTAACCAATTTTCTTTTACAGAAATCCTAGAGGCAAAGATTAGACTTCCAGCTCAGAATATGCAACATACCAGGGAAGATTTCATCCTCACTTTGTCCAAACTCGCCGAGCTGTCTGCGGACCTTTCCGAGCTCATCAAAGTACCTGCGCTTGGTCCTCTGCTCAGCCAGGGTAGGTTTGGCAATGGGGGTAAGTCTGTGGAGGCGGAGGAGCAGATCGCTGGTGGAGATCGAGCCCCCGAGTAAAGGTGTCCGCTTCCTGGCCCTAAGCAGAGCTCTGAGGCTGGCGTGCAAACTGCGCTGCTGCTCGAGGTTACCCTCTTGTGCCTGCAGGCGCCGACGCAAGGCCCTCAGCTTGTCAGTCTTGGGAGTAAAAGCGCCGTCTTTGAGCTGCGCAAAAAACCGATGCAGAGGATTGCCAAAGCTGAAGTTGGCCCCCGTGAACAGGTTTCGCAGGGTTGTCACCTTCTCGGCCTTGTCATTGGCAGCAAACGTCGGCAGATATTTCTACAAATTTTAAAAATTATTGTAATACATTATTTTCATTAAGAAATTTCAAACCATGAGATTGGTGCGGTGCTCGGAGGTAAGGTGGTTGTTCCACATGTCCAGCGAGAAAAACTCATTGAAGATGTGCTGGTCCTGGCACAGACCCTCAGGAAGCAGGACCCTTGCGTCCCCCTGCCGGAACTCGACCGTCGGCTCGGAGGGTAATGGAAACGCGGACTGGCTGTCACTCTCATCGTCTGACTCGAGTGATGATGACGACGAGTCATCTGATGTCCTTTCGTCGTCCTCGTCCTCCTCATCTTCCTCCTCCGAGATGTAGTTTGCGTCCATCCTGCACAAAAACAATATTTTTTTTTCAATCTAGCAGTGGTCTTGAGAGAGCGGTCGGTGTAGCTGATTTTTATTCAGAGGCGATACGGGTCGGGGTCCGAGAGATTCAGACGAGGAAGCAATTTGGGTGCTTGGGAGTGTTGTTTTGAGGGTGAATTTAGTGCGACCGCAGGGTCTGGGGGCATGTTTTGGCGGACATGGGCCGGGTTGGGGGCGCTGCAGCGGGACGCAAGTAAGGCCCAGCGCCGCCCACTTTTGAGTTTTTCGCACCTTTTCAGGACAGAAATTCACGGTTTGCCCAGTCTCAGGCTGTGCCAGCCTTGGTCATGGGAGCCTGCAATGCAGATATTTCGACGGCTGTTAACAAAGACCGACATGGCGGTCCGAACGTCAACCGCGATCGTGAAACACACAAAAACCATCCAATGTTGCATGTTGCATTTTAAAACTCAAAATTTAATGGCCAAGATCACTTCATTATTATATTATCCAATTAAAGATATTTAATTTTGATTAAGAAGAATCTTAGTTGAGTTAAAACGGCTATGAAAAAGTCGAAAAGAGATTAAACATTAAAATTTTGGAGAAGAGCGGCAACACTGTGCATGTGATCTTCGCGTTCCGCATTCCGTTCCGGCGAATTGTGTTTATAAACGGAATCATTAAAAGTTTTTGATGATTTCTCGGCCAAATCAAAATAATCATTTCCACGATGGCGTTCAACGTGACTGTGAAAGTGCACCCCGTTGTTTTGTTTCAAATTGTCGACTCGTACGAGAGGCGAAATGCAGATTCCTTCAGAGTAATCGGAACCTTGCTTGGTCAGTTACCATTCAAAACATTTTTCCCAGCCCTTAAAACGCAGCACGACCCCAAATCGCGCTTTCCAATGTGCCGCATGGAACCGCACTGAAGATAATATTTTTGATTTATTTTTCAGGAACGGTGGAAAAGGGCGTCGTGGAGGTGTCCAACTGCTTCTGCGTGCCACACAGGGAATATGACACCGAGGTTAAATCGAAACTGGATAGAATTTGGACAAAAATAAATTAAAAAGTGGTTAACTTGCAGGTGGAGGCCGAGTTGGTGTATGCGGCCGAGCTGAGGGATCTAAACGCCAGGGTTAACACCCAGGAGACGGTGGTGGGCTGGTGGGCAACTGGAAACGAGGTCACCAGGCACTCTTCGCTTATCCACGATTACTACACCATTGAGTGTCCGAACGCCATCCACCTCACCCTGGACACCACCCTGCAGGGCGCCTCCATGGGCATCAAGGCCTACATCAGGTTTGATCTGCTGAATAAAGTGACAAGAAAATTTCTGTAATGAAAAATCGTCAGGGTGCCTATCGGAGTGCCAGGAGGCAACAATGGGAGCATGTTCACCTCTGTGCCTGTCCAGATCACCTGCTACGAACCAGAGCGAGTCGGATGTAATGAGTCTTCATTTCTTTTTTAAATAAAAATTTCAACAGGTTTATTTTAAAATTTCTCAGTGCAACTGTGCTCAAAGACGATTGGAATAAAAAAGGCTGTAGAGCCGATGCACGAATTGGCGCAGGTGTCCGAGGCAACAGGAAACGTGTTGTCTATGCTGGACACGGTGCTCAGCTACGTCAACGAGATCTTGTCTGGACGAGGAATCTCGCCGCAAGACAATGCTGTTGGCAGGGCCCTGCTGGACATGGTCAGCTCCGTGCCCAAGATGACCCCTGATGAGTTTGAGAACATGCTTAACTCGAATATCAAGGTTTGAAGAGAATTTTTTATATTTCCATTTTATCTTCATTGAATTTATTTCTTCCAGGACCTCTTGATGGTGATCTGCCTATCGCAGCTCACAAAGACCCAGATCCAGCTGAATGAGAAACTCACTCTGCTCACCACCCTCTAAGTATGATTATTTTTTGTGAAAATATTGGAAATAAACTAGAGAACAACTTTAACAAATCAACTCATGCCGGTTTTAATTTTTATCGCCAAAATACAGATTGTAAATGAGATTGGCATTTATCCTTCACAGAATATGATTTTGATGGAGGCAATGAAAGGCGCGGAAATAAAATATCAAAATTATTTTATGTTTTAAAACAATTTAAATTAATACACAATCGTTGGAACAAATTATACACAACTTGCCTTTGTTTAGGAGAAACTATGTTCTGATTTTTTCGTAATATATATATATATAATTATCTGCAGCGTTTTAATATTTAATTACATAGATATATAAATCTGTGTGTTGTTAAGCGAAACGAAGCCTAAATATTCTTGTTGATGGCATTTCGAATCCTCTTTTCCGATATTGATGGCAGCAGCTTTTGTACAATGGCGTGGACGAATATGTCGCTGATACCTGGACTTGTACTCTCTGCCAATTCAAACGCCCCTTTTATCTCTTCAGCAGGAATGCCTTGTTTTTTGTGAAGCTGTAAAATTTCCATAATTATATTTTGCAAAATATGTTTATTGGTTTAGTGCCAACCTCATTGATTATTGGGCAAATAACGTCGGTCAGATATGAAGCTTTGACGGTGAGCCGCGACTCGTTGTCTTTCGTTGGCTCCACTATGTGGTTCCTCGGCTTGCTAGCCGCAGCTGTTGCCGAAGACATGATGCTCTCGGCAACAGGGCTTGGCGCATGCACAGGTGTTGAGGACACCTGCACAGATTTCTGTAAATAATTTAAATTACTATATCTAGGTTAATTTTTCATGGAAAAAACATTACCTGCTTCTCACTACTCCTGTGCTCCCTATTACTACCATTCTGTTGATTGTTGTTTTCGCCGCCCGAGTTGATCAACTGGAACTGCAGCTGCTCCTGGTTCTTGTTTCTGTTCTCTAACGGCACTGCATCAGAAAAAGAGGTCACATTTACAAATTTCACCCAAACAAAGAGCGTCACCTGTGTGCCCAGGAACACCCCTCACAGTCATTATCCAAGGCTCGTCCAAATCACTGCCACCCTTCGACTCCTCCCTGCATCAAAATTCAAAATAAAAAAAGAATCGTCCTAGCCCAAGGTGGACACTCACGAGTCAGAGTTCTCGGACTCGGTCTCACTCTCCTCGCTGCGCTGCGTTCGCCACTTCTTGTACCTGTCTATCAGGTCTACTAAGTAGGAATTCTTCTTGGCTTTCCTTATGAAGGGAAACCGCAACAAATCCTTGGCCGTTGGCCTCTGCCAAATAAAATCCGGATTTTGTTACAATATTAATTTAAAAAGAAAAAACTGACATTGTCTGGGTCCTTGTTGAGACACGCCTCAACAAAGTCTTTGAAGTGCTTGCTGTATGAGCCGGTGAGCTGGGGAGGGTTGTTTTTTGGAATGAGGAACAGCACACGCATGGGGTGCAGCTCCGAATTTGGCGGCTCGCCCTTGGCCAGCTCAATGGCCGTGATGCCCAGCGACCAGATGTCCGCCTTTGAGTCATACGCTGACTGCTTGATCACCTCTGGCGCCATCCAGAATGGCGTACCCACAAACGTATTTCGCTTGCTCGTTGTGTTTGTCAGCTGGCCCGCAACACCAAAGTCTGCCAGCTTCACATCTCCCATTTCTGACAACAGCACGTTGGCAGCTACAAACAAAAACGATTAAATTGTGGGGGGAAAACAATTTAAAAATCTTAAGCTTCTGTAATTCTTGTCACAATAAAAGCCGCTTCTTTAAAGCACCGATACAAAATATTAAATTAGGCCTTTTAAATGATAGTAAAAAACTTAATGCCTAAGTAGACAATATGTGGTTTTTAAAATTTTTACAAAGCCATGGAGCTCGGTTAAATTATTTTCAAAATCATTCTTGAGCCACGGCATTCGGTGCTTGGTTTAATTATTTTCAAGCCCCAATTGCCGTGGCTCAGGAATGATTTTGAAAATAATTTAACCAAGCTTCGTGGCTTTGGGATGAGTTTTTGGAACAAATCTTTCATTATATATAATCCATCATAACTAAGAAGCACATCTCAAATTCTGCACTTCACCAGAAATTTAGAGTTTGAAAAGAAGGAGAAAACTGCACCTTTAATATCTCTGTGGAGTTTCCTTTCACTGTGCAGGTAGTCTAGACCTTTGAGGACCTCCCTCAGAATCACAGCAATGTGCATCTCCTCAAAGCTCCCAGCCTTCATGAGATCGAGCGCCGAGCCGCCGCCCAGGTACTCCATGATGATCCACAGCTTGGTGCCCTGAATATAAATTAATTAAACTTATATTTGATTAAAGAATTCAAATTTGTTGCCTTGAGGTAGGAGCCAAAGTACTTGGTGACGTAGGGCGAGTCGCACTGACTGAGCACCATGATTTCCTGCTGTATGTCCTCGATTTCGTCTTCAGCCTCCTCCAAGTCAATGATCTTGATGGCCACCACCTGCTGGGTCCGCTTGTCCATACCCTTGAACACCTCCCCGAATGACCCCTTGCCAATCCGCTCCTGCTTCGTGAATATCAACTCCGGGTCCACTTTCTGCAGCAAAACACCATAATTGAATTTGTATTCAAAATATTACAACAATATAAATGATAAAAATTGTGAATTTACTTAAATTTCTTTTGCTTTTGAAGATGAAACAAAAATTGTAAAAATTTCTCACGTAGAAACTAGAATTAATTAACACATAATTCATAAATAGTGTTATCACAATAAAACATCGCGCATTTTTATCTTCATTGGTCATGATAATTTGCCTTAACCGAGTTTCAAGTCATATGAAAGTTGTAATTAGATTTTGTGCGTTGTGTGGACATAGAAGGCGCGCGCGCTTTCCAAATTTATCATTGGAGGCGATCAAGATGCGCTTACTTGCGAAAAGTGCGGAGGTTCCATGGAGCGTTCGATCTGCAGCCGCATTGCAACCAATTATTTCCAACTTGAATTTCCACGGAGCGACAATGAGAGATAACAAAGGGAGCAGACAAGTGAGCGCAAGAATTCGATATCACACAACTTGGAGGCGAGAAAGAGAGAGACGAGAGAAGGTGACTCATTTTATCAGAATGCCGCTTTTCGGAGAGCCTTATCAAATAATAATCAGCGTCAAATGCTGCACAACACCAATAGCTGATATTGTTACGTATCTCAATTATTTTTATTCACCTCCCACGCAAAATTTACAATGAAATTTAAAAAAAATTCAATATAGCAACAGGGGGAACTTTCAACAAATTCTTGGTATTTTATGTTATTGTTGATGCTAATTTAGCCCTTTAAATTATGCGACAACATATTTGCTAATAATAGCCTATGGCAATCAAAGGAAAACATAATTTTTAATATTATATTTTATTTCATCAAACAAGGAATACCACGAGTGTAAAAAGGTTCCACAACAACTACAAGAACCTCTTGTAGAATCTATTATAAGAAGGAAATGATATGAAATTAATTGCACAATTTATGAATCATATCAAAATAAATTTTAATGCAATTGTTTGGCTTATTCTGACTTGATCCTGCCATTTTTTTTTTAAATTTTTCCTGAGGTTGAACACCAAGTAGCACAAGGTCTTTTTTACTTTTTATCTCTGGGAAACATAAGTTACAAGTAGTCATAATACTATGACCATCACTAAAGTACTGCGACGCCACCACTGCTTAATAGAAATTAATACTCAGGCAAAATAAATTTAAATAATTTTAAAAACAAAATTTTTTACGTTCATAAAATAATTTCAAAAATAAAATGTTATTGACTTGAGATAATTAATAATGCATATTAATTTTGTGTAATATTTTTTGGAAATCAAGAATTCTCGGCAAAATAAGATTTTAGTGTTGGAGTTTATTTTGTGAGTTTCGAGGTGCAAAAACCGTACCGTTGTTCACTCTCGATATGCAAATTGCAAATCAATATTCCAAGCACAAAACAAGGTTGTTCTGGTGTGTGTATATTTATACAACCCTATTTATATAGGTCAAGAATAGAGTGGAGGGTTGCAGCAGATCGATGCGCCGCACGGACGCTCTTGATTGCCTCGCAGTCCCCGAGCTCGGACGCTAATTCGTCGGATACTTTCAGTCCGGCTGAGTTTATGTGTACATGATAATGTTGATAAATATTAGAGGGGGTGCAAGTGAATAAAAAACAAACCTCGCTAAACGCCATGGTGGAGCGGAGAAGCCTCGGCAGTGCTGCTTCTGAGAATTAGGTGTGGCTGATGCGAGCAGCGGCTCTCGCCACCATCAGACGCGGACAACCCTGGGCGAATTTGCAAAAATTGGCCCAGTGGACGGTCGGACGAGATTGTCAGAGAGGAAGGCGAGCCTCCATTGCTTGTTGTCGTCTTCGATCGGGACAGAAAGAGGAGTGCTGCTGAGTATCCGGGTTTTGCTCACTCGAACCTCAGCAGTTTGGAAACATCGTCTCGGCTCGCTGTTTATATTTACCGCTGGCTCGCGTCCGACCGAGTGTCCGCTGCTCTCAAGTCACTCACTTGGCACCCAGATACGTAACATCCGCCGTTCCGCCACGATAACAACCCACTGCACTTTTCATTCGTACCTTTGGTTCTCCACGATGATTGGTCACTGGATGCGCATCCGATACCAACCAACAAGAACACGGGAAACGAATTTCAAGTGGGGCCTGAAAGCCCTGAAAGACGCGAAGAGAAATATTTTAGAACTTAGCAAGAATGCATTCTATGGGTCCTAACAATATCGGACCTCGCCCCTTCGCTTCTTTCTTCACATCTTCCACGATATCTTTCGTTTCCAGTTTCCACTCGTTCCACCGTTTTTTTCATTGGTTTGTTCTTTGTTCCACCGTTCCATTATTTTAAGTGCGTTAAATGGAAGGAGAGTACGTAAAGGTGAGGTTTCGTTGCTCATGCAAATAGTTACTCCCGCCATTCAGACTCAATTCAATACAATAATAATAGTTATCTGTTACCTCGAATTATAAATACCCCTTCCGCTCATCTACCTCCACTCTGCTTCGACTTAATAAAAAAATCCTAACCTTAAACAAAATTAAACCCACTAAATAATTATGTTGGCCAACATGTTTGGGAAGAAATGAAGTACTCAACCGATATAAAACCGGTTCACCCTTTTTAAAATGGAACTCTTGAAACTTTAAATGAAAAAACATTTCGGTTTCTTATTAATTTTTTTTAGAATCTATATTGCAAAATTTTGAAAATGATATTTTTGAAATTGAAATAATTATGTAATTAAAAGTTAAATAATTCATTTTATTTAAACTGGTTTTAAAAGAACCGGTAATGTTATGGCGAGCACCGCCGACGATAACCGTCAACAACCACAACCCCTATTTTCCTTTCGTACCAACCATCAACCACACAAATAAGTTCGTTTGCATTTTGTGGTGCCCTGTTCATTGGTCCCATTAGTTCGACACTTTTTTTTATTTTGTTTATTTAATTTCAGTTTTTTCACCCTCGAATCGCTGCACGTAAAATTTTTAAGCCCCTCGTCGCATGAAAATCAAGCAGGGGCGTCGTAACTGGCCTGGCATTGAGGTCACACCCGTGACCAAAACCTAAGTGCCTTCAAAACGCTAGTGAAACAACTTATCAACAAAAAAAACTACACACTGTGCAAAGAGGTTTAGAATTTGAAGTTAAAAAATTGTTTATATAAATGACAATTTAATTTTGCAGGCATGGTGCGCAAGAGTCCTCGGAAGGCATCTGCGAAAAAAGAGTCAACGGCTGAGCAGAACGCCAAGGACAAGAGGTTGATGCAGAAGAAGGCAGACGTGATTAAGTCAATGTTGAAGCGGCCCAAGCTGAAGCTGGATCCTGAGGAGGCTCCCGCACCTTCGTCATCCTCACGACGGAAGTCCAAGCTAGAGGTGAAGAAGGAGGTGGCAGGAGGCGATGTGCCACCTTATGTGCCCCCACACATGCTGGGCCGCGACCTGACGGACCCTCTGGCTGACCAGACCGAAGGGTCAAACCGATCCCTACAGAAACCCAGATACGGAGTCAAGGTGCCCAACCGCAACCTGACCTCGCCCATCTTGACACACACAGAGTTAAACAGGGAATTGCTGGCGCGATCTCATCTGCGAAGGCCCATTGTGGGCTCGGATGTGACTCAGCTGTACGGTGCCGCTGGCAGTTACCTCTTCTCCCTGCGAATGGTGTCGCGCCTCTCGAGTAGCATGACTAACCGGACGTACCCCCTCAAGCTTAATCCGCACACTCTCAAGCTGACCCTCAACACAAACCTACAGCTGCGGCCCAAGTTGGACGCTGAGACTGAGCGTGCCCTTGCCCTCAAGCAGCTGCAAGAGATGAAAAGAACCTTCTGAAGAAGCTTGCATTCCACCCTTTTCTCTTTCATATGTGTTTTCTTTCATACCTGTCACACGCTTCCTGTCAATACTAGTTTTGTAAGCCACTTTAATAGTCTTCTACAGGTGTGTTTGCCTTTATTGCACTGTATGTATGGATGGGCATTTTGGAAATTTTATCAAATATTTTTATTTCATGATGTGCAAATGTGTCAGACGGAGACGTCTGTATCTTGCAAATAAATTATATATATGTTGTAGTTGAGTTTAATTGTTTGAAATTAAATTCTGATTATGAAATTATAACTCCTGCTATTCTCATTATATAAATTTCCAATACACCTAAAAATCCATCGCTAGGCAAGGTTGTAACTACAAATTTGGACCTGAACTAGTTATTTAAATAATTGTAAAAACATGCATTTAATGATAAATTCAAAAGATGCCCTTTGACCAAAAGAAGTTAAAGATGATGCCATTCAAACTAATTCCTTGACTTTGACTTACCCTGGTTGAAAAAAAACTACTTTTGTAAAAAAAGAGGTTTGGTTACAAATACAATTTATTGTTTTGTATTCTATTTTTAATGTATCAGCTTTGCATAACATGTTGATTTGTCTGAGCACATTAATGAAAATATTTCAGCAAAACAAACATTTTGGTTGAATAGTAATTAAAGACTATGACTGGTAAAATTGCAACTTGATTATCGCCTATTCCAGAGGCTTGAAACATTAATTACGAACCAACAGGTTTGGCTGCGCCTTAACAACAATAAATATACTTTAGGAACTTCCCAATTAAAATACTTTTGCCAAAAGGCAAAATTAGACGCTATATCTTTGAACACAACAAATTAATCCTATGATTATGTTCCTCCAAATCTTGTCTCATTTGTTTCCGATTTTAAGTCGAAATTAAAATCTTTGATTAAGCTCCTTCTCTCTTCCAGCCACAAAAGCAATCACAATGAATTTAAGCCCAGCACAAACACAAAAAGTGCTGGGGGTCGGATTTTGAAGGCATTAGGCCCTTAGGCCCATAAATGGCCATTGAAGCAGACAACAAGGACGGTGATATTGTCTAGGGAGCCCTTGTGGAAAGCCTGCAGGGTAATGCTCTTGGCTCCGTAGAATGGTTCCGAAATGCGCTCCTTGATAAAGGTCACAGCCTCCTCGTTGCTGAATGTGTCCCACAGACCGTCAGAAGCCAAAATTATGAACTGCGGACGGTGGTCGGAGAGGTCAAAGGTTAGGATGTCTGGCTCAGCCACCACCAGGTTGCGTTCCTTCAGGGGGTAGTCACCTAGCGCCCTTGACGTTGCAAGGATACCAGCTACGCGCCATACTCCGTTGAAGGTCACCAGACCACCAGCCTGCATAATTCTCTGCCGTTCTTTTGTCTGCAAAAAGTTCCGAATCAGATTTTAAATTATTATCTTAAAAAAAAAATATTAATTCAATCAAGCTCCAAATAACTCTAGCTTTAAATCTTTAATTTAAATTTTGCCACCATTAATAGACTACTTAAAAAATAAGAAATACACAAAATCTACATTAAATATTTATTTATAAATTTTAAATTAAAACATGCAAAAATAAAAATTGAGAAAAGTACAATTTCATAGCAAATTCATTCAAAAGATTTTCATATTCAGTCAAATACTTGTAAAAAAATATCAAATACAAATAACCTGCTGCGGCTTATGGTCAAAGGATAGAGGGATGGCATTGCCCTTATGGTCACACATGACCCCTCGGGAATCCCCAACATTAGCCACAATAAGCCTCTTTCCTTCCACAATGGCCATCAAGGCGGTCGAACCTTCAAAGGAATCGAATAAGGTAATGATATAACATCTCCAACCTTTGTCTAACCTGCAATGTCGAAAAGGCTCTTGGCCTTGGCAACCAACTGCTCGTCGGCAAGCAGAATTTCGTCGGTCAGCAGTTTGTCGTAATTAACTTGCCCGTTGCTGATGTAATCTGAAGCCTCCCCTGCCTTTCTTGGCGCCGCCTTCCTCACAGGTGGAATCCCGATTTGTCCATTCCTCTTGTTCACAATTTCTTGCAGCAAAATTGAATTGATCTTTTGCTTGTCACTGCCAAACACCATGTCGTCGTAGACCATCTTATCCTTTGGTTTGGAAGCAGGCGGGGATTCTGGAGGACTCCCTGAAAGATGAAAAGAAACTCAATTTAGGATGTGATACAAGTCAAACAAAATTTGAAAGAGTGCGACCTGGTATTATAGAACTATCTAGCAAATTACAAAAAATATAAGTTTTCACAAAAGTTTAAAAATAGTCATTTCAAAATAAAAAATTTATTTTTAACTTTAGATCCCTAACCACTCCATACGTTATGCTTTTGAAATTACCCTAAAATTAAAGAACAAAATTAAATATTTGAAAAATTTTAAATTTGGCAAACAGCCAATCAGTTAACAACACTCATAATTATATTTTAATTTAGACCTTTTGGTTTTTCATCTTCCGGAGCAGCTTCGTTGGCCTGCTTTTTCTCGATTCCTTTCTTGCCAAACTCCTTAGCCTCTAGAATCTTGGCTTGGATGCTGCTAGACATCCTGTCTGAGGCAAAGTTGGCAGCAAACTATTTTGACCCACTTAGGATAAATTGTTTTTTAAATAAAAAATTTAATTACGTCTCCGCCATGTCCGTCGAACACAGCAAAGAATGAGACACCCGATTCTTCGAAGTTCTCAGCCAGGACAAAGCGGTCCTCCATGTGGGGGCGGCGGCCCTGGATGGCAAACACAGCCGCCTTCTGGCCCTCGGAGCACCACGACGAGTCATTGCCCCTGATCGTCTTGCCTGGACCAAGGCGCGGACACGAGAGGTTGGATTTGGCAAGTCCGTTCTGCAGACGTGCGATGACGGGGCGCGCCCACAGGTTATTGGCCGTCTGCAGGTAGACAATCAGCACCACCGACACCAACGTCACCACGAACACCTCAGGCTTGAGCAAGTAGAGGCGCAGTAGCCGAAGTGCGTAGTTGAGAGTTGGCAGCCGCTGCGGCAGCAACGGCAGCACGAACGCGAACTTGTTCATGTGCACCATGTAAGTCTGGTACAGAATTTCGTCCTCGAGTGAATCCTCCATCGGACACTCAGCCGACAAACGCGCGTCACACTCGCGTCGGTTCAAAGGTCGATTATTTGTGACTGCAAATCGCAGAGACTCGGTCGGTCTGAAAATCGGAGCAGAAGGTCGGTGAATTTGGTTGACACCAAAATTATTTGCATTCCTGGCTCCGGAGTCTGTCCGGTGTGTCTGACGACGACTGAAAGACAAAAATGGGACGGAATACGATCAATTATAAATCTCGCCAAGTGATCATGTGCAGAGAAAAGTGTTTGTACTTTGTACTTATCGCTAGAATTCGGCTCACGGCTGTTTAAGGCGGATAAGGGATAAGATCAGACGCCTTCTTGCATATTATTTATCCATAGTTGCGAGTTGCGATGTTGCGAATAGGAATCATGAAAAATCGTGTCTTCTACGCAGATACAGTTTATTTTTGTTCAAAACCGGTTTATGTAAATTAGCGGTAAATTTTTATTATTTCTTTCAGGCACGCAGTTTTCAACTAAATTAAGCCAGATTTAAAATTTTATCATTATTTTTGGATTTTAAAACTAAAATCCGCTAAAATCTTTTGCTTCATTGCACATACTTCACATTTCAATAAATACCGGTTATTTTAACACGAAAATCGTCATCAATCCATGTTGCTGTTCGCCGTTCTCAAATATTGCACTGCACTGCACTCTGAGCTGCAGATCAAAACAAAAGTAGACAGACACAAACTAACAAGGGATCTTTTATAAAAGATCCTTGACATAGACACACTTGGTCAAGAAGAAACTTCTTATTGTACTTGGTTGAGGTGGGCTGAAATCGTGAGATCAATTAATGTAATTTATTTATAAATTATCTTTTAAATATGTAGTGCGCGCAATAATACATTATTTGTTTTGTTAACAAAAAAAAAATGGGGTATAATGGGATAAAAAAAATTATGTATCAGCTCGGATCACTATGAATAGAAATTTTAATTTCATTTTGACTTAGATGTTTTCCAAGTTATACTTCTAAAAATTTTTTGGTATGTATCATGTATCAAATGTTTTTCAGTTAAATTATGTTTTGCAGAAATGGAGAATTTAATCAACACTGTAAAGGGCTCAGCACTGGGGGTGGCTGAGTATTTTACGCCAATTCTCAAGGTAAGTCAAAATCATCCACAAACAGAAGATTAATTTTGGTAAAAATTACGCAGGAGTCGAAGTTCAAAGAAACAGGGGTGCTGACACCAGAGGAGTTTGTGGCCGCGGGAGACCACCTGGTGCACCATTGTCCAACCTGGCAGTGGGCCTCTGGAGACGAGAGTATGGTCAAGAGCTACCTGCCTAAGGACAAGCAGTTCCTCATCACCAGAAACGTTTCATGCACCAGACGCTGTAAACAGGTCATAGCTAGAGCTTTGCAAATATTAATAAATGATTTCAATAAAACTTAATATTTATAGCTGGACATTTTGGACCCGTCAGAGAAGATCTTGGAGGACGTGGACGGTGAGGAGGGTTGGGTGGACACTCACCACTTCTATGCCAGCAAGGAGAAGGAGGAGAAGGTCACCGAAATGACCACCGAGTCAGCCGAAGTGGTAAGAGGAGATATCAAATCCGGAATTTGGTCTAGTAGGAGTTTCAGGAGACAAATAATGAGAACGATCAGGAGAGCGGGGACGATGAGGCAGCGGACATGGAGAACTTTGAGGAGAGTGGCTTGCTTGACTGCGAGGATGAGGCTGTGGCGCAGGTGGCCAAAAAGCTGCAGGAGGTGGCCACCACCAGCAGTCCCGAAGGTGAAATCCTGCAGACCAGGACCTACGACCTCCACATCACCTATGACAAGTATTACCAAACCCCAAGGCTTTGGCTCTGTGGCTATGATGAGGCAAGAAATTTTCAATTTTGTTTATTTGATTGAATAAATAATCAATATTAAAAATATATATTCTGCAGAACCGCAAGCCATTGACGGTGGAAGAGGTGTACGAGGATGTGAGTCAAGACCACGCAAGAAAGACTGTCACCATGGAGAGCCACCCCCATTTGCCTGGGCCTCTCATGGCCTCTGTTCACCCTTGCAGGTCACTATTTTTCAATAATAAATTAACATTGTTAGAAAACTTTGAAAATCCACAAAATTAATTGAGATTTTGGTGTTTGAAATTTCCTTAATCTTCAGGAATATCTGGTTTTATTTTAACGTTTCAAGTATTAGTTGGTGAAATTTTCTTAAAATTTAGCATTTGCTCATAAATATTAATTTAGAAGGTAATCTCAAAATTGTGTTTTGAAATTTTTTTTCACCAATGTTTAGCTATAATTTTGGAATTAAAAATTTAGTCTCTTGTATCATCTTAGGATGTTAATTTTTTTCAAAGTTAATATTTTTATTTGAAAGTAATATAAATTTATAATGTTGTACTTAAAATAATTGTCATTGCAGACATGCAGAAGTGATGGTGAAAATAATCCAAACAGTAGAAGAGGGAGGAGGAAATCTGGGTGTGCACATGTATCTTATTATCTTCCTCAAGTTTGTTCAAGCTGTAATTCCAACCATCGAATACGATTTTACGCAGACATTCAACATGTAATTGGCAGAAAAGTGATCTTTTTGTCCTGAAACTTTCCAGTAATTCTGAGTAATTCCACACCAAGCTTCAGTTTATTAAAAATAAAAGCTTTCTGACAGGTTTTGTGGCATTGGAATTTTGGAATTTGCGAAATGAAGATTTATCTATAATTATATTGAAAAAATTAATATTTTATGTGCTGCTCATAAGAGAAAATTTAATTTTTATTCTTGTTGTGAGAATTTTTACTGTCATAATTTACAGTGATGAAAACAACTTATTACGCCATGAAAAGCTTATTGAACCTTAATAAATTTTATTTCAGCAAAATAATTGCTCTTGTTTTAAATTCAGAAAATTTGAATAAATAAACGCCTTATTGTACTACCTTAGGAATTTTTTGTCGCAGTACGTTGAAAAGACTCTTTGGCCTAATTGCATAAAAATTTACAACACATGAAAAGTTTAAGACTTATTTTATCAATCAATTCACGCACTGGAGTGGATTGCCCTGCTGCTTTAAGTGAGTTCCCCCCACTCCCGCTGCCTGAGTTGCTGTTGCTGGGAATCGGCAGCAGGGCAATCGCGAGAGAGGCTGCGAGTCGACTGATGACACGGGTGTGGGAAGTTTCGTGTCGTCGTTTGCCGTTCAATGGCCGCAACCTCTAAAGTGGATGGTGCAAACTGTTGATCGACTGGCCGAATCCGACCGCCGATGCCGAAGACCTGCTGAGCGAGGTGAGTTGATGAGACCTTTTGCGCGGCTCCACCTGCAGCCGCCATCGTTTCTCCAAAATAATATTTTTATTTTCCCTTTTATCTCTCGTCAAAGAGACTCTCCCATTTACAGTGTGCGATCAAATTTCCATGTTTGGCGTGTTTGTTTTGGTCTCGCATTCCAAGCTCGACTCGACGTCTCGAGATTGGGAGTAAAAAAAAGACGAATTGGCAATTAGGGGCGAGAATGGAGTCGCACATCCTCTCGACCTCGCAGTAATTGGAGTCGATTAAGCGTGATTTGCTGGCGCTCGCAACATTTGGCCAAACAATTTGCGTGCTCTCGCCACTCAATGCTGCAAACTAATTGCGAAGAGAACCCTCTGCGAAAATTTTGGGCGTTCAACTTCCCCTCGGGCTAACAAGAAAGCCGCTTTTGCAGGCGTTCACGCAGCCCAATAAAAGCAGAAACCTAGAAAACGACGAAAGCGTTGCAGGAAAGACTCGCGAGAAACAGGGGGATTTCCTTAACAATTATATTACCGTTTATCACTTTTTGTAAATAAATTTTTCCTATTTGAGTTTGTTGAGATAAAAACGTCACTACCATCCTTTTGCGTCACAGCTCGAGCCTTTTTTTTCGGAAGGGTTAAAAAATAAATTCCCCGCAAGTGGTTGCAAAATCCCATTGATGAGCATTTTTGCTGTCGAGTCATACTCGCGGCTTTTGCGTGACGTCTTTGATTTCCTGCGATACGCGTTGTAGTTTTAATCCTCAGAATTTTCGTCTCCCACTGTTTTCACAATAATAGTTGACCTTTTTGAAACCCCTGGACGCACTTTTGTCAACCAACCGTGTCTAGGAATTAAAAAAGAAAAGAGGGTCCGGGAAGTCGGGAAAAAATTGAGCAATTAAAATGCTGGGGGTTAAATACAACTAGGGATTCCTATTAGGGCCCTCAGGTCAGCAATACTGGGAAGTGAAATATAAGATTTTTAATTGAGTGGCTCACTGAGCTTGCTCTATTTAATTCCCCTGCCCTTTCCGCAAGATTTCTATTTCAGAAATAATTTTATACTGTAAATTTACATTTTAATCTTTGCACCATATGTGGATTTATTAGTTCTGCCGACCTTTAGTGAAGATATTAAAAAATTCAAAACTCGGAGCTAGTTCACAAAACATCAAATAAAAAAATAAGCAGCAAGTTATTTTGTGAAAAGAAAAATAAACAGAAGTATTATATGAGTGTTGTCATCTTTTTTGTTGAATTGAGAGGTTTTCTGGTGGGAACAACTTTGTTTCAGATAATGGGGCTTTTAATAAAATAAAGAAGAAGAAAGGTGAGGGCGACCCCCGTTGGGTGCGGCGCGGTGTTTAGCGCAGCGATGACAAACATTGCACCGGGGCGAGCTAAACACATTCAAAATTAACTCGCCAGCAGTGCACCACAGGATATCCTGTTTTATAATCCAAACTTTTTGTTCCAAATTCGCACATGGTCAAATTAGTGACGCAGACCTCATCTCTGATAATTTTTCGCCCAAGTTTCCTGTAAAGCAGCAGCACAAAAAAATTTCTTCCTCCAGATCGGTCATTAACTTTTGGTTCACCGTGAAGAATCTTCGATTTTTTTTGGAAAGGTATCAAAAAAGTTGCTCTTAAACTTAATCTGACCATTTTAGAAAAAAAGTTTCTAAAAATAAGTCACTTTTTAACTTTTAATTTTACACTCTCGCAGAGAACCACTCAAGAGCCGTAATGTTTTCTCCTTCCGGCCCAACCCTTTAATGCTTCTTACTTCTTATCAAAAAGAGAAACATTTAAACAGATTCCCCCATGCCAAATATCTCTCTCTCTGAAATCCTTAGAGAGCAACCACTTGAAAAGTATTTATACGCCTTAAGATTTTCTCTCGTGAGCCGGTCTGTTGGCCTCAGGCGCTCCTGTTTAATATCCATCTTGTGGTTCGCCGCATCCACTGCGCTGCTCCTCATTTCATCAACTAAACTAGACACAAAAAATTGGCCACCTTTTTAAATATGAAACTTCTGACTTTGCGGAAATCGAAGTCTTGAAATTTATCTTGTTTCATTTAAAAAAAAATGTGCAAAAATATCGTATTTCCACCGTCATATGTTAATTTTGGTTAGTGACCCAAGCGCAGTTTCCTCGGAAGATCTGTCGATTTATTTTTATTAAGAACCTTTGATCTCCTCTTTTGCTTTAGTTTGGCGCGATTAGTGAGCAACTTCCTGTTTTGATTTGTTTCAGCAGACGCGATGTCGCAACATTAGCAAGATGTTGTCCTGCAACAGCATCCTAGGCGCGGTGGTGCTGCTGTCCTTGGGGCTGCTGGCCTCGGCGCAGTGTCCGCTCCGGTGCCAATGCCGCATCGTCGGAAACAAACACAACGTTGATTGCTACGAGCGCAATCTCGAGGTACCAACAATTTTGTATATATAATTTTTTTTCCATTGCAAATTTCATTGAACATGCCAGGGGGGTCTGTCATGTCAAATCACATCTGCTCAAGATATTATATGGGGTGTCTGTTTTCTATTAATAAATTTTATGTCTGTCACTTGCGTGTCTGGAAAAGGAGATGCCTGGTGAGACTTCTGAAGGAAGCAATAACATTTTTTTCATTATTATCTATATTTTGGAATACTTTCAACAAGTTTGCCTTTTGTGGCAGGTTCCGCCAAATTTTGGAAGTGATATGTACGAAACAATGAACTTTGGCCGAAATAAACTGAAGAAACTTCCCAGTTATGCGTTCGAAAAGTTTCCTGGGCTCACGCACCTCAACTTAAGTTATAATTTTATCGTAGAGGTATGACTTTTTTCAAAATTTTACAAAGCCCTTACTGATTTTTTTGCTCTTGCAGTTGGAAGAAAGTTCTTTTAAAGGTCTTAGTAGTCTGACCGTGCTGGATCTGTCCAACAATTCAATTGTGTACATAAGGCCCTACTTTTTGACGCCATGTCCGGGCATCATGTGGCTCTCCCTGGCCAGGAACGAATACATCGGGAAGGAAATAACTTCGGTAATTTTTAACAACTCATTTTTATGAATAAAAATTAAAAATATGAATTTTAAGTTGGTGGCGCATCAAAAAAACGCAACATGGTTGGTGGCGCCAAGTCTGCGCACCTTGGTGCTCTCTACATGCAACCTGGAATTCTTCCCACCCTGGATGGTGGCTGGTCTGCCGGGCCTGGAGACCCTGGACGTATCCAACAATAGAATCAAGGTCTTGCCGGTGCTCAGCGTTGTCTCCGTGTGTCGTGTTCGAATGATGGACTTGTCCCGAAATCCCTTCAACTGTGAAGGCATCTGCGAAAATGCCGTGACCAAGAAGTACTTGGCCGACAACAAGCAAATCACCTTGGCCGGAAACGCCACCTTCTGCATCAGGGCGCGCAACGGCTGCAACGTCAACATCACAGAGGACGAGGAGGCTGTCAGACAAAATTGTCTTCTTCAAGGTTTGCACAAACATTAATAAATAAACTTTATAGATCTATTGATTTAAACAACCAAAAATAAGAAGTTATTTTTTCAGATAAACAAAATAATAACAATTTTGTGCTGTTGCAGAAATTCCAAAGCCCCTGGAGCGGAGACAGCCACGTTCTGTGTGGCTGTATATTGGTGCGGCGTCGGGTGGGTTGGTGGGGCTGCTTTTCCTTGCCCTGCTTTTCAACGGCATCGTGTCCTCCTTCCGTAGGTCTGAGTCACCACCTCCGACGCCTCACTCATCGCCGCACTCGAGGGCCGTCCAGCAGGAGCTCAAGGAAATCCTCAGCCGACCGGAATCAGTCTACAAGTGAGCCCCGTGTCTAAATGTCCAGCGTCTTCCATTAATTTTTATCTCTAGACACTTGTGTAATGAATCATCTATCTCTGACTAGGGATGACGATTCCGAGAGTGAGCATTGATTTAGGAGAAGGGAAATTCAGAGGGAGAGAGAGACAGTACCTGATTTGACCAAGGTATTTTCTGTGTTTGTGACTGCGCCTTTTGCATTGAGATCAATCGTGTTTGTCTAAACTTCTTGTGCCTTATTTTACGTCTCTCTGTGTAACACTTTTTAATTATTTGGTTGAATCAAAGTATGTTTTAACTTGCTTTAACTAATTCAGACAATGAAACAAAGGAGCCTAATGTTCAATTTCAGAGGACGCCTGGTAAAAGTGTTCATTTTTGTAATCGCCGGACTCGAAGAAAGTGGCAGGGCAGGACCAAATTTTATATTTTTTGAAAACATTTCTTGCCTTGCCCTGTTTTACTTGTGGACTGATTGCACAAAACTGTTGAAATGTTTATTTGTAAATGGACAATAAAGGACCAGTGAATCTTAATTTGTAATTAAAAGAGAACTTTTTAATTGACAAGGTTTTATTCATTTTTCCTGACGCTCCAATCAATACACTAAACATCATTTTGTTCATTTGATTCAGTTACACACTGGTGAGACTAAACATGTGGACACTAGCTTATTGTCGAACAAAAATTTGAGTTTTATGGACAGATTTTGACTTCGGTTCGTCCTTTGTTGAAGAGAATGAGAAAGATTTAGTGCTTTAAAAAACTCCACGAGTTGACGTCGAGCTCCAGATCAATGGTGCTAATGTTTTCTGCTGGCAAGGGGCACCCTATGGAGGGATTGAGCTGATCAATGGTGACCTCGCCTTCAAACGCGTTGTCCGTGGCCTTCTTCCTCTTCCTCGAGCCCATGTTTGCAGGGCCGTACGGCTTCAATCTAGGTCTACCTCTCCCCCTCCTCTCTAGGGCAGACTGATAGCTGCTCGACCCTTCCTGACCTTCGGCGCTTGAAGACATAGCTCTGGTTACACCAGCACTGCGTGGCCGCCCTCGAGACCTTCCGGTGGGCACTCTGGGCTTTGGCGCCAGACCCTTCACAGCTTTTAATATGGAATCTAAAAGAAAAATTCAAATTAATTTTTAATGAAGAACATTTTGAAATTCCCAAGAGGGATTAAAATTTAAAAAAAAAGACAAAACTCACTGCTCCTGGCTTTGGCAGGGAGGTTTTTAGGGCAAGCGTCTAGGTCAATAGTCAGCATCCCTTCGCTGTCGTCGATTGTGGATGAACCCTCTGAAGGCCCACCTTCCTCAATGTCAACTGGCTCTTGCTATTAGAATTTTGAATTTCTAAAGTAATGTACAAAATTTTATAATTTTTACCTTAATAATGAAAGGCAAAGGCTGAACTTTGACCTCCTCCGCTCGCCTCCTCTCGGCCTGCTTCTGCTTGTACTTTTGTTCAATCTCATCATCGTCCAGCAACAGGGACACCACCTCTGTTGGTTTCAGAGAATCGGGCTTGACTCCTCCCCCACTAATCACCATTCGTTGGATCTGAATCAAAAACAAAAGGTTTCATAGGAGCAAAAAACAAAATACAGAAAAACGCACCTCGCTCTTTTCCCTGGCCCTAGTGAGGATTCGTTCCTCTATGGTGCCTTTGCAGATGAGTCTGTAGACAGTGACCTGCTTGGTTTGGCCCAGTCTGTGCGCCCTGTCCATTGCCTGCTGGTCCACAGTTGGGTTCCAATCAGAATCATAGAAAATTACCTAAAAGTAAACATGTAGAAAATCTAATTGCTTTGAAGTAGAAAAATTACAGTGTCTGCTGCGGTGAGGTTTATGCCTAGACCGCCTGCTCTGGTGGAAAGCAGAAAGACAAAAATGTCCTCACGGTTCTGGAAGTCAGCGACCATGTCCCTGCGCTCCGAAATCTTGCTGCTGCCATCAAGGCGCATGTAGGTGTGCTTGCGGTAATACATAAACTCTTCCAGCAGGTCAATCATCTTGGTCATTTGGGAGTAGACTAGCACTCTGTGTCCGTTGGCCTTCAACTTCTGCAGCAGCTCATCCAGCACCGTCAGCTTGCCTGCGTCCGATATCAAACTCTGCTTGTCTGAAATAAGAAATTTTGAGCAAAGGCAAAATAAAAATGATATTTATTCTACTGGGAATTTGGATGTTGAACCAGCCGCCAATAGGTTTTGCTCCAACATAGCCAGTGGGATCAGGTCTGCTTCCCCAGGACACTTGTTTATCATCGTCCGGGACTCCATGTTTGAGCAGCGCGTCTGCAGCTCGCTCAGCTTCAGTCAGCAAATTGACGGAGCGGCGGTGATAACAGTACAGACGCCTTGCAGTTGTGTCAATCTGAATTAAGAGTATTAATATGAAAACCACATTCAAAATAGCTGCAGTTTTGATGAGCTCTAACCTTTCGAACTGTGCAGTTGAGAAACTCCGGCACCTCCAAAGGCTGGCATCGCAAAACCTGTGGCTGTCGATAAATATACTCAAACTCTGGAAGCAACACCCTGGCAGGTTGCTGCTTCTTTGTCGGGGATGAAATTTTTCCAGGCTCGCATTTTACCTGAGAAAATTAAAATGTATAATCCTCATAACTTTTATTCCGGGCGTATTACCTGAATTTTTGAGCTGCGAATTGCTCTATGCTCCAAAGTCTCTCTCATGGTGTGTAGAACAACTTTGCCAAAACTGTGCACTCTGAGACCTGAGCACTTTGTGAACACTAAGTCAGCGAATGTTTCTCCCAAATTTCTTTTGGGCAGCACCAGTTGCACATTTAGGACGTTTTGATGCTTTGGTCGGTTGATTCTTTCTAACTCCAATTCCCATCTAAAATAATCAGATTAATCAAAGCCTCAAATATTTAGGTCCAGTTACATTTTTCTAGGGCCGATTTGGAAGACGTCAGACACATCTTGAGCACTTTGTCCCAAGAATTTTGCAAATGAAAATGTTGAGTGCGTCGGAACACCTGCAGAGTAAGATTTTGAAAATTACAAACAAAAGACTTTGGGAAATTTTAGACCTTGACTGCCGAGATGGATGTTTTCAGGTACGAAAATGTTAAAGAGGTTGCTGATTCGGTCTGGGGTATTGCAGTTGAGCCTTTGAAAAGAGGGCATGCAGTAGAGCAGCTTGGGCACGTCATAGGGCAGTGGGTGCTGCTGCAGGGGCATCTTGGGCTCTTGTCGCTCAAAGAGGTCAGGGTGGTTGCACACCTTGCGGAACTGCATCACCAGGTTCATCAGGTTAGAGGTAATGTTCGATTGTGACGTTGAATTTGAGGTGCACAGAAGGTCTTCGATCCGGATCTTCTTTTTCAGGGCTGCCAAATTTAAATAGTTAAAATTCAAAAGTTGTCTTGTTATTATTTATGCTTGCCTCTGTACAAAAGTTTTTGGCGACTAGTGAGGGGACAGTAGACCATGATCTCTATTTTGTCTGACAACTCGTTCTCCACGTCCTTCTTAACACGGCGCAGCATGAAAGGCTTTAAAATCATGTGGAGGCGAGACAAGTGCTCTGCAAAAAGGAGAGTTAGAAACAAATAATTGAAAAGTGTAATTTTTACTTTCGTCAATGGAGCCCTTGTTCTCGGCAACGTTTTCGATGTCCTTGCTAAACCACTCGGCAAACTCGTCATGGCTGTCGAACAGCATGGGCATGATAAAGTGCAGCAGCGCCCACAATTCGGCCATCGAGTTTTGTACAGGCGTGCCTGAAAGGAGTAGTCTGTTTCTGCACTGGAATCCCAAAAGGCTCTTCCACCGAATGCTGAAAAGCAAAATCATCAAAATTCCAGATAATTAAAAGATTTTGCACAGACCTAGCCGTGCTCTTGATGGCCTGCGCCTCGTCCAGCACCAGGTACTGCCACTTGACCTTGTTAAAGTACTTGATGTCGGACACAACCAGCTGGTAACTGGTGATGACCACATGGAAAGATGCATCCTCGGTGTGTACGTCCTTGTTTGCCCAGAACTGCCTCAAAATCCGCCTCTCCTGAGATTCAAACAAAAGTCAAAAACTGTCAAATTAATGTGATAATTTGCTCACCTGAGGGTTCCCCCAGTAAGGAATGACCTTGAATTTAGGTACAAATCTGGCAAACTCCTGCTGCCAGTTGTGCAGAGTGGACGCGGGCGAAATCACAAGGAATGGTCCCCAAATTGCTGCAAAGTTTCCAATCAGTCTACAAAACATTAATTTGCGGGAAAGGACTCACAATATTTCTCAGCAATATGGCAGAGGAAGGCGATGGCCTGCACCGTCTTGCCAAGACCCATTTCATCAGCCAGAATCCCGTTGATGCCCTACAATTTACAAATTCCAACAACACAAAAAAGAGAAACAAACAATAATTACCTGGTCATAGAGGTTGGCAAGCCATGAGACGCCCTTTAACTGGTAATGCTTAAGGACTCCTCGGAACATATCAGGTTGCTTTCCTTCAGGGTACTCGAGTTTGATGACTGGCGCCACCATGGGGAAAGCTTCGGCGCGCGCCTCGTCTAGCCGCAGCGCCTCAGTCACATTCAGCTTTGCCTTTTCCTTCATCGCCTCACTAAAATAAAAGTCATAAGAGTCTATTTCGCAATAATTTGAATACTAAAAAATGTTTTTTTTTTTAGTAAATCATGCATATAATTTGATCGGAAACTTGGGTAGTCAACTTTTAAATCCATTTCAGAATTAATCCATGTGTTTCAACCTAAATTTACAATAAATTTGATACAGTTTGATTGTCTGCTTATAAATTACTTTTCACAAGGTGTCAAGTAAAATTTGCACCTGTTGTAGTCGTCAAACTTAGGCAGTTTGGCGGTCTCGTCAAGCTGTCGAAGGATCTCGTTCATAGCGCTGGCCTCCACAACCTGCTTGTGGGACAATTTGCGCTGCATGAAGTGAGCGTATAGCTCGGTCTGCGTAATCAGGAAGTTGAGTTTGCGCTGCTGTCTCTTGGCCTCCATCAACTCGATGTCCTGCTTGCGCTGCTCCTCAGCCTCCTTTTCCATCCGCTTGCGCGCTTCCCGCTCCACCTTGTCCGTCTTCTTCCAATACGCCTGCATTTCCCGTGTCAATCGCTTCATCCGCCATACCGTGTCTTTCATGTTCCTCTGCGACTGAATTTCAAAATATAAATAATTTCATTTTTCATAAATAGAAAAGTATCCAACCTGAGTGGCCTTGTTGCGGACAACCCGCATGCAGAGTTGTGCCGCCCTTTTGCAGTTCGTCAGCATCTCCTTGTGAAAGTTGCTTCTCCCTCTCTGGACCTTTTTTCAACATTTTATATTTTTTCCCTCCCGATAGATAAATATTCACCTTTCCAATCTCCTTCTTGCAAAGGGTGACCCAAACTTTGCGCCTCCTAGCCGTCAAGGCTTCAATGTTCAGCTTCTGCTGCTGCAACTTTCTCTTCTTATTAGAGACCCTGGGCCTCACCCCAGCATCGCCCTCTCTTTTCCTTACACCATTGTTCATCTGAATTTTAAAATTTTCAATTAATTGAAATATTGGTTAACAGTTTAAAACAATTCCAAACCTTCTCCATATCTAATGCGGTATCGTTTTTCGTACTAAATTCCGAGCTGAATTTGGTTTTCCCCGCCCTGCTGTAGAAGTCCTCCTTAGTCAACACCCCTGCCCCAAAGTACAGCCATTTGTTGCTCTACAAACAAATTCATTTTAAATATGCTTATTAATCTAGGATTGGAGGACGGACTTCATTTTTAACTTGGTACTTGCGCTGGAAGCGCTTCAGGACGCAGTGCTGCTTGAGTAGCAGACTAATTCTCTTCTCGTCACGAGACGATTGAGACAAATGCTCGTCCTCCTCACTCGAGTCATCCGAGTCGCTCAGCAGGGTGTCCTGCAGCCACTGTCGCTCCTCGTCGACCGCCCCGAAATTGAACATTTGTGTTTTCTCGTCGCCAACCAGGTCTAAACAAAGAGGAAAAAAAATAATGCAAAAACATAACAGTAATAATTTTAAACTAAAACCGTCAAATGGAAGAGGCCCTTCCTGACCAGCATCATCCGACGAATCGTCGCTGTTCAGCTCGTTTCGGTTTTGACTGCCATTTCTGGAAATTTTAATCTGCATATAGATTTTTGGTTCAAATTCATTAACTCTTACTCTATGATTCCGTCTGCATAGCTGAGGAACATCCGCAAGTCCAAATTGCCCTCCACAATCGAATTCATTTTTGATAAGTTGGAAATTGTAAAGCTGAAAATTTTCCTCTGGTTTTCTTATCGAAGCGGAATTATTACATTTTTGTGGTTCCAAGTAAATTCACTTTGATTTCCCAAATTGTGTATTAAGAAATTTTGTCTAAAAAGTTAAAATAATTTAAATTAGCGGCGGATCTGCTTTTTATAATCACGATGTTTTGAATAAAAAGTGATTAATGAGAAAAACAACAACAACATAGAGGACTCTGCCGTCGCCGTTACAAATTCCAAGGAGGTTAGATTAATCCATCCAATTGGAAGGAGCAACGCAGCGAGCAAGAAGTATAAAATAAAATTTTATACTTCTTGGCAGCGGGCAGCGGGAAAAATACATAACAAAAACAGATGTTGCTGTTTTTATTTTAACAATAAATTATACCGAGAAAAATCAGCATGTGGATGAAAACAGTGTGCAGGAAAACGGACTTGAACCTGAAACTTGTTCTAAACGGTGGGCAATGCTTTAGGTATATATATTTTATAATTATGACGAGATCAAATATTTTATGTTACATACATAAATTTTTGTTTTTATTATCTGTGTCTCAATTAATCTCAAGGTGGAAGGAAACAGAGCCAGGTACTTGGACAGGCGTGATAGAGGACCTAGTCTGGCAAATCCGATGGGGCCCATCAGGAGATGATCAGCTGGAATTTAAAGTCCATGGGGTCAAAGGTCCCGAGCTTGATGAATTCCACCTGTCAAAGAGGCTCATCCAGTATCTTCGACTGGACACTCCTCTGCAGCCTCTGTATGAAATGTGGTCCAGGAACGACGAGAATTTTAAGAAGATTGTGGGTGACAAAAATTTTGCTGGTGTACGAATTTTAAAGCAGCACCCCCGAGAGAATGTATTCTCTTTCATTTGCTCATCAAACAACAATATCAGTCGGTATGGGCTATTTATTTAATTGAATCAAAACAAATATTTTTAATTTTTTTCTCTTCAGAATAAGCAGCATGGTTGAGAATCTGTGCAAGCTCTACGGAAATAAAATTTGTCAACTGGACGAAAAAGACTACTTCAGTTTCCCCACTGTCGAGCGTCTTGCTGAGCCTGGTGTTGAAAGCCAACTTCGCGCTAACAGCTTTGGATATAGGGCCCCTTTCATTCAAAAAGCTGCTCGAAAAATTGTGGAGAATGGTGGTGACCAGTGGCTTCATGGCTTGTCAAAAGTAGACTATCCCCAAGCTAAGGAGTCTCTAATAACTTTACCAGGGATTGGTGCTAAGGCAAGAAGTGTTTAATTTTCTTTTACAAAAATTATGAAATTGGTAATGTAGGTTGCGGACTGCATCTGTCTAATGTCCATGGGCCACATGCAAGCAGTTCCTGTTGACACTCATGTGTTCCAAATTGCAGCCAACTGGTATTTACCTCACTTGAAGAAAAATAAAACTGTGACCAATAAAATTTATGAAGAAATATCTGGACACTTCCAAGAACTGTATGGCCCTAAGGCTGGCTGGGCGCACACAGTATGCTTTGTGATAAATTTTAGCTCAATATTATTTTCTATACTTATTTAATATATTCAGGTTTTATTCTGCGCTGACCTGAAGATGTTTCAACACTCAAGTACCTCAATCAAGAAATCTCCCAAAAAGAGGGAAGCTCAGACCCCTAAAAAGATTTCAAAGAGGGCCAAAAGTAAACAAATTTAAGTGTGTGAGCAACATACTGTATATTTTATGGATTGACTATAAAATTTTTTACACTAAACAGATGCCAATTGTTTGATTTCCATGTTAAACTCTCTTTCCGACTGTGACTCTGAATATTCCTGAAGCAGTCTTATTATGTTTCCATTCACGTCAGGTAATGGCTCCTGTGATCTTATTGATTTCTGTAAAGAGGAATCAATGACTTCACCTTTATTAAAAAGAAATAATAGATTCTTACCTCAATAGCTTGAACAAGCTTAATTTCAACTGGCCCATTCACAAAGTTTATCACCCTCGCACTACCTTGACTACCTATCCTGCCAACTCGGCCACATCGATGAAGATAGTCGGCCATGAAGAGAGGAAAGTCGTAGTTCAAAATTACATTAGCCTAAAAACAATATAGAATATAAGATAAAATTAATTTCAGAAATTACACAAAAATTAAAAAAGTTCATAAGTCCGTCTCCATAACCGAAATAAATACAAATGCACGATTACCTTTAATGTGTCAAGTCCTCTAGATGCGATGTCTGTAACTGACAAAAACTGTGTCTCTCCGCTTTGAAACATGCTGAAGGTTTCATATCTCAGTTCAGCAGGCATTTTAGCACAAAAACAAGGTGCTTCTATGTTATGCTCCTTTAGAAATAGCGTAACAAATCGACTTGTAGCAGTTTTATTGCTGCAAAAAATGGTCAGTAATGAAGAATTTAAAATGGTAACCAAAATAACCTAAAAATGAGGGTAGGAGACTTCTGAGCTTTCAAATGTTTAACGTTCTTCAAAAGTTCTTCTGGTTTGTGGATTTTTCCCATTCGTAAGAAAGTTTGTTTAATTTGGGGCATGAGTTTGTGCAGTCCAGGAGTAGTCACTATTTCAAACGAATCCTCCTAAATTAATTATTTAGAACTCATTCCAGTTTGTTCCAAGAGAATAATTACATCAAGAAAATCTGCTAAGATAGGTCCAATGTCTTGGGGCATTGTTGCGCTGACCATGGTCAGTTGAGCTCCCACAGGCGCAGAACCATGTCTCCGTTGACTTTGGAAATGAATCTAAATACATTAAATTTGAATTTCACCTAGAGCAATTATGAGCAGAATCAAAATATACTTACATTAATTTTTCTCAAAAACTTTTTTATGTACCAGTTGAAACTGTCGTCCATTAAAGTGTCAGCTTCGTCCAAAACTACATGGAGAATATTACTGAGATCTAGAACTTTTGTTGCTGCCAATTTGCTGACCACAGAGGGTGTAGCAATTAAAATATCCATTGGTTCAAAATTTGGGTTCATGATCAGCCTTTTTGTTCTTCCACCTGTCAACATAACCGGGGTCAAAGGCAGAGTCTTAGCAAGCTGAGATGCAACGTCCTGGAATATGAAATTGGTCATTTTACAAAATTGAAGGAAAAATGACAAATGAAATTCAATTAGTTGGTTAGTTATTATTTTTTTTCAAAATACATATCAAGGTACGGAAAAGTACGAGAGAGCCAAATATCCCTCTCATTGCCAATCCCAGACTGTGACCAAAATTTCACTTTGGTGCGCCTAGGGCCTAGGTGTAGGAGAGACGGAGAGAGCTCTCTTGGGCCCTTGCCCATAAGCCCAATGTTAAAAACGGCTTTACGGGTTCAGGCCCAATCATCCAGTCTTACCTTAAGCTCTTCTCCCACAAAAACAATATCTCTACCGTTTTGTGTGTTGTAATATTAAAAATGGCTTATAATTATATAATTGTATATTTCCTTTCCCACACATAGTGCAATATTTAAATTAAAAAATTGGCGGCGTCGAAATTTCGACATTTCTCCTCAAATTGTTTGCAATTTATGTAAAAAAAAGTTTGATGGATTTTTATATTGCAAAAGAGAAATTTCAATAAACTGAAGTAATTCTTACATAAATTTGGTGCACCAGCTCTCGGTTTGGCGCCAGGACAAGAACTAAAGGTGTATTCAATTTTTCGGGGTAAAAGGTTTTCCAATCGATTAATTGCTGCATGATGGGTAAGAGATAGGCTAGAGTTTTTCCACAACCAGTTTCTGCTGCAATGACGGTATTTTTTCCTTCCAAAATAGGTATGGCACTTTTCCACTTTTGTAACAGAAGTTTATCAGAGGTTGAAACTTTCAATTTCCAAAAATATTTTCACCTGTATCAATGTGGGGTGATGAAAGCTTAAGTTTTTTACTGCTGATATCAAATCTGAGGAATATTTCATGTCATCAAAAGTTTCACTGACGGTATTCTGAATTTCCACAGGCTTAAAGGAATAACATTAAATAAGTTTTCTGGTGTTTTTAAAACAAAGAGAAGAACCTTTTCGGATGGATGAATTGTGAAGAAATCGCCGTTGGCATGTCTGTTGAACCAGGCATGGCTAGCAAGCTCTGTTCCTCCTCCAACTGTGCCTGGGATATCTTTTGGAAGATTAAACTGTGGCCGTTTGCACTCGATCAGCCAGTTCTAAAGAAAATTTTTTTTCCATGATAAGTCTTTGGGTAAATAAGTTAAGTTGAGGCAAACTTTTGTGTCCCATTTGGGTCTGTTGGCAGAGTTGGCAGAGAGTTTGGGTTTTCGAACTTTTCGCTCTTGTGATTTTGGTGTCGTCTTCGGTGCTATGGTTGAAGTATCACGGAGTTTGTTAAAAATGTACCACTAGAATTGAAGAATGATTAGTACAAATTGATTGATTGAGCAAAATTTTAATGCGTTAAAGCTTATTCTAATAAATATGTATGTAATACAAGTACAAAACTCTGCTTTAAGTTCTGCTGTCCATCAATTCTATGTTATGTTATTATCATGGTGCTCTTATGGTACGTGCCAAATAGGAGCAGCGATGGCGGACCTTCGGTTGGTACCTCTGTAGGACTAAACGCGAAGTTTAACGAAGCGATCCGAACCCTCGCGGTCCGTGAGATAAATGGGAGGAGCCTATTCACCACTTTTCCCAACAATCTTAATTTGGGGGCTGCAAGAAAGAATCAGGGCTTTGGGATGGGTTCAGAATGGGAAAGACGTTATTTTCCGGGAAATTGCATTATGGTACGGGGAAAAATTGCATTATGGTACGCGCAAAAATAACAGTATGGTACGCGCAAAAACAACGTTATTGAACGCACAAAATTTATATTATGGTACGCGCAAAAATAACGTTTAAGTACGCGCAAAAATTATATTATGGTACGCGCAAAAATTATACTAGGGTACGCGCAAAAATAACGTTATGGTACGTGCAAAAATTATGTTATGGTACGCGCAAAAATTATATTATGGTACGTGCAAAAATTATGTTATGGTACGTGCAAAAATTATATTAGGGTACGCGCAAAAATAACGTTATGGTACGCGCAAAAATTATGTTATGATACGCGCAAAAATTATATTATGGTACGTGCAAAAATTATGTTATGGTACGTGCAAAAATTATATTAGGGTACGCGCAAAAATAACGTTATGGTACGCGCAAAAATTATATTATGGTACGTGCAAAAATTATATTATGGTATGCGCAAAAGTAGCGTTATGATACGCGTAAAAAAAAGAAATGGTGAAATGTAAATTTATCATTAAAAAAAAAGAGAAAAAATTGGGATTTGATGAATGGAAGTAATATAAAATAGCACATTTTTTTTATAATTTATATCAAGTCCTAAAAAAATTATGTAATTAACATATTTATATTTCATCTGAAAACCCCTGAAAAAAGTATTTGATGAAAACAAGTAAAATTATTAGTAAAAAATTATTATCGTCTGTTCAAAATTCCCTCTGCAGACAAGTTCTTCTGTAGGCAACTCTCCCATGTGCGTTTGCGAGCTCCGCTCGCACCCCCCTGCAAAAATTAATCTTGGAGGTTGCCCAACTCCGAGTTGCCGGTTCGTGGGGTGCCCCCAGTCCCATGTGCGTTTGCGAGCTCCGCTCGCACCCCCCTGCAAAAATTAATCTTGGAGGTTGCCCAACTCCGAGTTGCCGGTTCGTGGGGTGCCCCCAGTCCCATGTGCGTTTGCGAGCTCCGCTCGCACCCCCCTGCAAAAATTAATCTTGGAGGTTGACCAACTCCGAGTTGCCGGTTCGTGGGGTGGCCCAAGTCCCATGTGCGTTTGCGAGCTTCGCTCGCACCCCCCTGCAAAAATTAATCTTGGAGGTTGCCCAACTCCGAGTTGCCGGTTAGTGGGGTGCCCCAGTCCCATGTGCGTTTGCGAGCTTCGCTCGCACCCCCCTGCAAAAATTAATCTTGGAGGTTGCCCAACTCCGAGTTGCCGGTTCGTGGGGTGCCCCAAATCCCCTCGTGTGCAAAGGGAATGGAAAAGTGTTTATGTGAACAATAAAGAGTTAACAAATATTGAATTTTTTTTTATAAATTTAACTAAAAAATTAGTAATTAAAAATAATTAACCAAAATGTAAAAATTTATTAATATAATTTTATCGAAAAAAATATTTTTCTTACGAAAGTTATATTTAAACAATATTTTCAATATTTGTTTACTCTTTATTGTTCACATTGCAATACGAAAATCATTCTATAATTTTTACAATATCAGATTTTATTTCAATTCCTTGCACGCGAGGAGACTTTGCACACTAGGGGATTGGGGCACCCCACGAACCGGCAACTCGGAGCTGGGCAACCTCCAAGATTAATTTTTGCAGGGGGGTGCGAGCGAAGCTCGCAAACGCACATGGGACTTGGGCCACCCCACGAACCGGCAACTCGGAGTTGGGGCAACCTCCAAGATTAATTTTTGCAGGGAGGTGCGAGCGAAGCTCGCAAACGCACATGGGACTGGGGGCACCCCACGAACCGGCAACTCGGAGTTGGGGCAACCTCCAAGATTAATTTTTGCAGGGAGGTGCGAGCGAAGCTCGCAAACGCACATGGGACTTGGGCCACCCCACGAACCGGCAACTCGGAGTTGGGGCAACCTCCAAGATTAATTTTTGCAGGGGGGTGCGAGCGAAGCTCGCAAACGCACATGGGACTGGGGGCACCCCACGAACCGGCAACTCGGAGTTGGGCAACCTCCAAGATTAATTTTTGCAGGGAGGTGCGAGCGAAGCTCGCAAACGCACATGGGACTGGGGGCACCCCACGAACCGGCAACTCGGAGTTGGGGCAACCTCCAAGATTGATTTTTGCAGGGAGGTGCGAGCGAAGCTCGCAAACGCACATGGGAGAGTTGCCTACAGAAGAACTTGTCTGCAGAGGGAATTTTTGAACAGACGATAATAATTTTTTACTAATAATTTTACTTGTTTTCATCAAATACTAGAGGGGTTTTCAGATTAAATATGTTAATTACATTAATTATGAATTGATATAAATTATAAAAAAAATCCCAATTTTTTCTTTTTTTTTTAATGATAAATTTACATTTGACCATTTCTTTTTTTTACGCGTATCATTTTTTGCACGTACCATAATATAATTTTTGCGCGTATCATAATATAATTTTTGCACGTATCATAATATAATTTTTGCGCGTACCATAACGTTATTTTTGCGCGTACCGTAATATAATTTTTGCACGTACCATAATATAATTTTTGCACGTATCATAATATAATTTTTGCGCGTATCATAACGTTATTTTTGCGCGTACCCTAATATAATTTTTGCACGTACCATAATATAATTTTTGCACGTATCATAATATAATTTTTGCGCGTACCATAACGTTAGTTTTGCGCGTACCCTAGTATAATTTTTGCACGTACCATAATATAATTTTGCGCGTACTTTAACGCTATTTTTGCGCGTACCATAATGTAATTCTTTCGCTTTCCATAACGTTTTGCGCGAACCATAATTTTAATTTTTGCGCGTACCATACTGTTATTTTTGTGCGTACCGTAATGCAATTTTTCCCCGTACCATAATGCAATTTCCCGGAAAATGTCGTCTTTCCCATTCTGAACCCATCCCAAAGCCCTGATTCTTTCTTGCAGCCCCCAAATTAAGATTGTTGGTTAAAGTGGTGAATAGGCTCCTCCCATTTATCTCACGGTCCGCGAGTGCTTTGCGGTTAGTCCTACACAGTGTACCAACCGAAGGTCCGCCATCGCTGCTCCTATTTGGCACGTACCATAAGAGCACCATTATCATAATGTAATTTCTATGTAATTGTGATATTTTTCAATATACGTATTAATGCTGGACCATACTGGACAAATAAATAGTAAAACATAATAATTTCATAATTGATCCACAATAATAAATTGAAATAGAGACAAGAATAAGAATTATATCATACCGACATAGTTCTAGACGAAACTGATGAAGTACAAAAAGGAAGACTTCTTGAAAGAAGAAACAATCGACTCTGGGATAGCATGATGGCTTATGTTACGTATTTAAAAATTTCAAAGTGCTTATAATAAATTAAATTTATGGCTCAGAAAAATGTTCTTAAACTAAACGTCCTCAATTTATAAGCAAACAGCAGTTAAAACCAACTGAAACCAGGAGCCCAAGAAGTAAACATTAAACAACAAGCATGCGTAAATGTGGGTTTGGTCTATTTTTGTTGTTGCACTTTTGTTCTATAGGAAGAAAGATGGGCGGAGTCCATGGAGGTTTTTGCCAAGTTCTACCTTCGGTCGCTTCTCCTCTGGTGGCGTTACTGGCGTTACTGTTAACTGTTACCAAAAGGGTGCGAAAATTAACCGGCATTAATCGAAGTATGTAAACAAACGAGAATAAGTTAATTATCTGATTGTTAAGCCACCCTGAAGCACTTTGCGAAATTTTTGCATTCATCAAAGAAGTAAAAGATTCCAGGTAACTTAAAGATTTGTTGGCTGCATTTCATACAAACTAAAATTTTTGCCTTCAAAGTTTGCAGCATGCTGCGGCGGCTGCCTGTGTCGGGGCCCAGGTCGCTGGACCTGGATGACTCGATGGCCGACGCAGACGACACGATGCAAATGCTGCGGTCGCCTATGCAGCGCTTGCCGTTGCGCTCATCCACTCTTGACACGACGGCCTCCGTTTTTGACAGCACCAACATGGACGTGACCATTCTGCCTGGCGAGATCTCCAAGTTCTACAGCCAGTCGCTGCTGTCCGAGTCAGCCGAGCCGCTCGAAGCACTCGCTCAGGCCTTTTTTGATGTCCTCGACGCCCACTCAGACGCCCAAGAGGCCTTCGACGCCATCAAGGAGTTCCACCACGTTTGCGACTCCTTTGCTCAGGTTCAATTTTTTTCTTGCCAATCTGTCAAATAAAATTTGTATAAATTTAACAAGGGAATAACATTTAATTTGATCGAAAAATTTTGATATGTTCAGAACTTCAGAAATTGCAACTTGCTGGAGAAATGGCTGACAGATGAGAGAAACACCTGGCGCTTAGTGGAGACTCTTTACGCAGACCGACTGAACTTTGATGAGGACAGCAAGGACGTGGGCATGGAGCTGCGGATTAGTGAGAAGGAGGTTATGCTGGACGTTTTCCGGCAGGATAACATAACCAGGCAGTGCCAGCTGGTGGTTGACTGGCTCGAGCAGACCGAGGCATCTCGAAAGGAAAATGCCCAGCTGCTCAGGGCCGAGCACTTCTCAGACAAAACGGTCACCTGGGAGAACACCATCTTCCAGCTCAAGCAGAGGGACAACCTTGCCTACAACTCCAATGTCGCTCTTGTCACTGAAATTGACCCTGACGCACCCGTTAGACAGTCTCGGTATATTTTAGTTTCATAAAAACTTTCCTTTCTAAAAATTGTTCCTATTAACAATTAAAGTATTCAATTCAAATTTTTCTGAAAACCACTGAAAAATCGTCAAATTTAGTTTTTAAAATAAATTTTTTATGGAAACTGGATCCGAAAAAATCTTACATTGGTCAATTTTACTGTACATTTAGGCCCAAATTATATTATAAATTATCAGCACATGCCTAGACGCACCTCTAAACCATTTATTTAACTTCCTGATATTTAGGTACATTCACAAGTTGGATGCTGAGGATGAGGCAATTTTGCTAGGCCAGATTTTGTCGCACGTCCGCTGTGGGCAGCTAGACTTAGCACAGCGCCTCTGCGTCCACTGCGGACAGCCTTGGCGAGCAGCTACCCTGGAGGGCTGGCGGCTTTACCACGATCCCAACTTGAGCAAGGATCAGGATACTGGTGTACTGGAGGCCGTTGAAGGCAACCCGAACCGCGACCTCTGGAAACTTGCCGCCTGGCACATGTCCAAGGACCCCAGACTGCCACAGACGGCCCGCACCACCTACGCTGCGCTCTGCGGACACCTCCAGGTATTGACCTTTATTTTTATCCTATAAGATAATTTTCTTACATAAATATATTTTGAAAAGGCTATGCTGCCCTCAATGGCGACCTGGGCAGACTGGTTGTGGGCTCACCTGAGGGCCATGATTGATGTGCGCATCGAAGAAGAAATCAGGGAGCGCGTGGACAAGCAGTTTGTTGAGATGCCTAACAACTACTGGGCAAACAAGATGAGCCAGGCGCAGATTTTTGCCGCCCTTGCCTCCAGCATTGATCCCAAGGTGAGGGCTGAGCACGCTGATGACTTCCCTACCCTGCAGAGGTTCATCATCCTTGACGATGTTGCCACCCTATACTCCACCCTGGCCGCTTGGACAAGGCAACACGCTAATCTTCCATCACAAAAGTCACCGCTCCTTCTCAGGTAACACTGAGCTGTCAAAATGTCAACAAAAAATTCTGTTTTTCTGGGAATTACAAGCTTGTTAAAATTATTTTATTAATAACAATTTAAAAAAAAAATATGTTCTGTAAGAATTGTCATAAAAATGTATACATTTGGTTGTCATTTGTTTTATGTTATCAATATCTAAATACTCTAAATTGGTATTTTTGTTGGATATCAGAATAAAACAATTTTTAGTGAATATCAGAGGATAAAATAAAAATATGTGTTCAGGTTTGCAGCGCACTTGGTGCTGGTGCTGAAGCAGCTAGGCAAGGAGGAGAATGAGATATGCGCACACTATGCCAGTGAGGTGCTGAAGACGTACACAAAATACGTGATGGGTCTGAAGAGGCCCGAAATAGTTATTGCGTATGTTGCAAAGCTGCCCAAGAAGGAGCAGGTGGACGTGTTGGCCGCTTACCTTGAGGGCATCACTGACCCCGACATCAAGACCCAGTGCGCCATCCTGGCCAACAACGCTGACCTGGACTTTACCAAGGCGGCTAGGAAGGTTGTCGTCGCCATCAGGGAGCGCCAGACGTCTAAACCAGGTACTGATTTGTCCCTTAGTGAAGAGTGACCCTGACATATCACTTGTATCAGGTCTGAACCCTGTAGAGGAGGACGTAGCCAAGATCGATGCGCTCGAGTGGCTGAGTATATGTCCGTCGCAGAGTGTGGAGGCTCTGTGGCACTCCAACGCCCTTGTGCGGCAGTTCGTGTCCAAGGGCAAGCTGGATCTGGCCAGGAATGCCTACGCCAAGATTCCTCCAGACGTCCTGCATACCATTGTCCAACAGGGTCAATTGCTCAGTGAAAACGAGGATTGTTCACCGAGACACAGCGCCGCCATGCGCGAATACCTCTCCTTTCAGCTCTATCTGGTTAGTCCATAAATTTTATCTTGTTCAAAGTAATTCAGTTTTTAAAGTTAAAAACATAGGCATCTCAAAAAACTTTTAAAGTTATTTTTCCTTAAAATAGAATAAAATATTAAATGAATATATTATAGAGGTAGGACATTTAGAGAGCTGAGGTGATAAGTTTATCTAGTTTTCCTATTTGTGATCAAAAACCTATGACAATAGTGTTTGGAACACTTGGTATGCACTAAGAATAGTAACTATTTATTTGGCTTTATATTATCAGTGATGGTCATAATATCCAATTGAATTACCATGTAAATGTGAATTGCAGGACGCACACAAAGATTTTGGAGAGTGGCTGCACTACCTGCACAAGAGGCCAGTGGCGCCAGAAGCAGTGTCGAAGGAAGCCGCCTTCCAGCAGAAGCTGCTTTACGAAGAACAGATCAAGTTTTACAAGTCCTCGCTCGAAAGCTGGAAGAAGAACCTGAACCACATGGCCGAGGTGTGCAAGAAGCGGTTCATGAATATCCTGACCTTCCCTGATGGCGTGTGGCTAAAGGAGCGCGATGAGTTGGAGTTGTCGCCTGAGGTGGTGGCCAGGAATAATGAAATTGACAGCCTGATCCGCATTGTGGTGCCGCAAGCTGCTTTCCTTGTCCACGAAATCAGCCTCAAGTCGGGTGACGCTAAGTTCAGCCTCCACCTAGCCAACATCATCGCTTCCGAGCGCTACGAACTCTACAGACACTTCAGCAAGAAAGACCTCAGGGAATTGCTGCAAAAGATCTCTGAGTCATCTGTTGAACTGCTTAAAATGAAACTAGACCCTTTCGGCCACGAAGTTACAACATAAAAAAATTAAAACATTCGAAATAACTGTTCATTAAGTGGAGACTCTTGTATTCTACATTCATTAAATAAAATCGTTTCTTATTTTGTGTAAGTTAATATTAAATATTGGAGTGTTATTTGGATGATAAATGTTAAAAAAATTAAACACTAAAAGAAACATTATTGCGCTGCTAGAAAGCGCCTATTTGCATAAGTTGCATAATATAAAATTTAAATTTTCGCGCCTAGTTTGACAGGACCTCTTTGGTTTGCAATTTTTTCTAGGATTTGTTATTGTTTTGTTGACGGTGAACAATCGGGAGAATTCTGCCGAAAAGCTTCTTACTTTTGCAAATTTTTGAGAAAGTACACGTCGAAGTAAGTTTTAAGACATTTAATTTTATGGCAAAATTTTCGTTGTTCAATGAAACCAATTTTTTGCCAAAATATTAACAAGACACGGATTTTGGAAGCAACTTTGGTTTCCAGACATTTCGCTATACATACATTGTTTTCCTGCTATTGATTAACTGTGATTTATTTTGAATTTTGTGTAGGCATGATTGAAATCACGTGTAACGACCGTCTGGGCAAAAAGGTGCGTGTCAAATGCAACACGGACGACACAATCGGCGACCTGAAGAAGTTGATCGCCGCTCAGACCGGCACACGCTATGACAAAATTGTCCTCAAAAAGTGGTACACGATCTTCAAGGACCACATCACGCTACAGGACTGTATGTATCTAATTTATAATATTTTTATATTTACCTTACTAAAATAAAATTCTAATTTAGATGAGATCCACGACGGAATGAACCTCGAGTTGTACTACCAGTAAAATTCGGAAGGACAAGGAAAGTGAAATGAATGAATGCGGGTCTGTCAAGTACTTTTTTTTTATTTTCATGATTGGCAGGAAAATGAATGCTTGTACATACAACTGATTCCACAATCAATATAAAATTTTAAGACAATTTTCTTAATTAATAATAAACGTTTGTCACTTAGCAAATGTCAAAAGAAGATTTATGCTTCTTTTTTATTCTATTTCTATAGTAATATTGTAGGAAACACTTGCTATGTTATAATAGAGAGGAAATTAATTTATAACAAAAAAAAGACAAAAAATTGAATCCTGCAATTTTTCAAAAGGACTAGCTTGTGTAAATTTTAAAATTCTAGTTAAAATATTTGGTGTGTGTGATTAGATAAGTGATAATTAAAATGCAGAGCTAAAGCGTGTGGTTTTGACTGAATTCAGTGCGGGGTCTTGAAGTGTCCGTCAGAGAGCACATTCCTGCGCGGAGAGGCAGGGGAGGATTCACCAGAGAAGGAGTTTGAGAATTTGGTGGGGCTGACGGGCAGCGGCACCGCCACCTGGTTGTTCAGCAGGTCCTTGATGTGCTGCACAATTAGCTCGATCGCCACTAGAATTGGATCAAAAATCAGTCGGGCACAAACACAATCAGTGCAGCAGCAGCGGACACAAACAAAACACACACAGACATTGCTGCTCATTAGTGTGCAATTCTTGAACACACCTTTTGTATTAATCTTTGGGGAAAAAAGCAAAAATCAAGCTGGCAGTTTCTTTTTATTGAGTGAAACGACTTTTCAGTTTTCATACATTTTATTCAATTGGCAAAATACATTTCGTTCTCTTTTTTTAGTGAGACTACAACTATTAGTTTTTCTTACACAACTTAAAAAAAGTGTGCCTCTTATCAGATCGGCGGTATTTTGCCGTGTGTGCGGAAATGATAACACAACGCGTCAGTGGTTTTCACAATTAATGTGGTAAAAAAGGACACAAAATCATATGTATATAGTTTTGTAAAGGAACAACAATGCAATGCTGTGGGTCGATAAAAGACTGCTACGATGGGGGTAGTTTTCGGAATGTAGCAGCTAAAAATTAACGGGGAATTTCCAAAAATTAAAAATGCTCTAAGTCTCAGTTCGTGGGTGATCTGCTTCTTGCTGAAAAAGATATGAAATGCACTAGAATTTGGGGACTGTGATCACCGCAAACAAATGCATCATAACTTAGATTACAATTCATTGCGGTACAAAAGAAAATTTATCTATCTAGAAAAAACTGCTGTTAGTAAAAGTTCAGGAATCCGATAGGGTTGCCAAAGTTATTTGGAGATTTACAAAATGTGGCAACGCCGATCGACTCCTTTAAAGGCTAACAGTAAGTTTCAATTATCCTGCGTTCAAAAATTGTTGAGCGTCACTCATTAATCCGAAAAGCTCTCTATCTCATTGGAAGATTCTTCTCACAAAAATTTTTTGATTTGACTCATTCCGAGGGGTGAATTTTCGCAATCGATTACAAGTTTTCTGCGCGTAGATTGAGCGTATTAAGCTAAGCTACACTCGAGCTAATTAACTTGTGCTGTCACTAATCAGGAATCGGGCCACTTAAATTTTCCGCAACCAAATTTTTGTTATTCAAAACTGATAATTTTAAAAGGCGATTTCAACAGTGTCAAAAAAAATATATAATTTGGGCAGAAATCTTTGAAATTATTAGCGCTAGAAGCCAAAATCGTCATTGGAATCGGACGTGATTTTTCAAATCTCTGCGAATTAGAGGATTGCTAAAAAAAAAATGAGTGTAAATTAGCGGATGAGAGATTCAGAGGACGAATTTCGAGTGGGCGGCTGCTTGAGTGAGGCCGTGTTGCGGTGGTTGCCATTACACAGGGGGTGGTGGTCGATGATTGGAGGCGGTCGCGGCGCCTCTACCTCGTCGTCGCCATGCAAAATATTTCGAATATGGTGGACAATCAAGTCAATAGCCACTGCAAATGGAACACAAAAACCAAACAATAAAAAACTATTTAAAGCTCTCGTCTGGTATGCGCGCGCAAATCACACACAAATTATTACTCTGAGAGAAGGTAATTAATCACAACCAACCACCACACCAGAGTTACTAAAGCTGAATTTTAAAAGAATGTGAATTCGGATTAGTCAGAGAGCTCAGCAGCACTTTTTTTTTTTGTTCCACCACCTGCTTTTCTAGTAAAGTGTGTTCAAGAATTTAGCATGCGTTCAAATCAAGAGAAAAGCAGCAAGGGATCGAGTTTGCTAAAGACTTGCCTGTGTTGTCGGCTCCGCGGGGAATGATAACGTCGGCGAATTTCTTGGTCTGCGCAAAAATCATTTTGTGATTAAATGGTTAAGTGGAAATAATTAGGGAGGAGTATAATTACGGGCAGACAAAACTCCTCAAAGGCCGGCTTGACGTACATGGTGTATTGATTCAACACCTGGTCCAGGTCTCGACCCCTCTCCTTGATGTCCCTTAAAACTAGACCCGGGATCACGATTTGAGTGGATAAAAATTTAGTAATGACCTCTGCGAGCAAGTCTAAGGTCTGAGTCGGTGTCGACAAACAGCTTCATGTGGAAAAGGTTCCTTATCTCGGGGATGTAGAAGGCGAGGATGCCCTCGACAAGGACCACGTCTGCAGGGTAGATGGTGGACATTTGTTGACCGCTGCTTGAATGCTTGCGATAATCATATACCGGTATTTCACAGCTCTTGCCGTGCAGAATGTCCGCCAACGTCTGGTGAAGCAGCTCGTTGTCAAAAGCATCTGTAATTCGATTTTCAAAGGAGCCAAATTTTATTATGTAAATTCAGAATATCCTTGGATTGCAACGAATATGTTGGGAGACTAAATTTGGCCAAAATTGGCAAAGTTGTACGCATTTGAAATTTTTAGACTGGCCAGTTTTATTCAAATTGGCTGCCCATAGAGATTATTGAAAGCTTTATTAATCCGCAATTTTTTTTTCAAAAAGTACTGGTCCAGCTTATGTTATAAAAAGACCTAATAATAATTTTGTCTGCAAAACAAATAAAAAAATTTATTTAGCATGTTTTGATTGATTTGCCAAGGAAATACTGATGGTATGTTTAAATTGGAAGGAGTTTGAGCGAGGAGTATTATTTTTAAGCTCTTGTTTTACTGCAACAAACGTGGAATGGCCTTGCGTTGGAAATAAAGTGAGTAGTTGTTAGAATGTGCGCAAAAATAGAGGTTTTTAGCAAGAGCGATAATTCAGCAAGGTTGTCGGCCGGCGTTGCCAAGTGTGTGCCGCGGTCATTGAACCAAACCAAAACTTCCTTAAAATTAATTCAATAAAAAAAGAACAAGGAATTATTTTCGTCTGCAAACCAAATCAAGACCTAAAAACGTAACAAAAAATCAATCTCTTCCGTGACACGCCATAATATATAAGTAAAAAAAAAAAATAAGGAAAAAATTGAGATCAAACCGGGGTGGTCGAAGTTGAAGTTGCCCTTGACGGCCCTGATGCGCTCCTCGTCGTTGAGTTCGCGGTAGAAGCTGTCCTGGCTGATGCACACGACCTGCCGCTGCGTGTAGGCCACGTTGTCGATGCCCAGCTTCTCCATGATCCTCTTGCACACCGTCGACTGCACACATTCTCAGAGTTGGAACAACAAAAAATTAAGAATCTTAGTGGTACCTTTCCCGAGGCCGTTCCTCCGGACACGCCGATGAGGAAGGGCCGCTTGTTGTGGCGGTGCAGGTGCAGGCCGTTGCTAGTTTTGCCGTCGCCGTTGGCCGCCGCCGCATGGCCCTCCGCGGTTGACTCGGACATGTTTTTTTAGCAGTGCAGCCCAAGGTCAACGCAGACCCTTGAAGGTCGGCTCTCGACTCGGCGCTTTGGTGTCACCTGGTTGCAACCTGCTCGTCTCACTTCTGCATTCCTCCTAAGGGTCGCGAAGGCCTCTGTAGTCTCGGCAGCGGTGCACGCGAGACCGAGCGAGCTTTTTGTGCGACAGTCAGCTGGTCGCGGCGGCACTCGCAGCTGCTGCGTCGTTTATCGATCGGCCGCGGGAAAGCACCTCAATGCGGAGTGTGTTGGTGGCGCCTGCACTCCACTGCCTGCAACACGTGCCCGCGGTCCTTTTTGTTTTCGGCTCAGGGTCACCTCTGCTCTGCTGCAACCAAATCGTCAATTTATTATTAGGTTCAGCTTTTATGGTCCCGTTCAGGTTGTCATGTAATACTGGCAATTTTGTATAGTACTTATTTCGTAAGAAAAGAAGTTGAGATTATAATATTAAATTTATATATGATGCAGGTACATTAATTTTAAATTAAATACATACATAATGAAAAAACTACGTTAAGGGAAAATATGTATGACCTTAAATTGTGTTAAAAATATATATTTTTTTAAGAAATTGAGCTCTAGGGAATTGAAAAAACATCACATTTAAACATAAAAATTTTAAGTTAGTTTGAAGATTTTAATTTTTATGTTAAAATATGGTGTTTTTTCTATTTTGCTGATTTATAATTTATTTTTCTTGCTCAAGAAATAGGGTCGCAGACTGTGACCGAAACTGGTAGAGCTATTTTTTTTTTAATAAAACCAATTTTTCGCAATGAGGAAAGGCCTGATCTCTTCATTTCAGAAAAATATTGTATTGGAATTACTGAAACTGTCCAAGTAAAAATGACAAAGGAACGATTAGAATGTTCAAAATAAAATTTAAAAAAGTCTTATCTAACAGTAGGAAAAATTTAAATTTTTTTATCAAAATTTCATTTTTTAATCTTATAACTTCATTCGTTTCCCTTTTATCAGTTTCAGTAGATAAATTATTCATGTTAAATCCTTCTATTAAATATCTTGTCTCAATAATTCTGTAATCGCACAACCCGGAACGAAAGACGAACATCATTTAAGCTGTATAATTGTTTGTTATTAAACGCTTGTTCAAGAAGTTGTTTCAAATTTTGATGAAACGTGTTTTCATAATTACTGCTGAAAGCGGTTTTAGCCTTGCGCGCGGAATACATTCATATTATGACACGCGAGATTCATTTTTTATTTTGCAGAGATTTGCGTCGCCATTTTTAATTTTGACTCTCTCAATCAATCTAGATTAAAGTTTAAGAAATTAATAGATTATACTTCTCAGACCACTTTTTTATCACGGTTCCTCCAATTTACTTATTTATTAAATTGAAGCCATACCAAGATAAAATTGGAATTAAAAAATAAACATTAATTTTCTAAAATAAAATAAATGTTCATCCTCAGTAAAAAATATACTCCTCTTTAATTTCTGTTTAAATCAATTAAAGCAATTTATTTGAGAGCTGCGAGGTTTAGATTTTATAAAATTAAATGATGTTCTCATTTAAATGAAATTTCACAATAAAAAAAAAATGAGATTTCATAGCCTTTGCGTGTAATTTTATTATATTTATGGAAAATATTACGTCATGAATTTCTCATATTATAAATCGATAAATAATGATACGAATTAATTATATCATGCAATGGCTCTAAAATCTTTAAAAAGTAAGTTATTAGAATAATTGTGTTTTTTTCTACACAAATTCAAAGTTTGTAAAACTGAGCTACATTTGTCTTTACAATTGCAGACGTAGACATATAAATTATCTTCCTTAAATTAATTTAAAATCAAAAATTGCTTTTGAGAAGGCAAAAATAGTTTCAAAAAACAAAAAAATTCTCACACTTTGATGATTTGCGGAAATTTTTTTATTCCGTCGAGGGCATGTGTGAAAACTGGATGTTTACGTTGAGTACGTTTTCGTGATTTGCGTGGCGCAGTCAGCGACCGCGCCGAGTAAACAGAGGCTGCAGCACGAGACCGAGATTAGAGGTGTGGACGGAGCGTGACCTTTGCCCTGGTGCCCCTGGTCGGTGTGTGTCAAGGACGTGCGCGCATCGACATAAACCGGATCGTTCCGACTCGCGATCCTCATTCAAACACGCCAGACGGGAAGCGGGGAGTGTTTTTTTCTTATGCTTATATCAGGCGCTCCATTGTTAGGAGAAAATTAACAAAAAATAAGGGCACTCAGACTACAAGAAAAGGGCCTTTGAAGTTGAAGGTTTCAACAAGAAATTGATTTTTAGCACACAGGCCTTCAAATTTTATTTTTTAGGTAAATTAAATTATGTTGAAGACGTGCATGCAAAATATATTTCCTAATAAAATTGAAGAAAAAATATTTTGTCATTAGTTTTGGATGAAATTCTCTTTTAAATTTCTTAAACAGAGCTCAGTTAATGATCGATAGAGGAGATGAAAAATATTAAAAAAAAAAAATAAAAAAAAAAAAATAAAAAATGCCTTACCACGATGGTTGAATGGGGAGCTCGGCAAAAAATTTAATAAAGCGCGTGTTAGCCGATTGGCTTTGAGCTTTGAGTTTTCGCTGGGCTGGACAGGATAAAGAAAGCAATGGGTTGCACTAAAAATCAGAGCCCTAGCTGGCTGAAAAGCTGGGAAAGGATTTTTTTAATTTTGCCGAATAGCGTGGGAGTCTCTTAGCTTTTTGCTCTTGCGTACGTGGTTGCTGGAGCAAATTTCATTTTGCGCTTTGCTCTCTTCTATAGGTGGAACCGAAACAAAATGTATTTCTATAAAGATATTTATTATTTTATTGAGCCATGCTCTTTTATATTTGTGCAGAGAATTCCATCAGTAGAGATATGCTGGTGAAAAGGGTGCTCTTAAGAAGACCCAAGATGCCAAGAAAATGCGATGGAATTTTATTATTGCGCGCCGTGTGTGTTTTGCCCAAAGAGGAGCGCATTTGTCTCCGCCGTAAATCAATTATCTGCCTTTCAGGACACTTTTATTGCGTGCCAATTCTCTCAAAAGGTCACGCAAAACTCAGTTTAGCTTGCAGTTTAGGTTTTTGCGTACAAATCTATGGGATACTCTAAACTAAAAATTATATTTAAAAATTAACAACAAAAGATGCGAACTGCGAAGTATATATACAATTTTTTAATCAAATAATTTTTGTTTCAGAATTTTCTGGAATCTGATGCTGATCAAATTGTTAGATACTTTTAACTTTTCCAGCACTCTGGTTATTTTTAAATGCCGTAAAAAAATCTAAGAAATATTTTCCTTTTTTTAATTTTTTTAATCTTGTTGACTTGTTGCGAGAGAATAAATGAATAATGAATTGAACTTGCGTTTAAATATCTTTATATCTTATGATAAAATTTGGATTCTCCTCTCAAAATTTCTAAAAAATTTTAATGTGTATTTAATAAGTTATTTTTGTGAAAGTGCAGATTTTCTGGCTCTCGTCGTTTTACTGGACCATGAATTTAATTAGCGGCTCTGCTTTCACACACCGAAATTTTTACGTCATATCTCTCTCAACGGTAACTTCTGGGTCTTTCGTGGGATCCGCGTGGGCAAAAATGCAATTCACATCTCGGGGGAGAAGACGTCAGTCGCGAAGCCAAACTGAATGTGTTGTGTGTCTAAGCCAAACAAAAAGTGGTGATTCACTAGTTGGCATGCACCGCGTGCACTTTCCTCTCCTGGAACTATTAGACGCGCGCGCGGGACGTGCCTCTGCAAAAACGCGTCAAAGGCTTTGATCATCTCGTCGCGTCGTAAAGCACAGATTAATTGCAATTCGCGCGCGGGTGGATCATCGATGCGCTAATAATAGGCCGAAAATAAAGTAATGAGATAACATGTGGCGTGCACACTCATCTCCTTACAAAGCTATACGTCAATTCTGAATCACTAGCAGTTACAGCGAACCTGACATCGAAAATTTGAAGATTGGCACACAAAATATTATTAAAGTTACAGAGAAAGAATCGCATTTTTATAATGAATAAATTATGAAATTAATATTCTCAATAAGTCATGCAGAAAAAATAATATAATATTGATAACTACAAGTTTTTATTATTAACAATAAAATGGAAAGTATCATTTCGTATCATTGATATTCTAAAAATAAAAAATTATTGGAAACTCTTTTGAGCATTTCATTCAATTAAATTAAATTAATTCAATTAAATACAATAATACTTAATAGAATAGATTTTATAATAATTTCAGTTACATATTATGGTAAATTTTACCAGATTCGTACGACTTCAATTATTGGGATTAGTTTTTCAGCACGGATATTGATACGCAATGCAACCTGCAGAGCAAAACAAAAATTATAAGTTACAGCTAGATCAAGCTAGATTAAATTGTTTAAATATGAAAAAATTATTATTTTGTATATTCTGCAATGACAAGCGTGCTTAATTTTAAAATAAAAATTTATTTTACAAAGATTTTTTTAAAAATTCAGGCACCCTTGCGCTGATCTCTTTTGAAAACCGTGATCCGAGGGCCAATCAGTTCCAAAACAACCACAGTATTTTATTTTCTCCACTTCCATTATTGCAAAAAAAAAAAAAATATAAATATTGGAATTAGAATGAACATCAATAATGAGAGTAAATTAGAATTCCCTCCAAATTTTAAATGGTAAAAAATTTTACTGAAATTATTTCATTTTGTATTTTTCCCTCCAACAAACAGGCTAATTAGTTGTGGAAATTGAATGTGGGCGCCGACGTGACTGAATGTGTCAGCTCTTATATTGAGCGCGGGGGTGGTTTGAGGCTTTTGAGGGTCTGGGCAAACATTATAGTTTGGCGTGGGTCGCCCTGCTCTGCGTCCAGCCTTTCCAGATAAAGGTGTTCGCGCGCATAATGATGCTTACTTCGCGGAACTGCTGCCAAGGTGCCACTCGATCAACCCTGCTAAGGGTTTATTTGCAAACGTATTTTTATCGCAGCTGCCACCTAACCGTTACGTCACCCTTGCGGAGAATGAAAGACACATTTTGATAAAGAATAGAGAAGATACGGGGATTTTCTGGCCGCGATCACGAGCCCAGGGCCACTTGTTGCGCTATCTGTACCGCCGCATTAACTCTTTTAAGCTTGCCGGCCCAAATCTTGTCACGCCGCCAGCACGGATTTTTTTCCTTTACTTCCTTTTTTCCTTTTTTCTGCACATATATATATATATATATATATATATATATATATATATATATATATATATATATATATATATATATATATATATATATATATATATATATATATATATATATATATATATATATATATATATATATATATATATATATATATATATATATATATATATATATATATATATATATATATATATATATATATATATATATATATATATATATATATATATATATATATATATATATATATATATATATATATATATATATATATATATATATATATATATATATATATATATATATATATATATATATAATAAAAAAAAGAAAATGAAAGTGGGTACGGCGATAAGTGCGGCAGATTGACTCTTACTTTAATTTCGAATAAGAGAATTTTGGCACTTGAAAATATAGAAAAATGCAGGTGCTTAATTGAAAGGGGTTTTCCTGCGGCGCCGTGACTTGGCGATTTTGTGCCGCGACTTTGGACTATAATGAGATCAGTTTGCGACTGATAACGAAATTCGTGCGCGGCTCCACGATTCTGCCCATCTGTGAATGGAATGCTTTGCTTTCACACGCACGCACACGCGTCTCTCATAGAGTAAACAGTTTGATTCTCAGAAGAGCAATGAATGGGTCGCGGGGACCGGATCACAGGAGACGAAATCCTCGTTGCCATGTTTTGCGCAACAAAGACCAATAAGGAGAATAGAGAGATTCGAGATCAAATATTTGATTTTATGATACTTCTCAAATAATTATAGCAGTACCAGTCGGAAAAAAAGAAAGAGGCAGAATTTCGTTGAAAGACATTAAAATATACATCATGCTTTTTAAATTCATATTATTTTAGTGATAATTAACAATTATGCTGCACATTTTATTTTTAATAATTAAATATTACCAAACAATTGAAACTTTTTTTGAGAGGTTTTCACTTAATCCTAATAAAACTGTGAGAGAAAGTTTTAACTTTAAAGAATGGAATACTAGCTCACCAAAAATTTTGCCTTTTAAAGACATTAAAAATGTTTTACTTCCTTTTCTTACAAAAACCTGTGTCTGTGGTAAAAATGTAATTATTTTTTGAAAAGATTAAACGACTGCAAATTTAAGGGAAAAAAATTTGTATGATTAATTGTCAAACCTAGAAATTAAAAAAAAATGACAGTGAAATTGAGAAATGTAGCGCTCTTTAATTTTTTTTCAATTATTGGCTATATAGAAAAGTCTTAACGGAGATTATGTGAAAAAATTTAAAACCAAGCTACTAATTATAGACTAATGACTAATTAAAAAACAGCTTATAAATCAACTAGGTTTTGTCAAAATCAGATTAACAGAAAGCAGGGTGTGAACCAAATTTTTTTTATAAAAAACAAATCTGAAAAATTAGCAAGCAAAACTCATCTCTGCCAGTTAAAACATTTTGTCCAACAATATTATGAATAATCATGTTCTTAAAATTCCTAGAATTTAAAAAGATTTAAATCAGCTTTTGATCACTTATTGTCATTTTGCTAATATAGTTTTTAGAGATACCATGCGAGTATAGTATAGGTTTTAATTTAGTGGTTGTTCTCGGTTCAGCGGCTTTGCTATAATTCTTGCGATCTAGAAATTCGCGAAACCACAAGTTATAAACGGAGATTGAGGATCAATTAAAGCTTGGGAAGGGATGCACGTGCGAACGCACCTGAGTGACAGGCAAGGCCTTAATTAAAGGCACAACGGAGGCGCCTTAAGACGCACTTTGTCGCAAAAAGCACGAAATTGTTTTCTTGCAAATCGGCTCTTCGACCAACTTTTAATTAACTTTAGGCGTTAATTACACGTAGGTGGTCATAAACACGCCCAAATGAATGATAATTCACTCATGCATTGTAAATCAAGCTTTGCGGTCGTTGGAGAGTTGCGTGCCGAGCAAAGCCGCCGCCGCCGCTGCCGCCGGACACGCGGCACCAATTTAGATCCTTAACTGCTCAGTTTATATTATACGAGGTACAATTTTTTAATGACCGGTGTAATTATTGGAGACCGTTTTTCAAAACTTTCTGATGCAACTTCAAGTCGCGTTTGCTGCATTCTTTCTCCTGCAGTCAAAAGTGACAATGGCCTCAATACATCTCCACGGAATGTGCACAGAGCGAAAAAAGTGCCGAGGCTTTTTATATAAAATCAAGTCTGTTTGATACTCGGAATTCGATTCGACGGCCGCGACGACAATTTCTATATATGAACGATTCGCTCTGGTGTGTGACATAATTAACTGAAGCTATATTTGGTCTTGAGCAAGGTGAAAATTTGTGTAACAGCAAAATATACAAATTGTTTGACCAAAAGGGAATTTTCGGTAATAATCTTCAGTCTGGATGGTTAACCACGACGTTATATTGTGTTGGTAATTTCGCTTTGTGCCTTCGACGGGAATTTGCATAGAAGAGGGATTTTCCTCATTAAGCCAGAGCTAAATTATGCGCGAGAGTTGTTTCACATTAAATCACTCCTAGTTAATTAAAAGAGGCGATGACGTTAATAAAGAGTAAATTATTTCCCACCCAGGTAACAACCTCTGTGCACTAATTAGGGAAACACCCACAGGCAGCAGACGACATCTTCCTTGTTTTAATAATGGGCAGTCTGCGGAAAACCCTTCAAAGGTTGCTTTTCCTTATCTCCAGTCCAAGTCCATAATTCATGTAACAATTGGAAGTGACAAGCTAAAGTGGATTCCTGACGATAACGATTTGATTAAAAGATTGATAAGCAAGAAAATACCCATTGCTCTTTTGTATTACTCATTTTTTTTTAAATTCCATTCTTTTGCCTCATCCCAAAAGTTCAGGTATATAAATAACACAGGGTTGCTGTCAGGTCAATGAAAGGTGGGGAGAGAGAGAGAGAGAGAGAGAAGAGGAGAGAGAGAGAGAGAGAGAGAGGAGAGAGAGAGATGAGAGAGAGAGAGAGAGAGAGAGAGAGAGAGAGAGAGAGAGAGAGAGAGAGAGAGAGAGAGAGAGAGAGAGAGAGAGAGAGAGAGAGAGAGAGAGAGAGAGAGAGAGAGAGAGAGAGAGAGAGAGATTAATGGAGAGAAAAGATCTCAATCTTGGCAGCCGCAGGAAAAATTCCATTGATAAAAGCTTGGGGGAAACGTGCGAGCGCGGGAAATGTTGGCTGATGCAAGTGGCTACCTGAGTTGGTCGATGTGCGACCTGACGAAAGGAGAGCACCTTTCCTCTCAGGCAGACGCAACTTGAGCGTAGCTCGCGTATTTCCCCCCATTTGTCCGGAGTCATTGACGTGCGCGCCGCGTCCCCGCCACCTGCCTCCGCCACGATTGGCGCGTATAAGTCGAGCCCTTCTCCTAGGGTATAAAAGCTCGCGGCCCGCCGAGGACCCCATTAACTACGGTGCACACACAACAAGAAACATACACACATTCCGGAATTAATATTTTTTCGTTTCTTCGCATCCGACTAGACACAACAAGATGAACAAGGCAGTGGTTTTAGTTTTGATTGTGGCGCTCGTCGTCGCTTTCGCCACCCACGTCCACAGCATGCCTCGCAGGTAATTTATTTTAATTTAATTTTTTCATTCCAATTTTTCAAAATACGTCAGATCTCTATTGGTAATTTTTTGTATAGGTTTATTGGTTAAATTTGTAATAGGAATTGTTTAACGAATTGATTTTCTTTTTTTTTTTGGTGAAATTTCATATTTTCCAACTTTCTATTTCAATTTGAGCAATGCTATTATGTAATTGTAAGGGATTACTTCTATATTGTAAAATTAAATTCATAGTTCTTCTCTCTAGCGTATCTGAAAATATTTTTTAATATTTTAACCTTTTTTATTCAAAATTAAATTCTTTGATGGTTTTGATCATTTTCAAATTTCCTTCTATCAATTTTTTCCCATTTTTAAACAATTTTGAGACGCAATTCATAGCATCTTTTTGGACACAGATGAAATTGAGCAATCGTCGGATGTGCGAGAGTGGCACGATGGGTCAAAGGGTGGTCGATTGCGTCCAGATAACAATTGAAAAAAGGGACGCGCGGCTCCTTCTACTCCACATGTCTAATTAGGTCCGGCGGCGCGAAAGTTTATTATACTCTCTGGTTTTTGCCATGTGCTGCTGATGCAACACTGGCCGCGAGTTAGACTCTGCTACATGTGACTTTCGCGTGTTTAACTTTGGACCGACGTGACTAATTGAAATCTAATTTTAATCGATAGGCGCGTGGGCAGTGCTTTGGAATGCAGCGCGAGTTTAATTTTACACACACCTGCATTGCGATCAAACTCGCAACTAGCACAGATCGTTTCCTAATATGGGGCAAAGTTTACCCAATTATGATAAGAGAATTAAAATTTACACAACGGTGATTCACTTGTCACCTGTTGCCTCCGAAAGATCAAATTCCAAAATGTTTGATGAAATATCGCTAATCTTTTAATCCTTTCTTGTTGCAGAATTAAGCGAGTGTCCGACCAAAGGTTGGCCGAGTTGGAGACGCTGATCGCCCTGTCCAAAATGAGAGGCAAACTCGTCACGGTCCCCATCGGCTTCGGCAGGATAGACCCAGCCAAAATGTAAGCTAAAGCCTTTTTTAAATTTCAGTCCTTAACTTTTTTCAATTTCACTCAACCTTGAGTTGAGGGATTTAATTTTAATTTTAAAATTTTCATGGATATAAATTAGCCAAGTATGGAAAGATAAAAATTTAATGCACAATTATTTTGGAATATTTGCAATGAAAATTAGTCAAGATTTCCTCATTTGAATTCTCATGGAGCTGATTTTGAAATAAACTGCTCCCATATTCCAAGGTTCAGATTGATCGAAAGGTGTCTTTTTCCCTTTCCTGATTAATTTTAATTGCAAAATGTCAAGTGTTTGTATAATATAAAACTAAGTGTTGGCCTTGTTGGTTGCAGAGGTCGCAGGAGGCGGTCGTTGCGGAAACGGCGGCAGTACCTGGAGGACCTGGAGGTGGAGCGGTTGTTGCTGGAGGAGGAAAGTGCGTCGGCAGAGAAGCGGCCGTCGGCCGCCGACACCCTGCTTTTGCGCGACTACCTGCTCAACTGGTCCAAACACGACTCGGACCAATGAATCAATAATTTATTATATATACCAGAAAGAGACGGACCATTACTTAATGGCTGCAACAACAATGGTATTCGTTGAGAGACAGACCTGCGAAAATGATTTCTGTGATATAGTTTGCCAATTTCCGCCCAGAGTATTATTTGCAAGTCACAGAAAGAATTCTCGTTTATTCCTCATCAGTAGCCGAAGAAGAAAAACGACGACTGCTTTGTGGAGAGCGAGCGAGGAGAATTCAAGAGAGAAGAGTTACACTTATCCTTTAGGAATCACTCGGAGTTCCTAAATTTGTTAACTCAATCGTCCCTGATGCGTTCTAGTCATTTTTGATACACACTTTGTTCTACGCGCTAATTTATGCACAAAAGGGGCTCGGCGTTTACACACGTCAGCCTCACTTTCTGACGCACTCTATTTTTGTGCGTTCACTACTCTTTATATTGATTTAAATTATGTGAAATAAAATGAATGAATGTTCAAAACAAACACGTGGTTTCTATCTTTGTTGTCAAATAAAACCCACATCAGAGTCATTGAGCTCGAAAAATATTTTGTTTCCTGGCCGGACAGATAAATTTCAACTCGTGTTCTTTTAATAAACGCAAATCAGAGAAGGGAGCGCTACTTACGCCTTCCGAGGGTCACTGCTCGGGTCAGCGGTGCCGCGACCCGCCCTCAGCCACCGCCGTTTCAGCGCTTTCAAAACACATCGCGGCTTACAACTTTACGCACGTCTGTAAAAAAAGTCAGCGAGTTACTTATTTTACAATAAAACTAGATAAAATTATCTCCCTTGATTCGCCACCGATACAGTACGTTGCACATATATTACGCAAAGATTGCAGAGAAGCATCTTTATTGCTGCAAAAAATTGGATAAAAATATAAAAGAGAGGTTGTAAATCTTAACCGGGATTATTGACAATTTGTAATCGATTGCGTCTTGTTGGTATAATATTTACTGCGTTTTTTTCTTTTGTAAAAAATTGGTTCCTTTTGTCGATATGGTCTTTCAAATTATGTACTAATAATTGATTTTTAAACCCAATAAAATATCCCATTTTCAAGTGATTTGTGTCAGATTTTTAGATAAATAAAAAAAATAAATTTGATTAGCTAGCTATAAAACATTTTAAAATAATATAAAAGTTCTTTTCTCCAATGATCCACACATTAGATGTGCCAATAAATTATACTTTACCATTTTCTAATTATCATTTAGCGTACAAATACCAAACAAAATACAAGTCATTAAATTACATTGGGATCCGCGGCGTGCAAATAATATTTCGCGGGCGTGCAGAGTCGTGGCGCTCGCAGCCGCGGCGGAGGAAGGACGAATTAGGGCTTTGGCGAGCGCCTCTGGCGTCGGTGCACGGAAGCGGCGCGGGCTGAAAATAAAAGTTTGTTGTTTTTTGATCGGGACGACTGGACGAAAGAGACAAGTTGATCGCGCAAAATGAGAGTTGCGGTGGTGCAGAGGTGCGTTTTCGGGCCAGGGCACTCGGGGCAGCGGCCGACGTGATCAGGTCGGAGGGCAGGAGTGGGGCGAAGCGGCCCTCGAAGCAGTCAACGATGGACAAAACTATACTTAGTTGTCGTCTGTAAACATGGCGGTGTCCCACTGACAGACAGGACTTGTTGGTTTCGCCAAACGAACGACCTGTCATGTTCTCGTCGCCGTCGACGCTTTCCGTCGACCAGGTGCCCTACGACTTCGAGAAGGAGGAGAACTCGCAGAAATGGAACGGCGTCTTCGTTCACTCCTTCCAGAAGGTACTTTCAGAAACAACCCCTCTCATTTGTTCCAAAACTTGACAATTTGCTTTTCAAGGTGCTGGAGCAGGTGCATCCACGGCTCAAGCTGCAGGACGACGCCCTTCGCTACATCGAGAAGCTCATGCTCAGGCTCCTCAGCATGCTCTGCGCCAGGCCACAGCCCCACTCGGTACATCCCAACTTTGGCTCATTCGAATTGATCTTTAATTATTTTCTTTTGTCCTCTGCTAATCCAGGTGCAAGATGTTGAGGAGCGCGTGAAGAAAACATTCCCAAACCCGATTTATGTGTGGGCTGTCAAGGAGGCCAAGGACGCCATTGAGAAGGGCAAGAAGAAGTCGCCCTTGGTCATGCCTGTCGACAAAATCCATTCCCTCTTGCAGAAGGTGCCAATTTTGGCAATTTTTTTAAAAATAATTTGTCAATAACTTATATTTCTATTAAAGGAGGTTCTGCACCACAAAATAGACTCCCAAGTTGCTCTGTTTGTAGTCGCCGTTCTCGAGTACATTTCCGCTGACATTCTATTGGTAAGGAAACCATTTCCATAATAAGATTTGATTTACGATTTCTTACTTATGTTATCTTTAATCTGTTAAAAATGAAAGGTGAATTTAAGTATCAACTTCTTTTATTTGGATAAAAAAAAATAGAAAAATATGATGGAACAATAAAATAAGTGTATGTTGTGTTTGGTAAAGACTTTTTTAAAATTTAATTCAACTGGATGTTTTGCATTAAATTTGCAGTTGACGGGTTCGTATGTGAAAAACATCCACAATGTGTACATATCGAGCCAGGACATCCAGATTGCCATCTGCGCGGACAAGGTGCTGATGGACATGTTCCATCAGGAGGAGGACAAGATCCCGATCACCACCCTGCCGCCTGCAGTAACGAACCACATTGAGGATGAAGACTCGCCTGTGGTCAGGGCCTCAGTGACTTACGAGGAGGTCGTCAAGGACCTGATCCATGATGAGAAGCAGTACCTGCGTGACCTGAACATGATCACCAAAGTCTTCCGAGAGGAGATTGCCAAGTTGGTCCCTCCAGGCAGCAGGGTAAACTAATCTAAGCTCTTCAGGTGTACAGAGTGTTTTCATTTTTAACTAAATTCAGGACCTGGACCTCATCTTCAGTGAGATAATGGATATTTACGAGGTCACGCTGATCCTGCTTGGATCTCTGGAGGACATGGTTGAGATTTCCGAGGAGAACCAGGTTCCTGCTGTGGGCAGTTGCTTCGAGGAACTGGCAGAGGTGGGTTTTAAATCCTCTTTAAAATAATCTTTTATAATGAACTATATTGAAACTCATCAAAATTTGTTCTCATTGAAAATGTTTTAGGCTGCCGAGTTTGACGTTTACCGGCGGTATGCCAAAGACCTGACGCACCCACGGTGCAAAGAGGCACTTGCACATTTACTGGCCAGGCCAGAAGTGAGCGACGCTCTTCAGTCGGCAGGGCACGGCTTTCGAGAGGCTGTCAAGTATTATATGCCGAAACTGCTGTTGGGACCAGTGTGGCACTGCTTTTTGTACTTCGAATACTTCCAAGTACAAGATTTTTATTCGTTTAAGTACAAATTTCTAATTTCCAAAACTTCGGCAGATTTTAAACCAACTGACAAGGCAAAGCGATGATCGGGAGAGCCTGGAACAGGTGCAGGGTCTGCTGACGCCCCTCAAAGTGGTCATCGGTGAGTCAGTCAAGCACCTGCCCAGAGAGTGAGTCAATCTAGGATAAATTTGTTGAATTTGTGATAAAACAAACAAAAATTATAGTCGTGACATATATGGTGTAAGAATGCATGGCCGAGCAAGGCGGCAAGCGGCCATGAAGAAAATCAATGAACTGCAAAAATCGATAGAGGGCTGGGACAGCAAAGACATCGGCCAAAGTTGCAACGAGTTTATCAGAGGTACCTATCAGAATCAAAACAAATTTACTTAATAACTTATTCAAAATTTCCAGAGGACACGCTGATCAAAGTGGGTCCAGGCAAGAAGTTGTCAGAGCGGAAAGTATTTTTGTTTGATGGACTGGTGGTTTTGTGCAAACTGAACAGCAGGAGGTCTTCGGTCACTGGTCCTGTGGCGGGCGAGTACAGAATGAAGGAAAAGTTTCACATACGTAGGGTAGAAATCCACGACAAGGAAGACACAGACGGTAAATTAAATTTTATTTTCTAAACTTAAATTGTCAACCTCTTTCTCTTTAGAATATAAAAGTGCATTTGAAATAGCACCCAGAAGTCAACCTAGTGTAATCCTAATGGCCAAATCTTTAGAAGATAAGAACAATTGGATGGCTGATCTAGTTATGTTAAACACAAAGAGGTGGGTTCCGCAAAATAAGTGACAGTTTAAATCTTATTTTGTCCTTCTTAGTATGCTCGAGCGGACGCTGGACTCGATCTTATTGGATGAGGAGAAAAAGCATCCTTTGCGGCTGCCCTCTCCAAGAATATACAAGTTTGCTGAGGCAGACTGTCCGACCAACATTGTTCTGGAGGAGCGGGAGAGCAATGGGGTGCCCCTGATTAAGGGCGCCACGTTGTATAAACTGGTCGAGCGCCTTACCTACCACATTTATTCTGATCCCATGTTTGTGCGCACCTTCCTCACAACCTTTCGCAGTTTCTGCTCTCCTCAGGTACTATTTTCTTTTCTTTTTCTGTTTAGGAAATAATTATTGTGAATTCAGGAGCTTTTATGTCTTCTGATCGAGAGATTCAACATTCCCGACCCGTCGCAAGTATTTGAAGAGACAACTTGTGACGGGGAGAAAACGCTGAAAAACTCACAGAGGGAAGACTGGAAAAGATACAGAAAGGTGAATCATTCTTTAAAATTTTGTCCGTCATCAAAATAAAACTTTCCAAATAGAAGCCAAAAAATTATTGCTTCCTTTGGGAGTATTTGAAATTAATGTCTGCCAAACATTTGAACAATTTTTAATTTTTTTTCTCGTTTGATTTGCCACAGGAGTTTACCCAGCCTGTGCAATTCAGAGTGTTGAATGTGCTGCGGCATTGGGTGGACCATCACTTTTACGACTTCGAGCGGGACCCCGAGGTCTTAAGGACGCTGCACGAGTTTCTTGACACCGTCACTTCTAAGTCAATGCGCAAGTGGGTCGATTCGGTGCTCAAGATTGTCCAGAGAAAGGTGAGATTCCTCATTTCTTTTTATGTTTAATGATATTGTACTGTAGAACCAGCTGATATAAATGGGTCTGATGATGAATAAAAAAAAGAAAATATCTTTTTAATTGTATATCATGAATTATTCAGTTTTAAATTCTTGTTTATTTACAACATGTTTTTTTTTTCATGAAGAGTGATCCTCAAGATCAGCAGAGAGAAATCACGTTCAACTTCGATCGATCTCCGCCACCTATTGAAACGCACATTCAGTGTGCTGAGCACGAATGGACAGTTCTTACGGTGAGTTTTTGAAGGATTTTAAATTTTCTCAATAGATCCTAGAAGACCAATTTGTCTCAAATCCAATCATGTTTTAAGGAAAAGGAAAATTAGAGGTAGAATTTTAAAAACCTAATTCTTAAAATAAATATTTGAAAATTACATGATTATTAAATACTTTTTCATCATTCTCATTCACATGAAAATTTAAACTTTTTCTTAATTTTTGTGTTAGCTGCACCCAATTGAGATAGCACGGCAGTTGACTCTACTGCACTTCGAGCTGTACAGGGCAGTAAAGCCCTCCGAGCTGGTGGGCGCGGTGTGGACTAAGAAGGACAAGGAGAAGACATCGCCCAACCTTCTCAAGATGATGCGCCACACAACCAATTTCACTTTTTGGCTAGAGAAGTCCATCATAGAGACAGAAAACTTGGAAGAGCGCGTCGCCGTTATGTCCAGAATCATCGACATCATGATGGTCATGCAGGAGCTCAACAACTTCAACGGTGTCCTAGCCGTTGTCTCTGCAATGGGCTCTGCCTCCGTCTTCAGACTCAAGATGACCTACCAGGTCCTTATTCCTTTGAGCTTGATAAATCCAGATTTTCATGATAATTTTTCAGGCCATTCCGACAAACCTGAAGAAGGCCATGGAGGAGGCCAGGGAGCTGAACAACGACCACTTCCGCAAGTACCAGGAGAAACTGCGCTCCATCAACCCTCCATGCGTCCCCTTTCTTGGTAATTTCCCACTAAAATTTAAAATTTTCAACTAAATATCCCTTTATCAGGAATGTACCTCACAAATATCCTGCACATTGAGGAGGGCAACCCTGACTACCTGCCAAACTCACCAGAGCTTATCAACTTCAACAAAAGGAGGAAGGTGGCGGAAATCACTGGAGAAATCCAACAGTACCAAAACCAGCCCTACTGCTTGAAAATCGAGCCTAAAATCAGAGTAAGATAAATTACATAGATTTGTCTGCTTATGAAGTATATGACTAAAATTTTGTAAACAGAACTTTTTGGAAACGTTGGACCCTTTTGGAGACCAGAGAGAACACGACGTCAGTACTTATCTGTACAACAAGTCCCTCGAGTTAGAGCCCCGAGCCTGTAAACAACTCCCTCGATTTGTAATCCTAATATTTATTTCCATTGAACTGAATCTAAAATTATTTCACGTGTAGCCGCGCAAGTGGCCAGAGATGAACTTGAAGTCGCCAGGCATCAAGCCGCGGAATCTGCCTGGGCGGACATACCCAACCCCGCTGCCCCCCGTCCGAAGACTGAACGACAATGGCGAGGACACCCCCCGCACACCCTCCATGTCCACTTGCTCACCCATCACTCCCACAGGGCCCAACAGCTCTTCAGACTTTAGCGTCTTTGCACCCATAATCATTGGACAAACTGGTAAGTTCTCAGTTTTAACATTAGTATATTGAGCTGAAGAAAACAAAAACTGTTTTATTTCAGTTGTGAAAATTTTTTCAATTTTCTTGGTATTTGGAGCTGTCCTGCTCATAATTTAGAGTGTATAACCAACATTAATAATGGCTTTACTAGGATAAAATAAGAAGAAAATTCAATTTTTTTGTACCTCTAAAATTTGGCCTTAATCTGTTAACAGGTGTGACCCTTCCGAGCGGGAACTTGTCTCCGGGGGCAGCGTCGACCGCTTCTAACATTTCGCCGAGCTCAAGCATCGCCACGTCGCCCGCCGCGGTTGACGCGCCGCCCATCCCTCCGCTGCCCTACTCACAGCAGCCCCTAGCCTCTAACAACCCTCCGCCCCCTCTGCCGCCCCGCAGGAGGCGCGAAAATTCCATCAGCGAGTCTCCAAATCCAAATAAGATGGTGCAAGTGAGTGAAAATTGGAATTAATTTAATTTATGAATAATTTTTATTCTTTTTACTAAAAAAAGGAAGATTCTAACAAAGGAAATTAAATACAAGCTTATCTCTTTGTGTCATTTATAACTTATTTTTAACTTGTATTATAAAGCTAAAATTATTTTTATTAAAATTTGTAGTCTCGTCAAGCGCCAGACGCGCCAATTTTGCCTCCGCGCGAGAACTCGTCGCCTCCGCCGCTGCCCCCGCGGCGGGACCTAAGCTTCGGGGGCGGCACCATGCCCAGACAGGCACACCGATCTCCCATGGAATTTGCCCCAACGTCGCCTGGCGAATCTAGTCTTCTGCAGCGGCGCAACTCGACCATGGACATGCTGCCCATTGTGCCCATCCCGCCGCCGCCCATGGCGCAGCCTCGCCGCCGCGTCTCCTCCAACGAAATCGCCATCAACAACCACATCCAAGAGCACAGTGAGTACTTTGAAAAACTTTCTTTAAAAAAAATCAAAATTATATTTTTGCAAAATCACAAGATTGCAAAAAGTGATAAAATTCCTTTCAGTTCAAAGTTTAAATTGAGGTAAACTTTTGCCAAATTTCTTAAGAATTATCCAAGCTGCAATGAAAAACGACAAATACTAAATAATTTCAATCTTCGAAGGTCGGCATTCAATCCACGAGCGGTGGAATAACAGTTACTCGCAACTGGGCCAGCTGGACTCGCCGCCGTACATTCTGGCGCCGCAGCGATCTCCGGACAGCGTGCGTGGCTCGCCGTCGCCGCACCTGCTGCCCTCCCCGAAAAGTGTGTCAGGTCAGAGCATATCAGTGGCGGCGGCAGGCAGAAACTCTGGTCCCCAATTGCCCCCGAAGCCTTGCAAGCCGTCGATGTTTCCCTTCACCGAGCACAACATCCCCAGATAGTAACCTTCCCCTCTGAAAACAAAGAGAGATTCCTTGTGATAAACCGACAAATTGAAAATATAATATTTTGCATCGCGAGTTTGCTGACTAGCTGCGCGGCGAAAAGAAAGAGAAGCTTGCTTGCTTTGCCATCCGATCGCTCGCCCGATTGAAACTTAACAATAATCGGTGTTTCCGAACTAAAAAGTAGCAAAATTCATTAGCCCAGCCCACTTTGACAATTCCAGCGTAGACCCTGAGAGTGTTTTCGACAGGGGAATCAAAACCAAGTATTTAGGCGGAGGATTAAAGAGAAAAAAAATAGTGATGCTTTAATTAACTCAGTGTACATACACGGTGACGATTAAACATTAGTGTGGCAGAAAAAGAGAAATTTAAATGTTCCTATATCCCACGAGATGTATTCCAAGTGAGTCTTTTCCGTTTTCGATTTGCCCCAGCAATGTTGCCGCTAAATGTGATTTAGGTTATTTATTTTCATGTGTAAGATTCGCGCAAATGCCAAATATAAGATAAAAAATCTTATCAACGTCGTGTAAGACTATTTATCCAGAGCAGAGGTGGCGAAAATTTATGCACAAACACTTATAAATATTATATAGAGTTGTTTTCATTGTACAATGCCATAAATTTTATTGCGCTCTCATTTTATTATATATGTACGATTAAAGAAGTTTTTGCAGACAAGATTTAATGAATTGTGAATGTGATAAAATCAAAATGCTGGAAAATTTAATAGGGCTTCGGAAAAGATTTTATTAGGCAGTTTATTTTGCATTTTATTCCTTGACTTTGGAATGACCTTGTTTAAACTTTTACAATAATTCTGACCTCTGACCGAGTTACTTTTACAAACACCCGCGTAATTTTTTTCTTCCTACATATCATGTGCATCATTCTAAGTGTGCATCTTCTTTGTGGATATAATTTATGTATCATGTTGTATATAAATATAGTGAAAATCTTGAGTCAAAAATAATGTGAAACGAATTTCATTTGTTCCAAACAATTTGTACTTCATCGGTCAAGCACGGTGAACCGCAAAGGGTCGATGGGCGCGTCAATCAAGGTGGTTTCGTAACGCATTGGGCCGTATTTGTAGTCCCATTCAAATCTCCGCACCATCTGAATAAGAATTTCAACACATATATTTAAATAAAATATTAAATATTTAAATAAAAATAATAAAAAAAAAAAAAACATTCCACCTTTGCGAGGAGCATCTCAATTTCCATGGAAGCAAATCGCATTCCGACGCACTTCCTCGCGCCGTGGCCGAAAGGGAGGGTGACGAAGGGGTGGGCCTTGTGCGCTTGTTCCCCGCCACGGATCCACCGCTCAGGGATGAATTTCTGGGGCTCGGGGTAGTGCTTTTCCATTGTGGAAAGTAGTCCGTGCGGAAATACCACGTCCACCTACGAAATTTTAGTTTTCATCCAAATTGATTCTGATATGAAGGCACTGACGTTTTTGGGAATTCTGTAGCCGGAGAGAACTAACTCGGAGCGCGTCGTCCTTGCGTTGCCCGGAGCCACAGGTCTGATTCTGCACACAAATGATGACTAATCTGGATAATTCTAGTCAAATCAGTTCTAAAGATATTTTTTCAAAGATACTTTCTCCACAAATTGGCCGTGTTTTTAGAATTTTAAATATTTGATTGCCGCTATTTTTTCAGGACAGCGTCCGTATTTTGTGTTTCTTGGTCAATTTTTATCTAATTAACCTTCTTTAAATATCTTTGGCACCGCGTCTTGTCCAATAAGACTTGAAAAAAACCCAAACCTCATGGACTCCTTGACGCAGGCCTTGAGGTACTTCATTTCTTCAAGTGACTCGTGCGTGAGAGGGGTGTCCACCTTGGGCATGAACTGCTTCAACTCATTAAACAGCAGCGTCTGCTTGTCCTTGTTCTCCGAAAGGTGCAGCAAAACATTTGTCAACGCGTGTGACGTCTATAAAAGAGTCAATTTTAAAAAAACTTTCCAAGAAAATTTAATTCTCATACAGTGTCGACACCAGCAGAGAGCATGTCAAGGGCCATAATGATGGCCCTCTTTGGGTCAGGGTCCCTTTCCAGGAATTTCTCCAACACGCTGCTGGCCTCTTCGCCCGGCTTCTTGTTCTTGCACCGCTCCATGCCCTCCTTGATGTAGTTGTAGCTGATTCTGCGATTAGAGTAAATTTTAATTTTAGCCAAAAGTTCTATAAAAAATATATATACTCCATAAGCAAATCCGAGTTTTTGATGAAGCGCTTGAAAGTTGGTGTAGGGATAAAATACCACATCATACTTTTCATTTCCAAAATATGTATGTCGGTGAAAAGCTGGTGTATGGCCAAGATCATCTTTTGAGGAACAGAATCTGGCTTCATGTTTGGGCCGAGGCAGCCCAAACGCGTATCCAAAGCGATCAGTGCGATTGCTTTTATAAAATTAGACATTCAGTATATTATTTTTTCCTTGAAAGGAAATTACATTCCAGGGCCCATTTGTGCAGTTCATTTTTAAATTCCTCTGGCATTTCATTCTTTGCGTCCCTCCAGCTAGGAATCCTGAGAGTGAAATGTGACGTTTTGTTTGTTATTAATTAATTTGAATCACCTAGCGATGAATTCCTCAGAAACCTGGTTGATTCCATTAGAGTATTGCTTGGCTGTCTTTGGCTGCATCATGACTGGGTTGACTAGGGTGCGGCTCTTGTGCCACGGCTCACCTTGGCTATTGATTAAAAATATATTTTATTTAAAATATTATTAAATATTTTATTTTGGATTTACTCGTTGAGAATTCCTCCAACGCCCTGGAAAAAGTCCTTCCTGGCCGTCTCACGGTAATAATTCACGCATTTAAGGGAAGGTCTCTCAGGCCAAATGCCTTCGTTCCTGAAAGCGGTCTCGATGTCATCCGCGTTGTACACCATAACAAAGTCCCTGCGAGGCTCCAACCCCGTGAACTTGACAATGTCGCCGTATTCATTGTTGATTTTGCGATGTGCCTCCGTCATGTTGCTGAAGTTGTATTTCCCTTTAATTTTTAAATTATTAAAATTTCATTGCATGAGATTTCTTTGTTCAATTGTGAACTTGCATAATATTATTTTATTTTTTTAAGAAGTTTTCATGTGGTTTTACTGAAACTGTGAAAGAAAAACTTGGCTTTAAAGAATGGAATACATACAAAAATTTTGACTCTTAATTAGATATTAATTTTAAACGACTCAAAAATCTCTGTCATTTTATGATATTAATTTAAATTTTATCACTTGATCTTTCCAGCTGTTTTCTATGATCGGTGGTGGGGGTGCGAATATGTACTGAAACCCGCGCAACTTCCCTGCTGAGCAGGTTGCATTGCTTTGGTAAAAGGGGCTGATATTCTATTTTATTCTGGGTAAAACCTGTTATAAAATATTTTCAAACTAATTAAAGGACTAACTTGTCTACAAAACTATGCTCTGAAATCAGTTTAAAATTTCAGATTTTCATTTAAATTGAGTATATTGATAATCACATTTTATGGTTATCAATTTATCATTTGCCTATCAGAGACTCACCGAATATAAAGAGGTGCTTGTTGCCGAGCACCGGGATCGGTTTAGGTCCCGGGATCTCTTCGTAGGGCTTCGCCGATTCCCATTCGGCCGTTCTGCTGTCGACGGCGGCTGCAGTTGTCAAAAATCTGCAGCCGACGGAGCAAACGCGTGGAAAAGCGGCCTGCAGACTCATTTTTTTGACAGAACAAGGCCGCAGCAGAGTGCAGTGCGCCGTAGTACACAAAAAACACAACTGACTTGACCAATGGGGGTCCGACCGCTTCGAGTGACGTAGTTTGGGCCTGGCAGGGGAATGAGCCAGCGGAACTAACCAAACAAACGGAGCTAAATTGGCGCTAAGCACGGCCAGGCTGACGAACATTTTTGTAGCATTTCGTAGAGCAGAGCTACCCAGTTAAAATAACGATAAATCAATGCTATGAAATAATCATAACTATACGAGAATAATTTTTAGTACACATTAGGAAATTTGCATCATCTCTTCATTATTTCTATGTGTATTTATGTTTTTTGGGTTAAAGAATAAAAAAAGCATAGAGTGATAGTGTGAAAAATATTAAATAAATTTATGTTATTGTACGAGGGAAACAGCCAACGTTTTATCACAATATATTTAAAAATGTTATTTTTGCAAAAGTTGCCGTTGATTCATAGTTGGTGCATTTAGAGACCCCACAATATAATTATGTAAAATTATTGTAAAATTATTAGAAATCATAGAAAATTATCATTTGCTTGAAAAAACTTGATCGTTCATCGGTCAAGCACGGTGAACCGCAAAGGGTCAATGGGTGCGTCGATCATGGTGGTTTGGTAACGCATTGGGCCGTACTTGTAGTCCCACTCAAACCTTCGCACCATCTGAAAAGAATTTCAATTTAAACTTTTCAATAACAAAGTATGAAATATTTCACTTTAGCGAGGAGCATCTCGAGTTCCATGGAAGCGAATCGCATTCCGACGCACTTCCTCGCGCCGTGGCCGAAAGGGAGGGTGACGAAGGGGTGGGCCTTGTGCGCTTGTTCCCCGCCACGGATCCACCGCTCAGGGATGAACTTCTGGGGCTCAAGGTAGTGCTTTTCCATTGTGGAGAGCAGCCCGTTCGGAAACAAAACGTCCACCTGGGAAATTTTAGTTTTCATCCAAATTGATTCTGATATGAAGGCACTGACGTTTTTGGGAATTCGGTAGCCGGAGAGAACTAACTCGGAGTGCGTCGTCCTTGCATTGCTCCCAGCAATAGGTCGGATTCTGCACAAATTTTATTTATTACATCAAGATAGACCAAACCAGGAGATTTCCAATGATATTTTACAATGTAGCCTTTGCAATTGTATTTCTCTTTCAATAATGATCAATAATGGCCTTTGTAATATCGTAGAAATCGCCTTGGCACAAATAACCTCCATTTTTTGAAGATGTTTTGAGTTTCTAACCTCATGGACTCCTTGATGCAGGCTTTGAGGTATTTCATTCCTTGGAGTGACTCGTATGTGAGGGGGGTGTCCACTTTGGGCATGAACTGCTTCAGCTCGTTAAACAGCAGCGTCTGCTTGTCCTTGTTTGCCGACAGGTGCAGCAAAACGTTTGTCAACGCGTGCGAAGTCTTCCAGTGTTAAATTTTAAATTAATTAACCATCAAACTATTTTTTCTAATTTATTTTACGGTATCGACGCCGGCAAAGAGCATGTCAAGGGCCATAACGATGGCCCTCTTTGGGTCAGGGTCCCTTTCCAGGAACTTTTCCAACACGCTGCTGCCCTTTTCGTCAGGCTTTTTGTTCTTGTACCGCTCCATACCCTCCTTGATGTAGTTGTAGCTGATTCTGAGGAATTGTAAATTTAAATTTGTGCCAAAAGTTAAAAAAATATATATATACTCCAAAAGCAAATCCGAATTTTTAATGAAGCGCTTGAAAGTTGGGGTTGGGATAAAATGCCAAACCATACTCTTCATTTCCAAAATATGCATATCGGTGAAAAGTTGGTGGATGGCTGTGATCATCTTTTGGGGAACAGAATCTGGCTTCATGTTTGGGTCGAGGCAGCCCAAACGCGTGTCCAAAGCGATCAAAACGATTGCTTTGTAAAGTTAAAAATTTGATATTAATTATAAAAATTAAATATTTGGAGAAATGAGCATACATTCCAGGGCCCATTTGTGCAGTTCATTTTTGAATTCCACTGGCATTTCGTTTTTCGCATCCCTCCAGCCAGGAACCCTTAATCAAATTTACTCATTTTCATTGAACTTCTTTGTTGAAATTTGAATTACTTTGCGATGAATTCCTCGGCAACCTGATTTATTCCGTGCGAGTACTGCTTGGCTGTCTTGGGCTGCATCATGACAGGGTTGACTAGGGTGCGGCTCTTTTGCCACGGCTCACCTTGACTATAATATATTTATTTAAAATGATTTATCTTTTTCATAATTTAAGCGTTCTGGTTACTCGTTCAGAACTCCACCGATGCCCTGGAAAAAGTCCTTCCTGGCCGTCTCGCGGTAGTATTTCATGCACTGGAGGGCGGGTCTCTCGGGCCAAATGCCCTCGTTCCTGAAAATTGTCTCGATGTCGTCCGCGTTGTAAATCACAACCATGTCCCTGCGAGGCTCCATCCCTGAGAACTTGACGATGTCGCCATATTCGGTGTTGATTTTTCTGAACGCCTCAGTCAAGCTACTGAAGTCGTACGTCCCTTCAATTATAAAAGTGAATTGATTTACAAGTAATTTGCGTATAAACTTTCAGATTCTAGTTGGTTTCTCAAACTTATATAAATATTATCTAGATAATTTTTAATTTCCATTGAAATTTGAAATTAATCTGAATCATTTTCATGGAGTATTTGCTTAATCGGGGGGTTGGGGGGACGCAGTACTGCAACCCGCGCCACTTATCTGCCGAGCGGGTTGCATCGCTTTTCAAGTATGGGACTGATTTTTAACTTTTTTCAGAGTAAATGATTTCCAAACAATAGAAAACGCTAACTTTTCAATAAAAACTATGCATTAAATTCATTTTAAATTTTGTAGTTTTTCATTGTATTTGAGTGTTGAGACATTTTTTTTCCCATTAAAATGACCATTAGATTTCATAATAACGCTTTTTTGCTATCACTGGTTTATCGGAGACTTACCGAACATGAAGAGGTGCTTGTTTCCGACCACTGGGATCGGTTTAGGCCCAGGGATTTCTTCATAGGGCCTCGCCAACTCCCATTCGGTCGGCCTAGCGTCGACGGCGGCCACAGTCGCAAAAAACCTACGGCCGACGGAGCGACCGCGTGGAAAAGCGGCCCGCAGACTCATGATTACTTCTGATCGAGGCTAGTAGAGATCAGAGTGAAACGCAAATTAACTAAAAACACACTGACAAAAACGAACTCGGACCGTCTGATATGAGTGATACGAGTGACGTAGTTGGCCTTGACAGTCGGAGAGTCGGATGTACCAGCGCCGCTAACCAAACAACGGAGCTAAATTGGCGCTGATAATGACAGCAGCCAGGCTGCACCAAAGGGCTAACGCGCACAATGTCGCAGCTGCACTATTTTTTTTAGAGACACGAGAGACCAAATTATATTGATAATCAATACAAGAGTGATATTTTTATCCTGTTATTTTATTTGTCCTTAACAAAAAATTTATATTTTTTTCATAAAAATTCTCAATTTTTAGTAAAGCGCTTTAAGTAAATTTAAGTAAAAAAAGTAGAATATTTAATTCTAAAAGGCTTTATTTATCAACAAGTTTGAATTTTCAGTTTCAATAAAAAATAAACTAGAATAGATTTCCATTAGTTACATAGATTTATAATTTTTATAAATTTTCGTTACATCAATCAGATAATAATAAGTTCAAAAAATAATTTTATTTACTTGGGTTGAAAGTAACCATCGCTTTATCACATTTTAACGCAAAATTTTATCTCCGAAAGTTGGCCGCCGCCGTCAATTCTCAATGGGTGCGTTCAGTGACCTTAAACTTGAGCGGATCCATTGGTACGTGCACCAAGAAGGTTTGATAATTCATCTCGCCGTGTTCGTATCGCCAGTTATAGCGCCTTATCATCTGGGTAATTAATTATTGCTGATAAGTAAAATTGGTTTTTCTCCGAGCTAATAAAGGGTCACCTTGGCGAGCACCATTTCCAGCTCAAGGGAGGCGAATCTCATGCCGATGCACTTGCGGGCGCCGTGGCCAAAGGGTAGCGTCACAAAAGGGTTGGCCTTTTCCTCCTGCTCGCCGCCCCTCATCCACCGTTCGGGGATGAACGCGTCAGGCTCAGTGTAGTGTTTGCTCAATCTCGAAATCACCGCGTGAGGCATTATCACGTCCACCTGACATAAAACTCAATTCTATAATTGACTTACTGTTTTTAACAACTACAAATAATTAATAATTTTTCAACAATGATTTAATAAAGAAAAGATATTTTTCATATTATGATTTAAAAAAAATAACAATGCAATATAAATTAATAAACTGATTACATAATTTTTACTTCTGATAAAAAAGTTCAAAATGCAAAAAAAATTTGAAATAAATTTTAACAAAGTATCAAAGTTAAAATTTATAATAACTACTATGGTCTACACCATTTAACAAAAAACTCCATATAAACTTGCCTCTTTGGGAATTCTGAAGTTAGAGAGAACGATTTCTTTTTGGGTGGTCCTGGCGTTGGCCGTGACCACGGGCATCATCCTGGCACTCTCTTTGATGCACGCGCGCATGAACTTCATCTCGTCAAGCATCTCGTTGGTGATGGGGGTGCTTGGGTTAGGAAAAACCCTTTTCAGCTCCTCGAATAACTTCTGCTGCTTATCCTGGTTGGCCGACAGGTGCAGCAACACGTTGGTCAACGCGTGAGACGTCTGGTTTCTTGTCAAATTTTAATTTTTAAAAATAACTTATTGATTTTTTTAACCGTATCAACGCCGGCCATGAGCATGTCAAGAGCCATTACGACGGCTCTTGTGGGGTTCGGGTCCCTCTGCAGGAACCTTTCGAGGACGCTCTGCTTGTCCCCCTCGAGATCACCACTCTTTTTCTTGATACGCTCTATCGCTTCATTCACGTATTTTAGAGCCACTCTGAAAATTTGATTTTAGTATTTTTTTAGTTGCAAATTGTGTTTATTGATATATCACAAAGGCAATTGCTGCCCATAACGGGATACATCATTCATACATTCAAAATTATACAAATTCAATACAATTGAGAGAAAAGATGAGAGTTTTACAAACAAAGTTTTTTACACTTTTATGGCTAATGAAGCTACCTTACCCAGTAAAGTAGTCCATTGTTTTTTCAAACTTTGACCAGGTGGGTGTCGAGACTTTCGTCCAGAGGGTGGAGTTGCCCATCTCGAGGGCGTGCAGACACTGAAGGACCAAGTGGACTGAGTCGATCATTCGCTGCGGCTCCGAGTCGGCCGGCAGATTTTCCTGCAGACACCCCAATCGCGCGTCGAGGGCCACCAGGGCGATCGCTATTTTTTATTTTCATTTTTAAATGAATGCTACAATATTTAAAAAAAAGTTTTACATTCAAGAGCCCATTTATGGATTTCGTTTTTGAAAGTTCCCGACATCTCGTTTTTTGCGTCTCTCCACTTTGGTATTCTATAAATCAACTCCTTATTATACTTTGCAATATAAACACCATTATTTTCATACAAATTGACAAATTCCTCGGCAACGGCGCCGATTTTGTCGGCGTACATATGAACAATCTGCGTCTTCATCATGATTGGGTTGACATGCGAGCGTGCCTCCTGCCACACAGACCCTTGACTTTAAGAAGAAACTATTTCAAATCAGAACAAAGACGAAATTTGTTTTACTCGACAAGGACTCCGCCAAGACCCTGGAAGACGTCCTTCTTGGTGACGTCGCGGTAATACTTGAGGGCCTTGAAAGAAGGTCGCTCCGGCCAGAGTCCCTCGTTCCTGAACACGGTCTCGATGTCCTCAGGCTTGAAAATGAATAGCAGGTCGCGACGCGGCTCCAGGCCGGAAAATCGGACGATGTCACCAAATTCATCGCGCAATTGCTTGTGCAGATTGATCAAATTTGTAAAATCATATTTCTCTGTAAATTTGTTTAAAAGATATAAAAAAGTTTTTAAAAGAAAAAAAATTAAAATCATGACTTAATTTTAATTAGATAAATTTTAATATATATTGTTATTTATTCTACTATATTTATCATTTATTCTAATATAGAATATTTCCATTAAAGTTCTCTCTAGCTCATTCATCTTGCATCTTTTCTTGGAGAAACGGATAATTACTTTTAGCAGTTAAATATTTTATTGCTTTCAAGAGTTAAGGGCTACATTTTTTTTATTGTATCAAAGAATGCGTTACAAATTTGAAGCATTTAAAAAAAATAAAAATAAAATTATAAAAATAATCTTTTATTGAGAAGTGCAGGTACAAGTTAATACAATTTTGAAGTCTTCACATGTAAATCAATTTCATTTTGGCTTTTCTCAAAATTCAAAAGTATACAATATGAAAAAAAAATTACTTACGAAATCCTGGGAAAAATCTGAATTTGTTTCCGAGGAATGGAATAGGCTTAGGCCCTGGCACTTGGTCGTAGGGCAAGGTTTGAGTCGTTGTGGCGAAAGCGCGAGTCGCGATCGTCCTGCTCGGAGCCAAACCACGACGCAGCATTGCTATCTCTGTTTGACGCCCAAAGTTAATGTCCCTACATGCACCCAGTACCCAGTGGTAACCTTCAAAGTGATTTGACGTAATTTGGAGCTAACGACCAGGCGGCGGGACTGCATCTATGTTTTTATCGCCAAACCACGCTGAGAGCTCAAAAATGAGTAGCTATTTTTATTGTGAAAAAATGAGGTGCAGGTGTTTGATGACGGAAAATAAATATATAGTCTACATTACTTTTATATGATTTCAATAGATAAGCGAATGAAAAAATCTATTAAGCTTTGCAAGTTGTTTATTTTGAAATAACTTTGATTTAAAATGATATGCTTTTAAAAGTGTATAACTTGATGAATTTAATAATTCAATTAGTGAAATTTTGAATGAAAATCAAAATGTTTGAGAAAAAATGGGCAAATATATTTTTCTAACAATTAAAGTCTACAAAACAATTCTTATTTTCTGCTCTCTACTATTCTTATCCCTTACAAAAATACAATAAAAATTACTTACTAAATCCCGTAAGGAACCTAAATTTGTTTCCTAGAATTGGAATCGGCTTCGGCCCTGGTACTTTTTCGTAGGGCAATGGTTGGGTTGCTGTGGCAAAAGCGCGAGTCGCGATCGTCCTGTTTGGAGATACAACGCGGCACAGTATAGTTGCAAATTAAGTTTATTGGTGTACCTCAAGGCAATCTCTGCCTCTGGAGATACATCATCCAAATATTCAAAAATTATAAATAGTATAGCTTTATTCCCTTAGACGTCAGTGGTGGAACTGGATGTAATTTGACGTTTCTGACCAGGCAGCACTGCTTCTTTTCTATGTATAAATCCGTTAGACCTCGCCGAGAGCGAGCATCAATAATTACTTTTTTTTAATTGAGGTGCAGGTGCGTGATGCCATAATATTAGTAGGTATGGCAACGGTTTATGTTGATCAAAAGATGAGCGGTGGCAATGATTTCAAACATGACTGTCAAGAAAAACTGCGCTCTTTACTATTTTTTTTTTTTTTTTTTTTTTTTAAATTATTTTGTTAGTAATTTAACATTTATAATATTGATATATTGTTACAAAATTAATTTAATATAAATATAATACTTAATTTTTATAAAATATAACACATCCCATGGGGATAAAAAGCAACACTCGTTTTTTCGTTTTGTATAAAATGCTAAGTTTAATCCTCGCGAGTTGCCGTCGTTTCTTAGTGGGTGCGATCAGTGACCTGGAACTTGAGCGGGTCCATCGGTACTTGCACAAAGAAGGTTTGGTAATTCATCTCGCCATATTCGTACCGCCAGTTGAAGCGCCTTATCATCTGAACAATTAATTATGTATTATTGCTTATAAAAAACATCATTCCCGGCCCCTTGAAAAATTAAAAGTTACCTTGGCGAGCACCATTTCCAGCTCCAGGGAGGCGAATCTCATGCCAACGCACTTGCGGGCGCCGTGGCCAAAGGGCAGCGTCACGAAGGGGTTGGTCTTTTCCTCCTGCTCGCCGCCCCTCATCCACCGTTCAGGGATAAACGCGTCAGGCTCTTTATAATGTTTGCTCGATCTCGAAATCACCGCGTGTGCCATTATCACATCCACCTGATGATATTGAAACAAAATTTAAACTTTTTCGAGTCCCCACATTGTTACTTCAATTTGTAATTCAGTCATTGTAATGATTTCTGTTTAAAAAAATGAATCTTCAATGAGTTTTTAACATTTAAGAAAATGTTTTAAAAACACGCATTATAAAAAAAAATCGTCATGATAAATTTAAATGGATATAATTATGTATCAGATATGTAAGGCTCTCATATTTTTTTTTTAACAGGAAAAAATCGTAAACTTATGATGTTATGATTGGACAGTTTTCTTAAAATAACTAACTCCTTTGGGAATTTTGAAGTTTGAGAGGACGATTTCTTTTTGGGTGGTTCTGGCGTTGCCTGAGAACACAGGCAACAACCTAGCGCTCTCCTTAATGCACGCGCGCATGAACTTCATCTCGTCAAGCATCTCGTTGGTGATGGGGGTGCTTGGGTTAGGAAGAACCCTTTTCAGCTCCTCGAATAACTTCTGCTGCTTATCCTGGTTGGCCGACAGGTGCAGCAACACGTTGGTCAACGCGTGAGACGTCTGGGTTTTTGTCAAATTTTAATTTTAAAAAATGTATTGATTTTTTTTAACCGTATCAACGCCGGCCATGAGCATGTCAAGAGCCATTACGACGGCTCTTGTGGGGTTCGGGTCCCTCTGCAGGAACCTTTCGAGGACGCTCTGCTTGTCCCCCTCGAGATCACCACTCTTTTTCTTAATACGCTCTATCGCTTCATTCACGTATTTCAGGGCCACACTGATTTATTCAAATTCAGTGTTTTTTATAAGCAACAAATAATAATAAAAGTTACCCGGTGAAATAGTCCATGGTTGTTTCAAACTTTGACCAGGTTGGCGTCGGGACCTTCGTCCAGAGAGAGTTGCTAATCTCAAGAGCGTGCACAGACTGAAGGATCAAGTGGACAGAGTCGATCATTCGCTGCGGTTCCGAGTCGGCCAGCAGATTTTCTTGCAGACACCCCAATCGGGTGTCAAGAGCCACCAGCCCAATTGCTTTATAATATTATGTTATTAAAAAATAAAAAATAAATTAAAAACTATGTTTTACATTCGAGGGCCCACTTGTGAATTTCGTTTTTGAAATTGGCCGGCATCTCGTTTTTTGCGTCTCTCCACTTTGGTAATCTATACTTAAACTCTTACTTTGTAATTTTTAAACTGATAAAAGTATTATTTTTACAAATTAACGAATTCCTCCGCAACTGCGCCGATTTTTTCTGCGTACATTTGCACGACCTGAGTCTTCATCAAGACTGGGTTGACCTGAGAGCGCGCCTCCTGCCAACCAGGACCTTGACTTTATTAATAAAATTGTAAGATTTATTTTATTTTAATGAATAACTTTTTTACTCAACAAGGACTCCACTTAGGCCCTGGAAGACTTCCTTCTTGGTGACGTCACGGTAGTACTGGAAGGCCTTGATGGAGGGTCTCTCCGGCCAGGGTCCGTCGTTCCTGAACATTGTCTCCATGTCCTCGGGCTTGAAAATGTACAACAGGTCGCGACGTGGCTCGAGGCCCGAAAATCGCACAATGTCACCAAATTCATTGCGCAGTTGCGTGTGCAATTTGATCCAATTTGTGAAATCGTATTTCTCTAAAAATAATTTTTTTGATAAACAATGGATTTTCTTTCAAGTTATTTATCACTTCTTGCAGATTCTCAATTCTCAATAGAGTTAAAGGTTTACTTTTAAGCTCTGCAGGTTGCCTACTTTGAATAAATTTGATTTATGTTCTACTTATAGAATGAATGAAGTTATAAAATTGAGACAAAATATTATTGAAATAAATTAAGTACTTTTTTAAAATCATATATGATGTATAATTATGTTAATTTAAATACGATTTTCAGATACTAATTTGACAAATGAATGCTGCATTTATGCTATATTTTTTTATCCATTGTTAAAAAATACATGATTTAAAAAGTACTTACTAAATCCAGGAAGAAACCTAAATTTGTTTCCGAGGATTGGAATGGGCTTCGGCCCTGGTACTTTGTCGTAGGGCAATGGTTGGGTTGCTGTGGCGAATGCGCGTTTCGCGATCGTCCTACAGAGAGCCACACCGCGGCGCATCATCGCTGAATCTCGTTTGAGCCCAATATTAAGGTCCTTTAGGCACCGAATGGTGGCCTTGGATGTAATTCCGCGTGTCCGACCAGGCAGCGCTGTTTCTATTTTGTTTTTTATCAGGCCTTGACGAGAGCGACCGTCAATTATTATTATGTTTGTTGTGAAATGAGCTGCAGGTTCACGATGTCGAGAAATAAGTTGCTGGCGAAAAGATTTCTGCACCTCGGCAGAAGACGATTTTCGGTCGTAGTAACCCACGAAGATTTAAAGCAGGAAGTGAGGCCATACGAGGATATTCCAGGCCCCAGACCTATTCCCATTCTGGGAAATAAGTTCCGTTTCATACCTGGATTCCGTAAGCTAATATTATAATGACACAAATTTCGATTTTTTTCTTTACAAGAAATATAATGCGGGAAGCAAATAAAAGTGCCAAGATTTTATCGATTCCACATTTGGGTCACTAGCAAGGAAAATTGGGTGCGCGCGTGTTCCTTACCCTCCCTTACACACAGCCCCTCTCACTCTGGACTTCGTTGCTTGGTTTGAAGAGCAGTGGAGATTAAAATCGATAACGTTTTTTTTTTATCATTCCTCAACCAAAAGTCCGCCTGCTATTACATAGTTTATTTATCTTGAAGTTATCCAATGCAAAATTAAAAAAAAAAAATGTATGGTTATTAACAGAAGAAATTGTATAAAAAAAATTGAAACAATTGAAACGCAAAATTAAAAATTTATTGTTGTTTAAAAGAGGAATTTTTTCTAATAGAAACGTACGACTTCAGCGATTTGCTGAAATTTAACAAGAAGTTGTACGACGAATACGGCCCCATAGTAAAATTCAGCGGTCTGGAGCCCAACAACGACCTAGTGTTTGTCTTCAACCCTCAAGACATTGAGACGGTGTTCAGGAGCGACTCACAGTGGCCCTTCAGACCGCCCCTCAAAAGCCTCGCATACTACCGTAAGCACACGCGCAAGGACTTCTTCAAAGGCGTCGGCGGAGTTCTCATAGAGTATAATAATGTTGTAATTAAAAAAAGTTATATCATTTAACATTGAAATAAATTAAGTCAGGGAAAAGAGTGGCAGGAGGCGCGACACCACGTCAACCCCATATTGATGCAGACCAAGGTGGTGCAGATGTATGCGCCAAAAATCGACCAAGTCGCCGAGGAATTTGTGGCAAAGTGAAATAAAAACAGAGAATTTTTAAAATAAAATTAATACTTTTGTGTAGGATTCCTGGATGGATTGATTCCAAAGACGAAATTCTTGATGACTTCAAAAATGAAATGCACAAATGGGCATTGGAGTGTAAATATTTTAACAAAATTCAGATATTTATGATTGGGCAAACATACAGTAGTTAATTTTTATAAGTTACCAATGATTGCGCCTTTATTGGTGACAATTTTATCTTTGATTTAATTTTTTTTTTTTAATTTTCATGAATTGAGGGGTTAAAAAAAATCTTTTATAAATAAGCTATCGCCGTTGTGGCGTTGGATACGCGCCTGGGCTGCCTGGCCGACAAACTGGACCCTAACTCTGAACCGCAAAGGATGATCGATTCGGTGCACACCCTTTTAGAAGTTCTGCACAACCTGGAGTTCGGCGGCGAAGCTTTTCTCTGGCGTATCTACCCCTCGCCCTCCTGGCGAAAGTTTGTCAAAGTCATGGACTTTTTCACCGAGTAACAATTAATTTGATAATTATTTTGTTTCTAAAATTTAAAAATTTTTATTCAGCGTGAGTTACAAGTACGTGCAACAGGCGATCGAAAGATCAAAGTCGCGACCTGAGGGCACCGAACCGAGCGCCCTAGAGCGACTGCTGGCGCGCGACCCCAACCCCACCAGGGGGGTCATCATGGCCCTGGACATGCTCATGGCCGGAATAGACACCGTAATAAAAGGGCAATAAAAATTTATTAGATAATAATAATTTAAATTTTTAAAGACGTCGCACTCTTTGACGAACGTGATGTTGCATCTGTCTGAAAATCAGGACAAGCAGGAAAAGCTGCATCAGGAGTTGCAGAGGATCTCGCCTGACCCCTACCAACCCATCACCAACGAAATGCTTAACGAGATGAAGTACCTCAAGGCCTGCATCAAGGAGAGCATGAGGTTTAGAAACGCATGTTGTATTCTATATTTTAAAAACATCACTCTGCAATAATTAACCATAAAAACTTTTACACGAATTTTCTACCTGGGATAATTTTAAAATTTTCAAACCAGAATGATGCCCGTCGTGACCAGCAACATTCGAATGACCACGTCCGAGATCGTTTTGTCCAATTACCGAGTTCCTGCTGGAGTACCGAAATCAAATTTGAAAAGAAAAAACTTCTAATTACAAAATCTAGGTTGATGTATTGATGGCGACAGGCGCCATGTCTCGATTTAAAGAGCACTACAACGAGCCGGACAAGTTCTTACCTGAAAGGTGGATCAGGGGCGGCGAGCAGGAGGAAAAGGCTAACCCGTTTGTGACCCTACCTTTTGGCCACGGCGCTCGGAAGTGCATTGGCATGCGGTTTGCTCAGCTCGAGTTGGAAATTGCACTTGCCAAGGTCCATTAAAAATTGGTTGATTGATTGAAAATTGCATTGACCTTTAAATTTTCAGATGATGCGGAGATTTAGGTGGGAGTTCAAATACGGCCCTATGGAATACAAATCGACCTTGGTGCATGCACCAGTCAAACCCCTCAAGTTTACCATCTTTAAACGTTGAGTATGTGGTTGTGATTAATTTTACCCATTATTTTTAAAATGAACGGTATTATTATTTTAATAAAAATCTCAATCTATGCGGAACATTGTAAAATAACGCTTTTTATTTTTCCATTCCATTCGTGTTCAAATTTCAAGTGGACATGCAAGTAAAGTTTTTTCTTTTTTGAAATACATAATGAAAAGGGAAGCAAACCGAAGCAACAGCTAGGAGGCAGTGTAATTTTTATTTAAACAAAATCTGCTTTTTTATATTTGTTATTGAGCATCACTATATGAATTTCCTCGGCAAAGATTCGCACTCTGTGAGTGGTAAAATTGAAAACTTATTTGGCACTTTGTTGCAAGCGAACCGACTCGGCTCTCTCGACACAAATCGAATCAAGTTGTGAACAAAAAATATTCTGATTTCCATGCTATTGTAGGCAAAAAATGATATCCATCATTTCTCTCCACACTTTTGTCTCTCTTTATCACAAAGGCCAACTCTTATTATGCGCCTCTAATCTCACAGATATTCACGATTATATTCCCTAATTGCAAGAATCTTATTTTGAATTACAACAAAAGTCAAACCGCGAATCTCTTGAGTTTCCATGCTTTTCGTTCGTATCAATCGGAATGTCCGAGTGGGGTCGTATTTTACTTAATACATCGAGAACATACTTTATACACAGTGTGTTTTACGTGATTTTTGAATATACAGCCAGTAATTGTGTGTATTTCTACAGTTTCTTGCACAATTAGTACTTTTTTTTTCCAACGGTTAGCAATATAGTGAACTCGCACATCACAGAAGGGAGACACAATTTTGTAACAGGTCTATAATTTCTTGACATTGAAGGGGCCAGAAATTTTCCACAATAATTCTTTTCCGGCGCACACCAAGAGCACATCGATTTTTGAATAGGGGAACAATAAAAATCTCGACAAACACGCTCAACTTTGAAATAAATTTTGGATCAAACAAAGCAGATTTTTGTTACATTGAAGGAGTACAGCGTTTGTTTTTTTATAATTTTGTCCATTTAATACACGAGATAGTATTGTCAATATTTTGCTTGATTTTCCACTTTTATTTTCTTACCACTGCACTCTAAAATAATAAATTACTCTCTCTTGCTATTATTTTAATTTACAAACTTACCTCAATTTGCTCAAAATTTCGCTCTGCGATTTATCACAGTCTATGTCTAGTGATAATTGAGACGAACTCGATCTCTTTCTGTTCTGCGCCCTGCTTTTTTTAATCCCAATACACAACTACAAGTTCCGTACGCTAAAGCAGTTAAGTTTCTCTCGTTGCATTTCCTAAAAGTTTTACTGCTGCTGAATGCACAAGTGTGTCACCTCTTGCGTTCAGAAGGAGAAAAGTAGATGGCACGAAAACAAAAATCAGTGCAGTTATTCAAAACGGCTCACAGTGTATAATTAATAAAAACTCAATGGCTCAGCCATCGTTAAACAGCACCCTTAGTTTGGCGCCAACAGTCTATATTTGAGAAATATTACTTTGGAATAATAAATAATTAACGCACAGCGAGTTGATTCCTGAAACTTTTCCAGTTAATTTGGCCTGAAGTTTTAAGAAAAAGAAAAAAGGTCGAAAATGTATGTATATGAACACCTACATATGTATATACATGCGCGGCAGGGAATCGTCAAAAGAAAAACGCTCTTCCCTGCGAAAATCGGGTTTTGTCACGCGCGCAGTAGTACTTTGTGCGCGCTCTCTTTTCATACACTTGAGCAAGAGTTAAAAGTACACGCGCCTATGTAGCTCCAAACGACATTCAAAACATATAATGTATATAGAGATTCTTCCGTTTCTAATGCGTGAATTATTGCAAAAACACTTTCAAGTTATTGTGTAGATCAGAATATCCAGTCTAAAGCAGCGCCCCCCATTAGAGGAAACGCCGATTGAAAAAAATTAGTCAAAAGATTGAAAGTTTCAACACGTAAATGAGTATATTTGTGCTCACTGAGCCTATTAATTCAAACCACTTAAAAACGGTAAAAAGAGTTTTCCATTTCAATAAAAGTGAATATTACTATTTTTCCACTGTAAGGTAGCCCTCGCTGAGTAAGTCAATAATAATAATAAATATTATATGGCACCTGAATTTCAAAAATTACTTTTAAGAAACAAATTACCCTGAATTGCTCGGATTTTGGAAGAATCGGTATTTTAGCATTCGGTTTTAATTTCCTGATTAGTTCTTCGCCAGAATAAATTAAATTGCCATCCGAAAAATTGCCATTCAGCAGCTGAACGGGTTTATGTCTCGACCGCGCCAACAATTAAAACAATCAACAAACTGCTTATATTTTTGCTCCAAGTCTGAACAGTAAAAATGCAACTCGGTCTAAATCGCTTTTTTGAAATAAATACTACGCCACTACGTAACTAGATTAAGTAACCGCGCGGCGGGAAAAAAAAGAGTCAATCAATCGCGACACGCACCTGTGCATATTGTACTTTTGTCACTTGCTGCTCTAATCTCACTAGGATTAAAGTTGAGTGGCCTGGTTGCCCTTTCGGACGCCTAGCTGATGGGACGACGCGTTGGCAGAGTCCACCCTGCCAACGCTCTGCTCGCACTACTGGTTCAGGAACGAGTTGTTCTTTGAAATGAACGAGCTGTTCTTCGAAATCAGACCGGCGCTGCTTTCCGACATTGGAATCACCGCAGTCTTCTCGCCCTTTGGAATCTTTGCCCGACTCTTGATGTTTGGCTTTATTCCGTTCAAGATATTCTGAAATGCAAAAATTGAATATTTTTAATTAAGTTTTGATAAGCCTTGCAGTAGAGACGAGTCTAACGTTAATGCTACAGGTGGAATTTTTTTTATCAAAATCGACGGAGCTAGTTTGCCAAAATTAGAAATCTGATGTAAAATCTTTATTTCTTAATGAAGAAGGCAGTTATTTTGATTCAAAATTAACATTTTGTGTATCTTTGGAATCATATAAAAGCTACTTTAGCAATAATTTTACTTCAAATAATATTGAAGTGTAAGAAATGAAACATATATTCTTTTCAATTTATTCTCAAATTGATTTTTCTGTTTTAAATTTAATAAATGTATCTTGTAAGAAATCAATCTATATTACATTAAAAAATTGTTACTCACGTCCTTTATAGAACCAGGTGTAGCAAAAATGTAGTAGACGGCGTATGAGGGTATCCAGACCATGGAGGTGAGGCTGATGCCGATACCGATGGCCTCTGCCCATGTCGGATACTGGTAGCTGCCGTACTTAATCGGCTCATACTGGATGATGTAGAAGATGAAGATGGACTGGAATTTTTTGTTTAAGAAACGATCTTACGAAAAACTAAAATAAAAAATACCAGCATGACAAAGGGGGCAAGATAGACCCAGCTGATGTACCAGAACTTGTTGAGCCTGATGCCCATCATTTGGTGGACGCAGTCGCAGAACTTTTCAGCGCCAAAAATCCAGGAGATAGCGATTGTCTGGAAGAAGCAGCACCACAGCAGCGGCAGCCCGCTCGCCGAGTAGAAGTCCATCAGTTGGAAAATATACGCGCCGCCCTGATTCACAGTTTTCGATTATATTTCTGTATAAATTAATTTATTTGTGGTTCTCACGTGCGTGACCATGGTTGATCCAAGGAAAAACATCAAGAAGCAAATGGCCAGCGTAAACTTCTTCCTGTGGGGACGCAGCTTCTCTGGCCAGTTGTCGACCATGCCGGTCACAAAGGACTCGACAATGCAGAACTCACTGTCAATGCCCAAAATCTGCCATATTTCCATCAGTTTAAAAAATTCAAAGACAAATTAATTATTTACGAACCACCAGCATGATGAAGAAAATTGCGGCCCAGACTGGCGCCCCAGGCAGTTTGAGCACCACCTCAGGGTAGGTGAGGAAGACAAGACCAGGGCCGCTTTTGACCACCTTGTCCACCTCCGTGTTTTGCTCCAGGGCGATGTGGCCCAGGATTGAAAAAGTCACGCACCCTGCCAGTAATGAGGTCAGCGTGTTTACAATGCACGTAATTATGGCGTCCCTTGAAAACAAAATTAGAGTGTTAAAAGCATGTCTGTTAAATTGTGTTTTTCTTTTTAATCCAATAAAAAAGCGCGCCACTTTCTTAGGCACAGTTCTGGGAAGTCTGAGAACAAAAATTGGTTGTCTTGGGAGTTTCAATTAGACTCACTTGTAGCAGTTGTGGTAGAACTTGTTGTAGGAGCCAAGGGCTGGAAGGGCGCCGGTGCCGATGCTGTAGGCGAAGAAGATCTGCGTGGCGCCGTCGATCCATGGACTCGCCTCCAGCAGTTTTTCCCAGCGCGGCGTGACGTAATACAAGAGGCCCGTGCCCGCACCGTCCAGGGTCACTGCCCGCACCAGCAGAACCAGCAGCACCGCGTAAGGGAACAGCGCCGTGAACCAAATTATCTAAACAAGCAATCCATGAGAAAATGCGCTTTTAAAAGCTAAATTATCTGAGGTGAGAAATGATAGAAATTTAACCGTTCAAATATGCAGCTAGAGCAAATTAGTTTATTGTTACCAGCGAAGAATAAGTTAACATCTATTTAGATGTTTTTCTTTAATTAATAAAAGTGATTTTTTTAAATAAAAATTAATTTATTATTATTTATTAAAAATATTTATATTTTTTAATTTCATGTAAATTTTTTTGGTAATGTCTTGCTCATTCCAGTTTTGCAATCATATCTTTTTTTCAAAATATAGAGTTATTTCTCAATCTGTTAAAGGATTCCACATTTCACCTTTAAACTTTCAAATTAGATATCAAGGCGAATTTGAACCCGGTTTAAAATTTTCAAACTATTTAATATTTTGTTTGATTTTTTCTTAATATTAGAAGTCTTAATATGCTGGCCAAAATGGTTTTCCCTGGTTTTATCCAACTATCAAATATCAATATAAAACCTTCCAATTTTTAAAATTCTAATAGACTTCAAAATTTAAATTTTTTGAAAGAATTTAGGGAAATATCATAATATATTTTATACCTTTCCACTCTGGTGGATGCCCCTGCAGATGATTCCGTAGACAAGGAACCAGCCAAGCAGGAGGCAGCCGAGTAGCTCCCACTGCATTCCTCCGATTACATCGATGCCGCTGGTGATTTGCAGCACGCGCTTGCTGAAATGTTCGTTTAATTATTAGATATTTTACGCAATTTAAATATTGGCGCACTCACTCCCAGTACTCTTCGACGGGGGTAGTTGTGTGGTTTGGCTTCAGCCCCGTGCCGTTTGTCTCGGGCGTGAAACAAGACTCGGAGTTCCACCAGTTGCCTATTATGAATAATTAACTTTAAATTTCATATTTCTGTTCTCAATTCAAAATCTTACCGCAACTCTGCCAGGGTAGGTCGGGCAGGGAGACAAAAGAGTTGATCAGGTAGAACAATGTCCAAGCGATGATAATGCAATAGTAGATGTCCAGAAAGAAGACCATTGTCATCGTCGCGTACCCAACACCTACAAATTTATATTTTCATTAAAAAATTGGAAATAAACAAGTCTTTTTATTTTTTTAGGTTAAAATTATTATAATGCGTACAGAAAATGAAATTTTAAATTGTCAAGAAAAAAATTTCTGATTATTTTATTTTAAATATCGAGTGATATCGAGCACAATCAATTGATGTTAAACCAGCGGAATAAATCTTCAATTTGATCATAATTTCTCGGTTAGTTGTTTCTAAATAAATAAGGCAATGAATTTTTTATTTTTCACGGATGGTGTTTTTGAGTAACAAAATGAAAAAAAAATTAAATATGATTTTCAGACATCCAATAGTTTAGTATTTTTGGTCTTGCAAGCTAAAAGGTTTAGGCAAATATAGCCAACAGTAATAGCTCCGGCCAGGTTAGGCGCTTTGGAATTACCCTCATTATATTTAAAAAAATAAACAGCATATATATGAATCCATAATTGCAAGGGAACAAATGGCGGCCATAAAGCAAAAAATTAAATTTACCTTTGAGGATGGGGCAGAGCTGGCCGACCAAGGTCATGCCACCTGCGCCCAGGTACTGGCCAATCGCCACCTCCTGGAAGAAGATCGGAATTCCGCACAGCACCATCGCGATACCGTAGGTCACGAGAAACGCTCCTGGCAGATGAAAGCAAAGAAATTTTTGATTTATTAATTCATTAAAAACAAAAGTACTTAATTCTAACATCTCCAGAAAAAAATTAATTTAAGTTGTGACACAATGATGCCAGAAGGCGTTAAATTTTTTGCAACATTATTTCGCGTCGTTAGTCAGCAAGATTTCTCTCTTGTGACCTTTTAAGAGAATTTTTTGTCAAAGGTTAAATTGCAGTTTGTCTCGGTCGTTAGCCCCACGCAGCGAGAGACAAAAAGGCTCTTTTAACTCTGTTGTGTTTTGTGGGAAGTGCGAAAAGGAAGGGGTTGTTGGGGTGCGCCGCGCGGCCGAGTGGAGGGAAGAGAGGCAGTCAATGGGGTGCAGGCAGAGCGCATGAGCCATTGGAAAATTCCACGGCTGCCTATCTGCCGGGGGCAGCCGTGACCATCTAACCCTCATATCGAACCAATCAATTTCCCCGGCTGGCGCAAACACGGCGTGACATATAATAAAAATGAGCTCAAATAGGAACCAAAATAATGAAATGCAAATTCCGGCACGTGAGCCGCAGTTTTATTTTATCAAAAAAACTTTTTGCAAATATACGCAAAATTTGACACGCTGATGCTGGCAGACAAGGATGGAATAAAATGAGAAGAAGTTACGCAGCTTTGCCCACTTGAATTACGTTACCACTTGTTCGTCACGCCACTGCCTTTTTTGTAAAAAAAAGATCAACAATTACACCAAGCTTTATCCTTAAAGAGTAAAATTAAATGAAATTAAAACTAACTAAGTATTGCAAATTTTAAAAGTAAATTAACGCGAAGGAACACATTTTTTGTTCAAAAATTACTCGCAAAATTTTTATTTCAAAAATTGCATAAACAAAATTGCATATTTATCGTTATGATATTTTACATTTTTTTTTTTTTTTTATAAGTTTGCTTTAAAATTTAAATTTTTGTCAGCAAGATTTTATAAATCCTCTCTAGTAAACTTGAACTTTTTTTATCTCGTATTATAAAAATTAAATGCTGATTGGATATTTAATGACGCATAAATTGAAATTTAAAATTTTGAAAATAAATTTTCAAATATTTGATCACCCGTAAATTATTAAGACAAGTTCATATACCTGATATAACCTCACACTTTATTTCAACCCACCCTTTTTAATAAAAATCTTAAAATAGATTTAAAACAAGTGAAATTTAAAAGCTTAAAATACTTCTAAAAAATAAATTTTTTACCAATTTCTAGAATTGTTTTATTATTATTTAATAGAATAACAGTTTGCAACTCACCGCCACCGTTCTTGTAGCAGAGGTAGGGAAAGCGCCAGACGTTTCCGAGTCCAACGGAGACGCTGATGCAAGAGAAGAGGAAGTCGAGTTTGTTTCCCCACCCGCCGCGCTCCTCCTCGTCCTGCTCAGGGATGGGCGCGATTGTGGCAGCAGCACCCTGAGTGTCCGTCGAGATGACCTCGGCAGGCGTGATGTTGATGGGGATGTTGATTGGGGGCCCTGGGGGCTTCTTCAGCACGCCTTTCAAAGGCTCCGGCTTCTTGGAAACTTTTTCCTGAGGCCCGGGTGATCCTTCAGGGGCCGCAGGTTCCTCCTCGGACGCCGACGGTTTGGCCGAGAACTCGATGAACGTCTGCTCAGGGTCGGCCGGCTCCTTGTCCTGGCCCCACATGTACTTGCCCGACGCCATAACTTCGCCTGCGCCAAAACACACCAAAATGTCAAAGGTCAAACATCAAAGAAATGGAAACAAATAGAAAGCGAGGCATTGTTCAAGTTGTTCAAAATTGCACAGAAATACGTCCAAATTTAAGAATAAATTAAAAAAAAATATATCCTATTTTTTTTAATAAAGAAATGCTATAGTTTTCAACCATAATCCTCGTAGGATGCCATACAGATCAAATTTATGACTGTGGTGAATTGCGCTAATTAATTACTATATTTTTTGCTCAAATGAATGAATAAAAAGCTTCATATAATCTCTAATTGAAAAGTTTTTTTGTTGAAGTTACCGAAGAATATTGTCCTAGAGAAAAATCGAGATGCTAGGGTTGTGAAATCGATCAAAATTATCCTTGAAATAATTCATGTCCTACAAAATAGGAACTGGAAATTTTGAGGTCACCAAGTTATTTTTAATGTATCAAATTTCTATAAATTTAATTAAAAAAAAATAGCTCCTGTTTTTTCTTCTTTCTTTGATTAAAGAATGAAAACAAGCAAAATCAACGGATAATTATGAGGGAAAATATAAACATTCAAATAGTTTTGGGCATTCACAATAATAATTAAGAAAAATTAACAGATTTCGCAAGCTTTGCATTTATAATATCTTATTTCCTTGTTTCTCAACTTCAAAAGCAAAGACATTTTGGAATAATATAAATAAAATTCCTGAATGATTTGGCAATCCGTGCGTGTCCGCTGCACCCATTGAGGAAAAAGCGCCCCAGGGGCACGGCTTGACAGACACACATGTGAAAGAGTGCATAAAATAAATTGGAAGTGATAAATCTGTGAGCAGAAGCCAGGTGGCTGCGGCGCGCTTGTAAACAAAGGTGTCTGTTTATCAACCACACATCTATCGCATACCTAGAGTCCTGACTGAGATGAACAAAAAAACATTCAGGACACGCTCCCGCGCGACGCGAATCGATAATTAGAATTGCGCCGCACGTCCACACGCAAATATCCGGCTTGAAGGAATAAACTAAAATCACGTCGAAAAGATAAAAACAAGGAAAATTTTTGAGGAAAAAATTATGTGGCCTTATCAGTGTTGTGGATTTTTCCTGAAAGTGACAGACCGGCTCCAGGGTCAATCGATATTACGATCTCGTCGCGGAGAAAGCGATTAATTAATGTCACCCAGAAGTTTCCTTTCAACAAAAGCTCCTTTGATGTTTTTGATATCATACTATGATTCTTTTATAATTCAAAGGGGACATGTTTGCCAATTTTTTATTATTTGATATTCGTTTCAGAAATAATTATATTTAATCCACTTCATATAAAGCGAGAGGAAAAGGAAAACCGCAGCAGTTAAATTCGGTCCAATTAAAGCACATGGGGGGACTTGTTATCATATTTGACAGCCACGATTCTGTTGCAGGAGTAAAAACGCGAGTTGGAAACGCATTCTGCGGCCAACCCACTCAACCCACCTGCCATCAAAAAAAAAAAACAGCCACTTGACGAAATTTTTGCACAAATAAAAAAAATCGCCAAACTCTAACAATTAAAACCTCATCTTTAAGATAAATATAAAAATCCCCATTTTATTAATTCAAAGTTAAAGTAAATATTTTGACTTATTCAATCCTGGCCTATAAATTTCCCCTGGCGAAATGTCAAAATTCAACTCAAGCTAAAAAGGCTTGGACAATTTGTAAACAAGGGCGCGTGGACGGAAAGGTTCATCCATACTCACAGAGGTTGGGTTTGTCGAGGGGTAGTGTGCGTGACCCGGGTCGGCCCTTAATGTTCGGCAGGGGTGCAACGCAGGTTGGGCCGCCCTAGCTTCGGAGGGCCTCGCGCGCGACTGCTTGGGCCGGCCGGAGAATTCGCTCGCGAGACGCAAAGCGGAGGGGCCGCGCGCCGATCGATGCCCTCTATCGACCCCCCGTTCTCCACCGCCGCCGACACGGTGCTCCGCCCCCACCCCCGAACGAGGGCCTCGTCAACATCCCTTAACTTCGCAACTGCGTCACACTCGCGCTGCTCTGTCGTCAGCACTCAAAAGTCTGCGTTCGATATCAATTTTTTCCGTCACTAGCTCCAATTGCGCGGCAAAAGAGGAAATTTGTTTTCGCTCAAAAGTCTGAATGAAAGAAGCTCAGTTTTTGCCACTTTAGTATTTGCAAGAAATAACAGAAAGTCAACAAAATTATTTATAAAAAAAAACTTGGTAAAAATTGTTTCACTGCAATAATTTATCTGAGAAATATATTGTTTATGCTAAAAACGTTTTGGTATTTTTTAAAATTTATTTATCTATTATATTATAATAATACTTCTTTTTTTATAATTGACTTTTTGGCTTGCAGTGCTTGGACTAAACAAATATTGAGTCAATTACATTTTTTGTGTTAAAGAAGTCAAAGCACCCTCTCATTTTGGCCGAACTAATCAACGCTTCATGAATTATGGCTGAAAAAATTGAAGGTGTATAAGATTTTTTTATGAAATATTTATATTTTTCTATGAAAATAGATCTTAAATTTTTGATAGAAATTCATTCATTCTGAACTCTGGTAGTTTTTATACATTTCTATGAAATATTTAAAAATGTGTTTCAATCTTTCTTCCACAGAGAGGATAGGGCAAGTTATTTGATCAGTTTAATTTGTCACATCTTTCAGACGGACCGATCGATTCTGGCCCCCTCAAAATATCCTCTCTTATAAATATGAGAAGAGCTGAACTTTCGCAACTTTCCTTCCAAGCATCTTCGGGAAATTGCTGACAAATTTAATAAAGAAAAATACCAACTGACTTTTTTTGCTGCACGTGGAAATAGAAATAGAAAAGGAATCAATATTCGGCGTTTGAGAATTTTTTTTTATATAATTGGCTTTTAAATCTTTAAATGCTTCCATAAAAGTGCAAGCCCAAGGGTAATCTCTGCGAGATTCCAGAGCAGAATCTCAGTTTCAGAATCCGCTTACCAGAGCAAAACACGAAGCTCTCTGTGTTGTGAAATTCGCAAAGCGATAAAAGTGAAGAGCGCAACTTCAGCAAAAAGCAGTAAACGCGGAGCTCATTTGCATTTTCGCGTATGGAATGGAGTACAAAAAAAAAGTTTCGTGGACAGGTGTTGGTTAGAATACAATAAACATTTTTCTTTTAAATCAAATGCAAAAATATGAATGCAAGGAAAGTGGAATATGAGGTCGGTTTTCCTCTCCTTTCATGCAAAATAAAATAATGCCCCATAAATCGCAAGCAAATGGGTCACCCACTTTTATTGTGCTGCCTGTCAACAGAGCAAATTGATAGTTGTTGTTACGTTGGATGCAAAAAGTGCATCTCTTGGTGCAACTTTCCTTGAATACACTTTTCGTCGAGTGTTGTAAAAATAATACACATGCATTTGTTCACAACTCTGCCAACCTTCGTTGTCACAAAAGACAAATATTTTATCTCAAAATGATGCGTACTTGCATTTCACTCACAAACAAAGTGTCCTTCCTCGCACCCTCCCCTTTTGGTGTTAACATAAAAAATTGTGAAACTACATCTCTGGACGATTTTCAAAAGGTATGTGGTGAAGTTCAAGTGATTCCGGTGAGCAAAGGCAATTTAAATGCAAAGTACTCACGAGCTAGAGGTTGTATGGAAAGGGACACAGCTGCTGGTTGGATTCACAGGTCGCGCCGCATTTTCACGCCGCAGATGCTGGAGAGGGACTGAGCGGCTATTCGCGGCGTTCGCCGAACCTGCTGTGCAGCCGAGAGGTGCCCCTAGAAAAAAAGTCGTCAGGCCACAATTTGATTGCGAGCGGGGCCGCCTTGCCACCTGAAAACTCGGCCGGCGCACGCACTCCTCGCGACCAGCAACCTTCTTCTGAGATGAAAATCGCACGCCTTGCAAATAAAAAGCCGCGATAATTTTCAGATATTCAACGCATTCCTCTGCAACTCGCGCGCGCCCATTGATTTTTGCTCCTCCACATCACCGATCCATGAATTGCGTCTTTGGCTAAAACGTCGATCGATATCAATTCTTATTCTAACGCAAAGGGGAACAAAACAGTGTGAAAAAATAATGTGCTTAAAATATTTTTTTCCTTTTTAAATGAGGAATCGAAAAATTTTTGAGCACAAGATAAAAAACTGAAAAAAAACTGCTCTCATTAAGTCTCAAAATATTCCTCAGTCAAAATTGTTTAGCAGAAAATAAGTGAAACAGCCAGCAAACATGTCATGCTTTTGCACCTCCTGAACACGTTGAAGGAACTTAAAACACCTGATGTACCGTAAAATTTTCCTCTGAAGATAATATTTTTGACAAAAATCAAGATATTTTTCTGCTTGCTTAAAAAGCATAGCTTTATTTATTGCTCAATATTACTTTTATTTGAATAATTTTACTTTATTTATTAGAATTAAAAAATTTGTTCCACTTAATTAAATAAATTGTTAAACAGGGTAAAAATATTGATTTTGCACAAAAAAATAACATCATTGCCAAATTAATTTGAAGAAATCTGAATTTTAAGATATTTTAAATCCTCTACCTGTTAAGGTGGATCGCAAATATCCAATGTTGATTGCCTATAATATAATTAACACAGTTACTTTAAAGGTTGTGATCAAGAAAGTGCAATTGAGCAATCACAGCGGCGAAGGAAATTTTCCAGCTGCTTTTCAATTCATAAATCAGCCGCTCTATCAACTCTCGTTGCATAATTGAGTTAACGAGACAAGCTCGCGGATATTCGCAATGTGCACTTTTTCTTCACAGAAAGAAAATTGCAATGCGCTGTAATAAAATTAATGAAATACAACGCAATTTAATTAGGCAAAAAAAAGCGAGATTAATTTTAAATTTGGTTTTGGATAGAAGCAAACGTGTATTAAAAAAAATTTCAAACAATTTTTTTTTGTCATCGCACTTAATTGTCCGTCCTTGTCAATAATGCCTTATTTCAAAGGCGGCGTGTTAAATTGAACCTGAAATTAAATTATTCAGGACGTTTTTGGGTGCGGCGTAGTTTCAGCATAATAATTATTTATATTTTTGAGCTCTCTCGTGTTTCTATTTCTGTCCGTCCGTCGATACACTTCTTGTCGGTTTTATCTATGAAAGTAAAAAGGCACGCGCTCTCCTTTTGGCCGCGCGCTGGAAATAATGCCTTTCGATTTTCATCACACCCGGCCTTTCTTTGTTCCGCCTCTCCAGGTCCATCTTGGTCTGCCCGAGGCCTTTGCACGAAACCTGAGAGCGGCGGCCAAGAAGAAGCGCCGCCGGCCCACCACGGATTTCACCGCGCATATAATAAAAAAATTGGACCTAGAATATAACTGGCAGCAGGTAAACAGCCTTTTATATTCACAACAGCATGCGCAGATTTTTTTTTCTGCACTTGATACAAAGGGACAGGTGAAAGTTCGTCCCTCATAATTAAAGTAGATAATACAAAACTTAAAATTTAAATATCTCTAACTTGGCCAAATAGGAAAACAGTGAAAAGCAGGTAAAGGTTCCTTCACATGAACATAATCTTTGTATTTTTAATTTTTAGAGGTTTTTTTTTATGAAAATGAAAACAGGTCGTGACACTTTTACAAATTAGTTTGTGGGGTAGTATGATTTTATCCTATTTTAAAATAATAAAAAAAAAAATGCGTGATGAATAATTATTATTTTTTATTAAATTTAAATTTTGTTTCTATTGCATAGCTTTTCTTGGTATGGTCAGCCCGGTCAGGCACGGTTAAATTAAATTTTTATAACTTTCTTGCTTTTTCATTCATTTTTACTTAGTTCCCTTGCATTCATTCAATGCATTTTAATTGCTCTCGTTAATATATTTTCCAGTCCGCCTTTTCGGCCAAACTGGAAGTATCTGTAAATCTCCATCAGATGGCAGCATCCAAGGCAGCATCTCTGCAACTGTCTGCAACCAACAAGTCTGCAACACTCAACTCGGCCTCAAGTTCCCATGATATGATTGGTCGAGAACGTCCTCTCCCTCCAGCCTCCCCTCCACTGGCGCGTTTTTACAAAACAACAACCCCTTGCAGTTGCAAGGTCGTTAAATTAGTTTTCTGTTTTCTGCCCTGCAATGGAAACATAAACAAAGTTGCAGATTTTGTTTTTCATCATTTCGGACACAATGAACGAATCCCCGGGAGACAGGGCGGTGATCGCCGTCCGGAGCAGGCCGTTGTTCGCAGCCGAGATAGCGCGCCACTGTACTTCGGTCCTACAGTTCCCCGCCGAGGACAGAAATGTAGGTGCCAAAAATTGTGAAAATTTCGTTGACCGGCTCTTAATTTTCGCAGATCGTGATTCTCGGCAAGAATGGATTCGAGTTTGACAAGATCTTGTGCGGGTCGGCGCAGGACGAGGTGTACGAAATGGTTCGGCCGATTCTTCGGCAGGTTTGGGCCGGCTACTCGGCCACCGTCATGGCCTACGGACAGACCGGCGCCGGCAAGACCTACACCATGGGCACGGGTCGCGGGAAGTTCAGCCTTGTAACTAAAATCCAAAAACGTAGCATCAAGCGTGAAAATCTAATTAAATTTTATTTAAAGGAAAGTGAAGGAGTTGTCCCACGAACAGTGCGGGAACTTTTTGAGCTCAACACGGACAACGCTGCTGAGGTTTCTGTCTCCTTCATGGAGGTTTACAACGAGGGCGTGTACGACTTGCTCTCTGCCTTTCCAACCAGAAAAATGCAAGCCAGAGGTAGAATTTTTACATTTTCTAAAGAATTGCAAAACTAAATTTTCATTTAGCCTTCAGAGACCTGGGGCTGCAGGAAATCCCAGTTTTCTCTGTGGAGGACGCCCTTAAAAGGTTGGAGGAGGGCATCGAAGCGCGTAGGGTCAGCGAAACCCTTGGCAACGAAAAGTCCTCCCGCTCTCATGCCATCTTCAGCCTCCACCTTCGTCGTTTCAACAGGTAATGAATTAGAGAATAGTACTGATAATTTACTAATTATTTAATTTTAATGAAGGGAGGAGGAAAGTGAGACAAGGTCGTTGATTCACTTGGTCGACCTGGCAGGATCAGAGGCCGTAGGCAAGGCAGGCAACCAGGGCTCACTGAAACAGGAGGGCATCAGCATCAACCAGGGCTTGCTTGCCCTGAGTAACTGCATTAGGGCTGTCATTCAGAAGAACCAGCATATCCCCGTCAGAAACACTGCCCTCACCAATGTACTCCAAGGTAAATTTTAAAATTTTAAAAACTACTTAAAAAGGTGCAAATATTTCAAGAGAACTATTTCGATGAAATCCTTTTTGGGGATTTTTTTATTTCAAACATTGTTTTCATATTGATATTTTAATTTGTATTCTAATTTGTTTCATAAACTTTCACTTTCAGACACCCTGAAGGGTCAGTGTCTGTTGGCGCTGATTGCCTGTGTGTCTCCATCCAGCAAGGACGAACAAGAAACAGCGCAAACACTCAGGTTTGCGCAGGCCTTCCATAAAATAAAGTCAAGACCCCATATCCAGAAAATAGTGGCCCAGCATGCCAAAAACTTAAACAGGAAGCCCTCAAACCTGGTGACGCCCAGTTTCCAACGCAAACCCTTCTCCTCCATTGGAAACAGCGTCACTTTCCAGCCAAACGTCAGGTTTGTTTCTTATTGTTTAAATAATGGAGTGGTTAATCAAACTTTTACCATAATAATATTCAGATAACTCAGAATTATGACAATTCATTTTTTCTGCAGGGTCTCAAATTACCAGTTTGTCTCACGGAGGACTTTAGGCTCTCCGACTGAATTTTCAGAAAGCTCATTTGCCTCGAGCAAGGCAACAAACATCTCATCTGCCAGCATCTTCTCCCATTTCTCCGAACAAGACTTCAGCGAGCTTGTTTCCAATGCTCTGGGGTAATTATTCATTTATCCCAATAGTATTTAACAGTATCTAAGAAAAGTAAATGATTTTTAGTTATAGTTGAGGATTCGATCCAGATTATTTCATATTTTTATTTGGCCCTTTTGATATAAATTTTCATTACAAATGATTATGAACTAAAGATTGTTTCATATATTTAAAAAATTACAATTCATGATTTAAATGGGATTTTGTGCAGAAACTATTTCTAAATTACAAGACAACACATTTTTTTTATAGTTAAACGTGCTTAATCTAAGTAGCATTTTGATTCAACAGGGAGAGGATGGAGATTTTGAAAAAGGAGACTGAAGCTTTGGTCAACAAGAAGATAGAGGATGCCTTGAAAAACATTGGAGCGCAAGTCCAACCTGCAAATGCAAACCCTGAAGACAACTCGCTTGTATCAGAAAATGAAATTTCTATCGCTGACATTTCCCATTCAACTGCCATTTCTGTCAAGTAAATAATTTTATTCAAAATTTCCCTTTAAAATTAAAATTCTAAACATTGCAGTAAAGAGGATTTTGCTGGCTGTTCAACCCCCAAAAAGACTGAAACTTTGCAGACTTCCCCTCAATGCGACACAAACAAGAGCACTGTTTTTGTAAATGATCTCATCCCCATCACCCCCTACACCACCACCACCACCATCCTTCCTTTGGAACCTTGCAGCCCTGCAGTGCAGCCTCCAGTCAAGCTGAGGCGCTCACTCCGACTCAGCTGCATGGCTGTTCCTGTTTTCCATCCAGAAGTTGGGGAAGAGGAGCGGCTGGAGAAACGGAAGCTGCGACGCTCCATTCGCCTGAGCTGCATGGATCTTCCCGAATTCCTTCGAACCAAAGATGAAGAACCTGAGAGGAAACGCAGGTGCTCTGTTGCCACAATTCCCGTTTCGGACATCAATTCTGAAGCCCACGAGGAACCCTTGAGGAAGGTGAGAAGATCAGCTAGACTTTCTGTCTTGCCCCAAAAGGGATTCTGCTGTACCGAGGAGCAGCAGGGCACCTGTCAGGAAGCACCCAAGCCTAGGAAGCAGCGCAAATCAATTGGCCCGGAAGTGCTTGAGGAAATACTTTTTACTGAAAGCCCCTCGGCAGGGTCTGCCCAGGAGAAGCACCTCCGGCGCATGCTGGGGCTTCTCAACACCGAGAATACAAAGGTCATCCAACAGCTGCCCACCGTCGGCCCAAAAACTGGTTACGTCATCTACAGCTACAGGTTAAAAAAAATATCTTTTATAAAAATTGTTTCCTTATATACATTATTTTTTCAGGCAAATCCACGGCAACTACCAGACTTTTGATGACCTGAAAAAGGTGCCAGGACTCTCAGCTAATTTCTTGAAGCGCTTCTTCAAGGCCAACAACATCAAGGTCTGACATTTAAATAATTATCTTTTATACCAAAGTGTACAAATTTTCCCTCCCGTGAATGATATTCATTCAACTGTACATTTTTTGAACCTAATTTTATTGCAACTGATTGTAAAATAAACAAAGTTCTTGACATTCCTCGTGATGTAAAATAACTTTTATTAAATTTTTTAAAATCCGGTTACAAATTTTTAAAATCTACTGTACGAGTTTGTCAAGAAGGCTGTCATCAAGGACAGTGTGCGGCAGGGTGATTGCGAGTCTGGGGTCAGCGGAAGCGGCCCTGTTGATGGCCAGACGCGCGTTCTCGTTTCCAGCCCAGCACCTTCGAGCGACGCCGTTGTTGACATCAAAAGGCAGCAACGTTCGAGCCCGCTCGAAGGCCTCGTCTGAGCCATCCAGCAAGAGGCCAAAGCCACCATTAATGACCTCGCCCCATCCAACGCCGCCGCCATGATGTAGTGCCACCCATGTGGCGCCGCGGAAGGCGCCGCCAACAAAGTTGTGCACCGCCATGTCCGCACACACGCTCGACCCATCGGTTATATTTGACGTCTCGCGGTATGGACTGTCTGTTCCGCTCACGTCGTGGTGGTCGCGGCTTATCACCACCTCACCCTGTAAATCAAGTTCAAAAACGTCACCGCAAGCAAATATTTTTAATTTTCAGTTTTTCTCCAACATGATTTTTCTCTACAAAACTATATTTTAGGGAAGTTTTAAAAAATTTTGAGGCATTTTTAATATCATTTAATTGAATTTGAATGGGAATAAAATTGCATTTTTTTTTAAATTAAAAATCAATTTTTATTTTTAGATGATCATATTCAATCAGTATAAAGTATTAATTTAGAATTAATTTGAAGAGACCGGAAATTATACGCTTTTTAAAGTATTTATTTTCTTCTCACCTTGATCCGTCCGTCCCTGATAGCCTGGTTGAAGGCGACGGCAGTGTCTGCGCGACCTTTGGCGTCTGCATATAAAATCCTGGCCTGCGAGCCGACAACCAGGGCGTGACCTTCCGCCTCCCTAATCCACATCAGGTTGTCGCGCAATTGCGCGGCCACTGGCTCGTCCTTCTCTTTTTTTAAAGCAGCTTCCATGATTCGAGCTGCGATCAGGTCGGTCTCGCGCAGATCCTCAGGGTCTCCCGAGCAGCACACCCAGCGGAAGGGCCCAAAACCCAACGAAAACACATCCCTGATCAAATAAGTGTTGCTCAGGTCATAGTATAAAAAAAATGTTGCTCACCCCATGATGTGCTGGACGTAGGAGGGGTACCTGAAGGTGCCGTCAGGACCGTCGACAGGCGCGCCTGCCCTGCTGGCCTCCAGCAGAAAGGCGTTGCCGTAGTCCCAGAAGTGAAGGGCAGCGTTTTGGGCCAGGTGGTTGATGGCCGCCACCTGACGCCGCAGCGACTCCTCCACCAGGCCTTTGAAGGCATCAGGGTCCTCCACCAGCAGCTGAAAAAATATGCTGTTATTAAAAAAATATCAGAGTACACTTCAAATATTGAACCTTCTTAGCTTCGGCGTGCGGCAGTTGGACGGGCCAGTACCCACCGCCAAAAGGGTCGTGCAGGGACGTTTGGTCGGAGCCAAGTTCAGCAAGGATCTCTCCGGTCCGGCGGTGCTCGTCAGCCAGGCGCTCCCACAGTGACACCGCGTTGCCTAAGTAGCCAATGCTGACGGCCCTTTTCTCTGCCTTGGCCTTCCTGATTTTCTCAACTAATAGGTCCAGATCCTCCTCCACCTCCGTTAGCCAACCCTGAGCAAACAATTTTTGTATTATTGTGTTTTATTTAAGTAAAAGTGGATAGTTTTGATAGAATATTATAAAACAAAAAAATATAACCCAAAATTTATAAAAATATTTAAATGTAAATTATTAAATATTTTATTTGATTTTATTTTACAAAAAACTATTGACTATTAATTGTTTTTGCTATGAGGTGTAAGGCAAAATCAAAATCATTATTTGAATCAATTTATTAATCAATATTTTTCATGGAAACAATAAGTGAAAAATTATTCAAATTAATTTTTATTGAATTTTATATAATAATATATTATTTAATTTTAAAAACAAACATTAAAAATTTCATTATTAAATTATTTTTATAATTTTTACAGCTAATGTTATTCTGATAAAGAGAAATTTGCACGCATATTATATATTCTGCAAACCTGAGCGTGTCTCTTATTGAGAGCGACAGGGTCGACTTCGGCGACCACCCCGACGCAGCCGGCAATGACTGCAGCCTTGGCCTGTGCACCGCTCATGCCACCAAGGCCTGAGGTGACGTAAACGACACCCTCGAGGGTGTCTCTGTGCAGGTATTTGCGAGCCGCGTTGACCACAGTGATGGTGGTGCCGTGGACGATACCCTGAGGGCCGATGTAGCAGAAGCTGCCAGCGGTCATTTGGCCAAACTGCGTGACCCCCAGGGCAAAAAGGTCATCGTACTGAGCGCGCGAGTGTCCCGCTGATGGCACCACCAGGCCGTTGGTGATGACCGCCCTGGGGCTCAGGGTGGAGCCCGCTGCACTCGGGAATAGACCCATCGGATGGCCTGAGTACAGCGACAGGGTCTGGTCGTCGCCCATCTGACACAGGTAGCCGCAAAGGATGCGGAACTGCGCCCAGTTGGACAGCACTTGGCCGTTGCCGCCGTACGTGACCAGCTCCTCAGGGTACTGCGCCACCTGTGGGTCCAGGTTGTTCATCACCATCAGCAGCAGAGCCGCGCCAGCCTTTGTGCGCGCCGGGTACTCCCAAATTGGGTATGCCCTGCACATTTGGTTTGAAAGGGATGAAAAATAGTGATATACTTGTATTTTAAATTTGTGTATGACAAAAATTTTAAATTTTCAAATGAGTAATAATTCCAAAATTTTTTTTTAGTATTTTGTATTTTTCCAACTTTATTTAATAATAATTTTTATTCAAAACACAAATCATATTTATCAATATTTTAAGTGGCAGATTTTTTTATTAATTAATTTTCGTTAATTTTACAACCATAAAGATTTTTAAATTTGGTAAAAATTAAATTAAATTTTGTGGCAATGAATTTTTAGGAAATTTTGATTTAATACATGTACCATTTTTTAAATGACCGATACAGAGGACTGCAGAGGACGTCACCGATTAGATTTCAAGTAGTCGGTGCTTTCAGTATTATGTCCAACTTGGTTAAAGAGATACATGAGAAGATATTTTATCATTAATAAAAACAAAAATACTTTTCGATGGTAAAAAAATTCAATTAAATTTCTTACTAAAAAAAGGAAATTTTTATTGCAAAAAGAGACTATCATAACTATAGCGCATTTGAAAAATAAAAAATACAAATCATCAGTTTTGGATAAAAATTTTTTTTTAATAAAAAGCTCTGACCTGAGAGGGAGGGTGGGGCGGAAGCGGTACATGTAGATGTGGCCGAACTGCTGTAGCTCATCGTAAAACTCGATGGCTAACTCGGCGTGGAGCCGCGCTGGAAAGTATCGCAGGGCATTCTTCAGCGCCAGCTTGAAATTCAGATACAGCATATTCATATTACTACTTTTTTTGGCATTGAAAGCGACCCGCAGTATTAAAATGCCTCGCAGGTTGCATACTCATCCATTCTTAACTTTAAGGAGGTGCTTTTAAAAATAAAAATTTAAATACGTCTCATCTTCGTCGTTTACATTCTTAATGCGCAGGGGAAAGCAGGTTTTTATTTTTACGATCACCTGAAGTGACCTTCTCAGGTCGCAGTGTGACGCAGTACGAATGACAAGCATACAGCATTTTATATGAGAAGAGGCGAAAATATTTTCTAGAATAATAAAGGGCTCCAAGAATGTATGCGTTTATTCAAGGAATTGAAACATAAGAAAATATTACATTTCAAACTAACTTTTCTGGAGAATGGTATTTTTTTAGATTTATTTCCACATTTGGGCAACTAGTTCTAGGGCAGGTCGACAGTACTGACTTTTGATTTTTCTTTGTTTTATCATGTCCTGAGGATGAATAGAACTTTTCAATATAAACGTTGGGCTTTTCAAATAAAGAATTTAAGCGAATTTATATAATTTTTTCAAAACCCTGTAAAGGTAAGCAATATGAAAATGCAATATACATTTTAAATCACATTTTATTACATAATTATGTACCTTTTTTTGATTTGCATTGAGGGTGTGTTTTCTGTTAGGTGCGTGCGGCAGGTTGGGGTCCCGAGGGCGGAAGGGTGGCAGGGGGTCCAGGGGCAGGCCCCTGCTAAGTTCTTCCAGGGTAGCCATCGTGGTGTTGCAGGTCGCTTGCGTCTCGTCAAAGACACTGACTTGCGGGGGCCCAACCGCGCGCCTTTTATTACTTTCCTCTCTCTGCCCCGGCGAGTAAAGAAAACGGCAGGCAAGAGAAGGCGCCTTGGAGATGCGTTTTGATCGTCAAAACGAGATTTTCATGCATATAAAGCAATCATTTTATTATTGCACCCCCCCCCCCCCTCATAATTTGCACTATCCATTTGCTATATAGTTCCCATAATATAGAAAAAAGTTGTTTATTCACAGCAACAATGGAATTTTTACATATAATGTATTCTGTTTTTATTTTTTATAATTCAACAATCAATTATGGAAATAATGATTTACGTTATACATTACTTTTTAATTTTATTTTATTTTCACAATATATTTATCATACAACACACGATTCATAAATTATATCCACGTACGTTTGCGTACGTTGAAGATTATGTACCTCAGGTTTTGGTTCTAGTACGCCATTTCAACCACCAGTTGGCGCCAGCGACATCGGCCATCAGCCTGAAAACAAGTAAAGCAGCAGTGGGAAGGGGAAACTCGATGGACGAGACGATTGACTTGTCGAGTGTGATTCCGTGTTTGTTTTCGTCCGAGCCCTGCAACTCTTGAGCATTTTCCTCCGGCCGAGCGGGACGTGTCCGGGACGGCAGGATGATGAACGACCAGTTCCGCAAAGTGGAGCCGTACTCGCCCAAGTCGTCGCCGCGGGGCTCGCGGTCACCCGTGGTGTCGCGCCAGGACTCGACGGGAACCCTCAAAACCACCATTTCCCTTGGCAAGAACCCTTCCATCGTCCACAGTGGTCCCTTCTACCTGATGAAGGAGCCCCCGGGTGAGCACCAACCTGAAATAATTCCACCCTGACACCCTTTTGGTTCGCAGGAGAGCCAAAATTCTGGTGGCCTCTTTGTTTTCAATTATAATATGTCACTCCCCTTTCTTTCAAAACTTCCCATTTTCTCACTGATAAATTTAAGATTGTTTATTCAAACGACGAATTTCTCTTTGTGCAGGAGAAAGTGACATTACGGGGGCGACCAACTTGATGGCCCATTACGGACTGGAACATTCGTACAGCAAATTCAGCGGCAAGAAGCTCAAGGAATCTCTTTCGTCATTCCTGCCTGGCCTTCCTGGGATGATTGACACCCCTGGCAGTGCAGACAACAGGTTGGCTATTGAAACTCTAAAAGTTTGTAATCCGAAATTAAAATTTCAAATGTTTGCAGTTCGCTCAGGTCGTTAATAGAAAAGCCTCCGATTGGCGGCAAGGAACTTCTTCCTCTCACAAGTGTGCAACTTGCTGGATTCAGGCTGCATCCTGGACCGGTAATTTTTTTAACCATTATTTTTAGAGCCAGCTCTACAGTTTTCTTCAAAATTGTTATGAAACGAATGTCAAATATTTTCAAAGAATGTTTTTGTGAATTTTTTGGCATTACTTAATATTTATAATGGTTTTTATTGATTGAAGCCTTTAACCAGTAGGTTAAATTTGAAAATAAGTTTGAGAGTTTATTCATAATATATTTATACTATTTCGTTTTCTGAACAGAATGAAGTGAACAGCCATTTTTATTGGATTTAACTGACGCACAATGGAAATTTATGTTTGATACAAAAGAATGAGTGGATTCTCAACATTAAAATTTAATAACCAATTAAATATTTAATTTTCGGACAAGGAAATATCCAATGTAAAATATTTACACATAATTATTGCCTCTAGGGGTTAAATTAGCCAAAGCTTATGTAAATTTACAAAAGTTTTTTTTTTAATTTCTGCACTGAAATTATTGTGATTAAATTATCACTTTCACTTTATCGATGACTGGAATACTTGTATTTTTTGAAAAAACCAACAAACATTCTCTAGAGATTGAAGTTTGCAAGTTTCTTGCTTTATTTTTGTTTTCTTTTAGTTTGTACATAATTTAAGATTTTTTTCTACAAATTTATTCTCCATTAAAATGCATTGAAAATTTTGCTACATCTTAGATCAAATTAATGCATGAAAGTATAAAATTAAAATAAAACTTGAAACATTAGTTGAAAATATTGCAGAGCAATTTCGCAAGTAGAATTTAATGTATAATTTTTAATTTTTTCAGTTGCCAGAGCAGTATCGGTCTATGTACCAGGCTCCAGCAAAGAAGCACAAGTCAAAACACAAGAAGCACAAGCACAAGGCAGGGGATACGCCAAGCCAAGAGCCGAGTCTGACCGAGACAGCGCAGGAGACCCACGAGAAGAAGCACAAGAAGCAGAAGCGCCACGACGAGGACAAGGAGCGCAAGAAGCGGAAAAAGGAAAAGAAACGCAAGAAGCAAAAGCACAGCCCCGAGCATCCCTCCTCCGCCCCCCAGACCCAGATGCACTCCTCTGTCTGAGTCAAAGACTATCAATTAAGTTTAAATCTGTGAAATTGCAAATGGACAGGAAAAACAAATTTTGTGTGTGCAAATTGTTGTTTTAGCCTTATAATATTTATTACTGATATTATATTAAATTCTAATTGAACACAAGTGATGAATTTCAATTTAGATAATTGGATACCCTTTTTTTCTAACATTAAGATTTTTAATTCCTTGTGAAGCAATAATTAAAAAAAAAATATTTCAAAACACTTGTTCATAAATGATTGCATATAAGAAAGCATAAGAAAACGAAGAAAAAAAATACGTTTTTTAAACTTATGATACATGGAAGGGGTGAGCTAGGGGTGGTCATAGCGGCCAGAAACTGGTTTCTTCAGACGTTGGTGAGCCAGTGGTGAATGTGAATACCCCTTATTTGGCAACGACCATCTGCTCATCTGCTGCATTTTGATTTCCCTCTGCAAACAAGCACTACCTACACATTTTAAAAATCATATCTCAACCGTCTCTTCACAATTGGGTTTTGCTTCATTATTTCTAATTTTTTTAAAGTTTACTTAAAGAATTTTCGCATCCTTATCCATCTTGAATAATTAAGAACATTTTTATAAGTAATTTTGAATCTGAAGATGGTAGTTGAGAAACAGACTTTGTCAAGCAGCCAGAATTATTGCCCCCATCAAAGCCAACGAAGTGTCCAGGCCAATTCATCGCAGCAACAGCAACTTCCAAATTACCACAACTCGCAGCAGTTTCGACTCAACCCTCCGCAACCCCAGATTGTTGAATGGGTATTTATTTTTAAAAATATAATTCTTTTCAAAAAACTTAAATTATTGAACATTGAAGAAAAACACATTCAACATGAGGAAGGAGAACCTGAAGAACATGCCGACATGCAAGTTAAACAAAAATATCGCCAGCATAGCGAGCAAAGAATCGGCGCTGGTCGCCAAGTCGCTCAATTTGCTGCGACAAAATTTGCAGCCGGCTATAAATAAAGAGCTGCAATTAGTCATCTCCAGTTACATACAAGTTTGATCTACAATTTACATTTTTATATGAAATTTGAGAACAAAATTTTCAGAAATTTTTTGAACCGGCTGTAGAGAATTTGAAAAACAATTTCGGACCTCAATGTGTTTCTGAAGAGAACGTGAAAAAAGTTTGCCGATCAATTTTGGAGGACGCGAAACAGATGTACCTACCAGCGCAGCAAACGACAGTCTCTACTGGGGCGCCTGGGTATAGCGACTCAGAAAACAGTCAAGTAATATACTTATTGAAAGATTAACTCCAATGAAATCAATTCGCAAATTATATCATTGCATTAAATTTCAGAATCGAGTGAAAAGTGAAAATGAGGATATTCAAAGTGCGTCAAAGAAAAAGGTGAGGAGCGCACCTGTGCCCCGCATTCCCAAGGCAGACAACATTCGGCGGGAGGCGCCAAAATGGGACCCCGAGCGAATCAACAAGGAGACCCTCTTTGTCATGGGCTCCAGGTTAGAATTAAATTGCATGGAAAATTTTAAAACGAAAATTTCAGGGCAAACAAAGCAATGGGTTTTGGTCCAACGCGAGGCCGGCTGTACATAAAGCACCCTGAGCTGTTCAGGTACTCCGGTGACCAGGAGGACAAAGAGTGGCTGGTACGGCACAGCCTGATGCCACCGACCGGACAGAAGGCCTACATTATGATAATTCAGGACATCGTTGAACTTGCAAACTCTGAGGAATACAGGTTTTTAATTTTTTTTATGTTTAGTTGAAAATATTAATTATTTTTAAATAGGGAATCACCGAACTTGATGCTGCAAGAGCTTAAGGGTTTTGAGGCGCCCGATTCCATGCTGCAGAAGGTCAAAAGCTTCATGCAACACATGAGGACTGACCTGCCAGGTGGGCACAGGAGATACAAAAGGCCCACAGTCCAGCATGCACCCTTCCAACAACCACAGCAGGCAAAGAAAATTAAACATGGGTTGAGGCAAATTTAAATCAATTTCATGTTTCAGGTGCCTGAAATGCAAAACTATCTGAACTTCACTGAAGACAACAGAGTGGTTCTCTCAAACCAGCAGGCCTCAACAGTGGACTCGTCCTACTTTTCACAAGCTCAAAGATCAGGTAATTTAAAAGAGAAGTTATTTTTGCCTCTAAAACATTACCAAAATCTTCAGAATGCAACTTGACTGGGCAAATGTATCAAAATGCCCTGTATGTGGTGCCACAAGCCTTGCAGATGCATAGCCAGATGCCTAATTACTCTGTCGTGTGGAGTACTGACCAAGCTAACCAACAAACCTGAACTATATGTTCTAATTTTAATACAAACTGGTTTTTTCAATATAAAATTTTGGTTTAATTTATAATTAAATACTTAATGCATGTATATTTAAACACCTCTAAGGAACTCTGTGGTTTTTCCTGCAAATTCACATATCATCCAACTGAAAATAAAAGAGGAATTGTAAATTTGATTTCAATATATCTTGAGTTTAAATACCAAGCTGTCAATGTCCATTTTCTGCGACTCCTTGTCTGGAGGGGGTTCAGAAAGGAACTTGTTAGCCTCGACTCGGCTCATTTTTGCTTCTGGATTCTCCTCCGTGGTGATTGGTCCAAGGTTATCTGAATTTTCAATCAACAACAAAATTCCAATTTAAAAAGGAAATAAAACAATACCATCCATGATTTTAAGCCAAAGACCCAACTGGCCTCTTTCCGAGAGTTCGTTCCTGAATTCGGCCAGCCAGTCATTGTAGAGGGCAGGGTTGTCCTTTACACAGGTCTGGCGCATGACTCTGATGGCGGTCAAAGGTTTGTGCAGGTCGTGCTGCGAACGCACGGCTAATTGTAGGACAATGATCTGGCACTGACGGCAAACTGCAGAAAATAAATTAGAGTACATTTAGATGATGAAAAATGATCAACTCAAACCTTCATCAAGGGGAACGCCTTGTTGGATGAGGGCATGAAAGTCTTCGGCAGGGGTGATTGAGCCGACCTGAACGATTCGAACAGGTTTCGCCTGAGGAGCAATGGGAACCACAGCATCCAGATCCCCTTGCGAGTCTTCATCCAAAATTTGATCCCTAATTATCAATTGTAAAATTTTTAATCAAAATTTAGTTTGAAACAGACCTTGGCGCAGTAGGCACAGACGGTCTTGGCACCCTGACCTTTGCAAGGCTTTTCCTCACATCTGCAACTTTGAAAACTTGGGCCAATTGGGCGTCCATGTCTTCGGCAGCCTGCAAAATGGACTCGGAGGTCTCAAGAAGGGACACAATCAGTTTCGAAGGCGGCTCCACAGGTTTGTCTGCGTGCCTGGCCCTGTGGATGACCAGTCCATTTGTGTAGATCTTGACAGGATTTGGAATGCTCCTGGGTTGAAACAGTTCACTCTCATCTCTAGAAATTAAAAACCTTATAGCTTTGAGTTGAATAATTGAATAGTGAACTCACGGGCCAGCCTGCATGAGGTCCATTTTGTCTACTAACTCTCTGAGCACTTCGAGTTGCTCCTCTGAAGACTTCTGCTTTGTTCTTGGAAACTTGTAGTCGATGACGTCCTCGGCAAAGGGCAGTTCCACACTGATTAGTCTCTAATGAAGAATTTATTAAAATTAACAACGCAAACACGACAGAACTCTACAACAACAACAAAAAAAATACAAATAAAACTCACTTAAAAAAACAACTTAATAAAGTTTATTAAAGCGATGGCATTTTTCATACCTCATCACCAGGGACAATTCTTGGTGTCAGGGCGGCCAGGGTAAGTTTGCCATTATTCATGACGACCCTCCTAGCAATGGCTACCCTGCCCAGCTGGTGCATCTCATTTACGAGCGCCTTGAAGGCAACTACAGAAGCCTGGAAAATAATGTTGATTTAAAGGGAAAATTATAGAATTTTTAAGGTTCATACTTTGTCCTCCTGGACTGGGAAAATGTTTACAGTGGTTGCACCAACATACATGATAGGGCTGATTGTCTTCTGCTTGCAGAAGCCCAGGATTTTTAGACAGGGCAACCCAGACTTGTATTCCATGGCTGATTTATCCTCCTCTGCAATAGTTTGGTAAAAATTATCAAAATTGATGTAACGTTATTTGATGAAAAATGTGTTGAAACTTTTAGAATACAATAATTTCTTCATTTTACAATTAGATGCATCAGTGATATAATTTTATTTTTTTGCGAAATAATTCAAAATTGGTTCTTCCGTATTTAATTTTTTTTAATCAAATGCACTTGCAATAATTATTACCTGAAAAGGGAATGATGGAGGTGCCAAATTTGAAGCCCTTGATAACCTCCTCTTCTTCGACCATCTTTCTCTTTCCACCCTTGGTTGTGTACACGCGGTCGTACCCCGTTTTCTTGGCAATGTCAGCCGTGTTGCACACTTTGAAGTCCAGCCGACTCTCCTCGCACACCTGTTTGCAAGCGTTAAAACCAAAGCTGACCAAAATTCACTTGTCATACTTCATTGTAGTACTGCACTTTGATTTTGAGATGGGTTCCCAACTCGAGCAGCACTTTGGAATTCCTCGGCACCACTTTCTTGCTAGTGAAACTATTTAAGTTCATCATGGCCTCATCAAAGGTCCAGTAAATTCCAGAATTCTATTATAAATTGAAATTATTATTTAAAGAGATTAATTAATTTGTTACATATTTGAAAAGCAGGCGGAGTGCAGTTTGGGAATCAAATTCATCAGGACAATCCTGGAAATATTCCAAGTTTTCTTCCCTTTCCAGTTCCTCAACCCGCAGACCGATATCATGGCCACTAAATTTTGAATTGCGATTAAAATAAAGCACAATTTAAGCAAAATTTACATGACAAAGAGTGAGCAGTTGATTCCCTTGACTTGCTTTAGGGGCTTGGTGAGCGATCTTGTTTCATCTTTGCTACAGATGCCCTCCAAGTTTGTGACCAAAATGATTTTCACGCTCTCGAAAGCTTTGACCCTAAAATTTAAAACTTATAAGCAAAAGTAAAATAAGACCAGCATCGAATTACGGCTGGGCTTTGGCTTTTTTGCTCTTGGTATCAGGGTGCTGGTCCATTTCTTTCTTAAGGATGGTCAGGGCGACGCAAAGGGCACCGAGAAACTCTTGCTGAAGGTCTGTAGAGGTTGTCGAGTCCACCACATCCATCATTTTCAACTTGTCAAACTCGAAATCGCACTGGTAGTGCATGTTCGGGAAATCGTCCTCGCTAGCAGGGTGGTCAGTCTCCTCTGTGGCGAACTTTAGAAGACCTACTTGGTCTTTGGGCTCAAACAAAACCTATTAAATTGAGAAGTGATAAAACGTACTTTCGAAGAAAAACAAATTAAGCAAAAAACCTTGTTAAAGATGATTTTGTTGATGCACCGTTTTTGCTTCTCGAGGACCATCTCACCATCCGGCAACACATCTTTCGATCCTCTGCCGACGTCCCACAGCACAAAGACAAGATTCGGCTGATGAAATTGGAAAGATAAAGTTTGATATGTAAATTTGGAACACACAAGGGCAGAGATCGGCCTCACCTTTTTCCGGCTCATTTTAAATGAGGTAGTGTAAATTTACGGCAGCATTAATTTACAAAGCGTTCGGTTTTAATTATTTGGGTCTCAACTCCTTGTGACAAGCCTTATGTAAGTGCAAAAATTGCGTAAATTAAATGAAAAATCGAGGGGAAACCGGTGTCACTTACTGTGCAATGCTTGTTTTGATGAGAGTGCGAATTTTGGCCGGCAGGTGGCAAGAGCTGTGAGAAGTTGAATGGGAATGTGCGGGAAGGGAATGTGGCGCGATTTGCATTATGTGGGCCATGCCGGAACATGAATTATTAATTATAAATGAATTATTTATGAGGATAAATCGAATATTAAGCTCTTTATGCTGAAATCAATCAAAGATTTCCAAACAAAGGACTTGAGAATTCTTTAGATTCATACAAAAACTTTCAAAACTTTATTTAATGTAAAATTCTTAAAAAATTATTAATTATTAGAAATTAGAGTTTAAATGTTAAATGTATCTATTTTTAAAATAGTTTTTACTGTTTATAGTTTATAAAAATTTATGCGATACGCAAATGATAATTTGGATAATTTTAATAAAAAAAAAAATTTGCAAAAATTGGGTGCAAAATATAATTTAGCTAATTTAAGTCCTTCTGTGTATAAGAGAATAAAGTTTGAAAAGGGTTTATATGCGTTATAATAAAAGATGAAAAATGGAATGACTTGGAGCGTGTGTGAGAGATACAATTACACATATCTCGCAGAGAGTTAGAGAGGGTGAAGTTAGCAGGGATAATCTGCGCGCTGGTGAAAAAAGGGAAAATCCGGCAGAGCGGCGGCCACTTCCGGGCCCAGACCCACCGCAACGCTCGGCGGTGCGCCACCCCGCTTTCCACCCCCGCCCGCGCTTCTCTCGCTGGCAGCCGGAAAGCGGCAGCCGGCTTCCGCGATTCCTTACCTCTCGCTTATCTGGGGGTGCATCTCCCCTCGCTCCCTCGAAAGCAAGGGATGCTCCGCCACGAGATCGATCAGTGCGCACCGATCGACGTCACGCGTGACGTCAGCGCCCGCTTTGAGGGGAGCGCACGGATTGCGTCCAATCACGGGGGCCGGCGCGCGGACGTCCATCAGGGAAGCGCGCGCAACTTTGAACGCCCCATCGCTCCGCCTCGCCCTGCTAGCACTTGAACGGAGATGCGCCGATGCATTTTCCAAACTTCCGTCTAAGTATTTCAAAATCTGCCCAACAACCGATAGAAATTATTTCACAATTGATTGTCTGACTTGTTTGGAGAAAAATAAATTGAATTGAATAGAAAAAGGAATTTACAACATTAGCACGCTTTCGATCTTTAAACAGAAAATTAATATTTTGCAGAATATCTAACAATGAAAATTGGAATTTTTCAAGTACATAATTAAAATAAAGACAAATTAACATACAAAGGTGAAATTCCAATTTTTTAACACAAATTTTATTTTAATATTGTGTAATATTGAGAGAAAAAAAGTGATTGAAGAAAATAAACCAATATTTCACCTGTATGAAAACTTTCGCTAATGATTATATTATTTAAAAAGTAAAGCAGTAAAAAAATTATCATGTTTTCAAAATATGACACCAACAGTTTTGATCATGAATCGATTGTCATGACCTCGGCTTTCCATTGATGATAATTGACAAATAATTTATTTATAGATGGTCATGGGGTACCGTTTTGGAACAATTTAATGGCTTTATTTCTCTTACCATGATAGCTTTCCAAAATTATTACTTGATGAACTTGATGTTACTACAATATATCACAAACACAAGCTTTCCAATTAGTATACGCTATTTGCTTATTTTGATAGCCTTAAGTCCTAATTTATCCGCAATTTATGAAACCGCAGGATTAAAAATTCAGTTTTCAAAAGCGAATTCCAATGTTACTTGTAAATACATACATATTTTGATAGTTTAAGTGAAGCTCTTTCCAACGGTGCGCCTGCTCTAAAAAAATATATTTTTTTTTTTTTTTGATAAAATTTTTGGAAATCCGGGCTTGTGCGCATCTCCGTGCAAGTGGCGGGTCGGCCCTTGCATGGCCTGCGAGAGTCTGCAACCCGGCGGGCCGACGGAAGAGGGGCACCGCGCGCGCGAGAGAGCGATTCCCTCTCTCTGGTCGCGGGTTTCGGCGTGGAGCCTCCCCTACGCCGGTGAGTGGAAGGCACACCGCGCGCGCCGCCGGTCTTTGTCAGTCCTGTGTTGGTACTGTGCCCAGCAGCAGCCGCCGCACCACTCCGCGAGATCGAGACCAAGAGAGAGAAAGAGAGAGGAAAGAAAAGTAGCCCTTGTCGCTGGCCATATAGTTTGTCTGCAGTCAGCAGGTCGCACCGAGGTCCGCGAGTGCGTGTGTCTATAGTCTCCGTGCAGTGTCCGAGGGACATCACGTGCGTCACGCCGCCACCTTTTTTACTCGTAGTGGGTAGTTGGGTCGCCGGGTGGTCACCCTCAGCAGCCCTCTGAAACGAACGAGACACGCCGAGCACAACAACAACACCCAACGCAGGCAACGCAACTAAGACGCGCCGTCGTTTGTCCGTCGTTTGGCTTCAAACTTTTCCATAATTGCTACACCAGAGGAACTTTTTTACTTGTTAGTGATGGAGGCACAATCTCAAGATAGTGTCGCTGCGGGCTCCCCTGCCGAAGTCCCCAACGACCCAGGGTGAGTTTCAGTCAAAATTTTATTTTATTAAAAAAAAAATGAAAAAAAATTATTCGCAAGAAATTAAAATTTTCTGTTTTTTAGTTTCTTGACAATTATGTTATATTGTTGGTTGTGTGAAATAATTGGGGGTGGGGGCGATAAATCTCATTAAAATTTAACCCCGTGTCCGCTTGGAGATAAGGTTGGCGCGCGCCGATCGAAATGTTTAATGAGTTGTGCACCTGCTCTCTCACGCGCCGCCACCGCGCTACCCGCGCTTTAATGAGAGTGGAAATAGAATGGAGTGTCTAAAATAAAAGCACCAATCGAGTCAGAAATAAAGTGTCTCTCAATGTAAATAGACGCATCGCAGATTTCGTGAATCGCAGCGAAATAATAACACCGGCGCAGCGTGTGAGAAAAAAGCGCCGGTGTGAGAGAGAGAAAAAAAACGTACAGTTACGTCTTGAAGCATTGTCCTCCGCTTTTGCACGCCGAATTCGCGTCGGAATTTTATTTCGGAGCTTGTACGTTTGCGGAAAAGAAGCAGCCGGTGTTGTATTTGTTATTGACTTTGGAAAAATACACAAACGACTGGCTGCTGCGGGTCTGGCAAAATAAAACTTGCGCTGCCGTGCACGGAGAGGGCAAACATAATTTGCATTCAACATTTTTCAAGTTTGCTTGTTGCTGTAGTGAAAAGTCATGAAAATTACTCCCGAGTTTTAAGCAAACAGACAAACATTGCAATTGGGAAGGAAAGAAATTTCCTTAAAACAATGAAAATTTTTAATTAAAAAATTAAATTATTCATTTTCAAAAAGGAGATGTTAATAAATTTCACAAAAAGAAGTATAAACACAGATTCCGTCAGGGCGAATTGACCCATAAATTAGGCGCGGTAATAAATTGGCGGCGCGACAAGCAATACACGAAATAAAGACGGAGGTTGAAGACAAATTACCCGAGACAAGTTAGTCCTCTCTCTATATATTTAATGCATTATAAATTAGTCGTTTCCCAATTTGCTGCTTTTGTGCGGAACAAGGTGCGTGCGAATATTCAGTGTGGGCACATTTGCACATCAAGAGCGGCGCTGAATAATGCATGGAAAATGAATTTCCAGCGTCGGACGCACGCCGAGGGAGAGAAAGAACGAGGAGCCGCGCTCTAAAAATAATAACAAGAGTGATATCACGCGCTCGCTCGCTGTCCGTCCGTGCGCTCCTTGGGTGCACTGCACACACACACATGCTCCTGCTAAAATTACACTTTATTTTGGTTGCTGGAGAGAGAGCGCGAGCGTCTCGCCGAGACTCAAAAATTAGAGAGAAGCCGCACAAGAGGTAACGCGCGCGGCTCAGACTTTTCCTTCAATCGCAGTTTAAGCTGTCTGTCTTCAAACTCGACTTTTTGCTCTCGGTTGACGGCGATTAACACCCGACAGTCGCCACATTCAAAATGTAAAAAAGTTGAAACCTTTGACTGAAGTGCAGCCTCTATGACAGGTAGAATTAAATATATTAAAAGATGGAAAAGAAATTTGAGAAGAAATTAAGTTGTATTAAAGTTTATTGAAAAATTATTTTGGCAGATTTTTCTCAAAACTTTTTGTTGGGAAGGTAAATAATTATACTATAAAACTGCTAAAATTTGCTATCCAGGATTAAATTGTGAAGGAAAATTAATTTTAATATGAAAGTTAAACTTGTTTTTAATAATTAAAAATTGGTTAAGAAATTCTTCTCCCCGTAAAACGTAAACAGAGAAACTGAAATTTTTTACACTTCAAGTGTATTTTATTTTTAATTTTCATCGATACGAGTTTCACTTCTTTTTTCTGGAAGTTATAAAAAATGTCACAAACGAGTTACGTGCTGTTGTTCGTTTTTATAGCCCGGAGCGCACTGAACTGGTCAATCAGAGTCAATTTGGTACACAACAGTCTCTCGCAAATTGCCACGTGTGCATTTGTGTAGGTGGTCGTGCGAAAGGAAAATTGCATTTGCTGAAATAAGGGCAAATTCGTTCTCTCTCCGATTTGAATATCAATCAGAGGTTTATTTATTATATTATGTATGTTTCAAGCCGCGTGCTGAACGACAGAGTGAGAGAGAGAGAGACGTGTGTAATTCAATCAAATCGCGGACCGTTTTCTATGTGAACGCGAATGGGGCGGCCTGTAAACATTTTATTGGCCTGTTAGAAATGATTGGCTGGCTGTTTGCGCCGCCAGACAATTTGCTTCTTGCAACCTCAGCGCTTTTTTTTCACCGTCGCCGCACAAGAAATTGAAACTTTTTGGAACCTAAGATTTCGAATTTTGAGCGTCTCTTAAAATCGAAGCTTGCTGCTCTGTGAAGAAAAGTAAAAAATAAGAACGAGATTTTTTCGTCTTCATTAATGGCACAGTCATGCTTGCAAGTCGTGCTTTCGCATTCTCCACACACCGGCCTTGAACTTGCTTGCTTTTTTCTGCGATACATACAAGAAGAAGAGTTTGGCGAAATATATAGACGCGCACGAAAGAATGGAACGAGGGCTCGGGGAATCGGGAGGAGTAAATGAGAAACGCATCCGCGACTGCAGCCAGCGACTGGATGAAAAGGCAATTCCAGTTGTGCCGGCCGGCTGTGCGGCTATATTTAGGATTTAAGTCAAAGATTTATTCGAGTGTGTTGGTTTATATAATAGGGGCTTATCGCTGTGTGCTGGCCGAATGCCTGCGCGCAACCCCTTTGCCACCCCAGCTGGCACTGGACACGCCACTCGAGTGCGCGGTTCAAACGGATGATCCACGCACTGTCATCATTCCCAAAACCAAGTTAAAAAATACAATATTTGAGAACTGATAAAAAAAAACTGTTTTCATCAATAGGCGTTGGCCAAGAGACTTCATAACCAATTCTAATTATAAAAAAATTAAATTCAGTAATCAAAAAATAATTTATTAAAAACATTCTACATTTTTATATTTTTAACAGACAAGATTCTCAATAATCATAATAAGTACCTTTTTGAGTTTCTTTAGTAAAATTGAATTATGAATTTATATGAAAATATGAAGTTCGCTGGAATCGAGGTCATTATGCTGCTGTGCGTATGGTATATTAATTGGTGATGCGTGGGTGGTGCTACCAAGATTAATGAAATGGGCATCATTTTTCATGTGTTTGCCGGGAATGGGCGGCCCTGTGCGCGTTACAATACATTGACGTGCGGTGGCTGCTGCTGGCGGGCCTTTAAAATTCTATAGCTCAACCCTTTTCAACTACTATTACTAATACATAGGGCCACTCAATATGAAACCCATATTGCAGTGTGCCGCCCCGCTCTCGTCGTGCGGCCAACAGTATTGATTGAGAGAGAGAGAGAGAGAGAGAGAGAGCACGGCTCCATCCACTCTTTTTAATATTCCCCATTCATAGCCAACGATTTTTTTTTGCGCGTGTGTGATTTCTGGGACGTTGCGATCTGCAGATCAAAGCTTGAATTTTATACAGTTTTCGGCTAATACTCAAAGGACGCTATTTCTTGATTAAAAATTCCAGTGATAATTTTTGTGTTTAGTCTCAAAAAAGGCTCTTGAAATCTCATTAGCGTAATTGGATTAAAAAAATTCGTTGCGACTTTTTAATTTGACGCGAGGCCAAAAAAGGGGACGTTTTTCGGCTCAAGTGACGAAAGGCGCTTCGATCCGCGAGTGAAAAACCGGCGTTTGAGACAAATCCCTTCTGCCCGCATCGGATAGGGAGGCTGCACCCCATGCCGAGGGAAGCAAACTGCAGCTCTAGCAAGAGAGAGAAAAATTACAGCGAAATAATATTCCGCCTTGGTCGTCGTCGTGTGTCGGTTGGAAATAATGTTGGGATTCGAAAAGCGGTGCTCGCGCGCGTTATCGATTTTGGCGGCCGCGCGGCACTGCCACACAGAGAGAGCCCTGCTTTTGTTCCGCGTTTCGCCGAGAAAGGATTCTAATTATCTTCGGGGACGAACGTGTCTTTTCATCAACCACCCTTTGTTCCGACCAACAGACTTGAGCAACATTAACATGCGCGCCGTGCATGTTTTTCAAGCAAATTTTTTCTTACTCCCATGTCTTTCATCTTCCAATATGCCTACCAATTCTCAAATATTGAAAATTAATCTCAACAAAAGAAAGTTCTTGTTCTGGTTGACAATATATTTTTTCTTGCGTTTTTCAGTCTAAATTAATAATTAAATGGGATTTTTATAGTTTAAATAAAATTCAAAAATTTATAACAAGTAAATTCATCCAGGATAGGTTGTGCAATAATTTGCTAGTCAAATTTCTACAGGAATAAGATAGTAAGTACAGAAATTGCCTTCAATATTTAATTATGCAAAATTATTTAATTCATATTTAATATTGAAGTTAAATTAATTTAATTGGTGTATCACAAGGAAAATATATCAAGATATCCAAGTATTAAAAAATTATCACATTTTTTACAAGCAAAAACGTTGATTGAAGTTAAAATTTTAAATAAATATTTTGTGATACTTATGAGGTCCAAGCGTGTTTGTTTTGGAATAATTTATTGCTTTCAGAGAATTAGGCTGTGGCGTGCGTGTGATTAATTTTCTACGGGGGCGTCTGTACAGAGCGCAAAATCCGGGAGAGAAACTGAGAAAAAAAAACTATTTTGCGTTAGAAAGAAACACCTCGCGCTGCGTGATAAAATTAAACTGTGCTCCGCAGGATGGAAATAAATGGCTAATTTTTGAAAGGGAAAAAAATAAGCTACGGTTTATTTATTTTATTTGCCCAACAACAACACATCAATATCCAGCCAATTTAACAAATCAAGTGGCCAGTCTGGAAAATAAAAAGTTTAAAATTTGATTCAATTTGATCATTGTATAAAAGTTTAAATTTATTTTTCTTTGATACACCTGTTTTTTTTTTTTTTTTTTGGTGTGTTTTCATAAAAGGATTAAGCCCCCATGGTAATTTCCGTGTGACGCGGCAAGGCGCTTCCGTTTTTGTGCCAGCTTTAGCATAGAGGGAGATGATGAACGCGCCATTTTCTTGCCAAATGTCACAGGCGAAAAGTGCGACCTTTCCGCTGGCCGCAGCCAAGCCTATCCGCTTTAATTTGAATTTGCCAAACAGCAGCACTTTCTCCAGGGAATAATCCTATCCGGCTGAGAAATATCACGAGTAAATTGATTTATTTTTAAATCCAAGAGCACAAGGGGGAGAAGAGAAGAGGGTCTTGTACAAAAGCAGCCGTCCGTCTGTCGGCCCGCATGCATTAAGTAAGAAGCGCTCGTGAGAAATTTAAAATTATTGCAGTGTGTCCGAATTGTGATGTGGGCTCCGTAGCACCACACCTGCCACTCAAGGGAGTCATTTGCGCACTCCTTCGGGCTTTGTAACTTTCTTATGGTGTGCTACAAGAATTTGCATATTGTCTTAACGAAGGGTGCAAATTTGTTTGTTGGGAACTGATGTACAGATTTGAAGGCGAAAATAAAGTTTGCCAATTGCGAGCCCAGAACGAGCTGCGTGCGGTGAGACTCGCGGCCCTGAGAGACAATCGATAAATTTGTCCCAGCATGGTGCGTTTTGCAAACAAAGTGTGCGCCTCTCTCATTTGCATTCCCGCCAATCGCTGCACTTCGCCAAATTTTATTTTTGCCTAACATTGATTGAAAACTTTTATCCATTAAAACTGATAACTATAGTTGCAAAAATAATTAATAACTTGCTTCATATTATAGTGAAAAATAATCAAATTTATAATTTTTGTTGCATTCATGAACGCTAGATTGTTTTGCCATTTTTAATACAATTTATAGAAAGGGGAAAAGTTTTAAATCATTAAGGTGCATAACATTAAATTTTAATAGGGTAAAACGAGTTTATATGGAATATAACTTAAATTTTCAGCTCAATGAGGAATTCTTGTAATGTAACGCAGTGAGCCTCAGTTGAAGTAGTTTTTGTTCTTATCACGTACATAGCACAAATTCTGCCACAGGTAGGCTTGCAGAGGGTGGTAAACTGTTCCTCTTAGGCAGGTTTCCAACGCGTTCGAAAGGTAATTCCAGGGCTCGACGATCCTGTTTGAAAAAGAATCTTTGGCACACTCGCTCCGAACTTAATTATTTCTAAATTGCATCCTGTTTAATTTTTGCTTTGAAATAAAATAAAATCCTGAAAATTGTTGAAGGATGAAAATCGACGTTATTTACTGAAATTCATACTGTGAAGCCTTTTAACGGAATCTGAGAAGATTGTCGTTGGACAAGGAGCTTCATTCAAATCCCTGGAGTGCGCTAAATTTTTGAGCAAACAAGGTGTCGCGCGATGAAATACAGCTGGTTGCCTTGGTGATTAATGAACAATTAGCCACGACGAGCGTGCGTATATTTATTTACATTCTCCAGTGCAGAAGCAATAACGGTCGTGTCTCTCTGGCTGCTCCTCGCGAAATATATTCCATTTAGTGAAATGTATATTACGCGCCGAGAGAGTTGCAGCTCTTAAGACTTTTAAAGCCCATAAAAATGTAAACCCTCTTCTCTCTGCAAAATGTGCCGTGCCTACCTGCGAGAAAGAGAGAGAGAGAGAGAGCCATATTATTTTGACTTGCAAGTTTAGTGCTGCTCTGTTGGAAATAATACGCTGTTCTTCACCGTGTGTGTGTTTTATTAATGCACTTGCCGGCGCGAAAAGGAGAGCAACTAAAATCGTCCATAATTTGAAGTTAAAAGCTGCACATTATGCACAACAGAGTGCAGTTTCTTGAGAGTCAAACAACTTCTTTTAATTCACCCTTAAAAATCCATAAAATCGCGTTGTTAGCTCCGAGTATTCTCCTCTTTCGTTTTACAGCCAGGCGAATTCTCTCTCGTCGCGCACCGCGTTTTATGGCTCCGCGCGCGGCAAACTCACTTAAACACGATTCGTCATTAAATTTTCTTAATGAGAATGCAAGGCTGCACGCGAGAGTAAAAAAGAGCCACTTCTCCCAAACTCGGACCCTCTTTTCCCACCGGCTCTAAAATTTTACGATCATCTGCCGAAAAATTTATACCAAAACTTTTTTCTAATTTCAAGTGGGCGGAAAAAGATTGCATGGTTTAACGCTAGACAATTAAGATATCAATCTGTGCGAGTGATAAAATCTGTCACTGAAACTGACGTGCTGGTTTTTTTCTTGTGTTGCAGGAAGATGTTCATCGGGGGTCTCAGCTGGCAGACTAGTCCAGGTAAGAAAAATATTTTCGATATTGGCACCGCGCGCTCCGCATCGGATGGATTTGCCTGTTTTGGTATTAAAATGAGCTCGACGGCGGTCGGTATTGAAAAGTGAGCGCCCAGATATTGCCTCGAGAGGACCTCTGGCAAATATCACACACTCTCCGCCCGCCCAAGTTTTGGCAAACGCGCTCCAATATCGCACCGCCCGCCCGATTCAATCTCGAACAAACATTCTCCACGCGCGGGAGAAACTGGATTTCTGGCACTGTGCGTCAAATAAAAAGAGAACACGCGAATTCCAATAATCTCATTCGCTCCGCGCGAAATTTCGATTGAAAAGCAAACACCATTTATTTGTAAATTTCCAAAAAAAAAGTGACAGTAATTACATGCAGTCAATATTTTATTTTTATTATTCATAATATAGCTCTCTTTATAGAAGAGCAGTAAGCTGACTAAAAACGTTGAAAAATTCGGTCTTATGTGCGGGAAAATAAAATTTGACCTTTTACCTATATATGAATATTTTAAATTGAAATTTGCTTTAAAATTTGTGAACTAAAAATATTTAAAGTTAAAAAGATAGAGAGAAACCATGCCGATTGTTCTGCTTTTATTAAAATTTTGAATTCCTTTAAATTTTTGTACCAAAAATATAATTAAAATCTAACTTTGTATTTATTTCTTTAAGAGCAATAGATGAATTAATGTATAAGTTACAAATGATTGCCAATTTTCAAAAGTATTTATACACATAGAAAGGTCAGTGATCGTGCGAAAAGGTGCTCTGAAGATCGGTGCATGAAAGACAATCGCGGTGGTATCGAGGAGAAGGTTGTGTGATAAAGTGGGTGGCGCGGTAATTGGATGACGATAATTGCCGGCCTCACATGCAGCCGGCGAGAATTAGGAGCCGCTGCACAAATGGGATTTTGCCGCGCGCACTGATCCCTTTATAAGTTGCCAACCATCAACACTCCATATAACACACCTCATTACAGCTGCAGTCTCACACGCCAGCAGCAAAAACTGTACCTACAGCATCAGCGGAAAAGGAAAACTGGCCGTGGAAATTACAGAGCAAAAGTTTCGTTTGGCAACACAAACATCGCGCATTGAACGCGCGTGTTTTTCACGCTTGTTTGCCACTGCGCCTGAAACATGGCAGCTTGTTTAATTTTGAATTCCTTTCGCCAGCTTTGCGTCAAAAGAGATAACGTGCGCTTGAAAATTCTTATTCTTACGCACATTTGAAACGCTGTGAGACTTTTGTGGAAATAATTTTCTCACCGAGATAGAGACCGGATCGGTTTCAAAGGGACCTTGGAGCCCACAGCCGCAATCACGCCTTTGCGATCCGAAATTGCGATTTCCGTCCGTCCGTTGGGTCGGTGCTGGGGGAACTTGGTTGCATCGCGCGCAGATGGGATTTCTAAGGTTTCGCCGCAAACAAACAACGCACAATTCGCACCGACGAGGCAAATTGCTTTGAGTTGCCAGTGGCCGGCCGCTTCAAAAGTGCGTCTCTTTTGAGCCTCTAATTAGCATCTCGTCGGGGGCGACACTCATTACTCTGGTCCGGTTTTGTAGTTTGACCCGTCATGCGTTGGCAAGCGCTCTCGGTGCATTGGCTCGTGTCAAATCGCATTCTGCCACTTTTCCCTTTTGCCAACAAAAGTGCGAAACTGCCGGATGATTAAAACCTCCTTTCTGCGAAACTAATTTCACTCCACAGAAAGTTGAAAAAAAGAGTTGTATGAAAATAAGTTTCTTTTCTCGGTAATGAGCAAAAGTTTTGTTCTCTCTCTGATTGATAACAAGAAGCTTTCTGTCATTTCTCTTTGACAAAATTTTTAAAAAACCTTCTTTCCTCTTTCGTGCTAGAATGAAATTTTCGTGGCCACTGTGCGTGCTGGAAACAAAACCGGAGATCGAGTTTCGCGTATATGCATATATTCGCTGCTACTTTTCGAGGCTTTTGTTTCGCAGCGGCTACTCGAATTACCGTTTAAGCTCTCCTTCTATACCTGCCCCGCCACACCAACGAAAAATATAATGTTTTCGCCGAGCTGCTCTCTCATGGCACAGTTTGAATAATTCACGTTTTAATCGGCTGCTGCTCCAAGCGAGCGAGCGGTTTGCCTGTCACATTAACTTGCACAATTTGCTTTGACAAAGCAAACAGTAATTATATTCGCCGCTTCTCCTCGTATACATTCGGGAGAATTAAGCCGCCGCAACTTTCGGCCTTTTGGGGCGCGCACCACTTCTTCCCAGCGCGCACGTGTTTGCCGAATGAATTTCTTATTTACGACTGCGGAAGCGATCGATACAAGAGCGCCCGCCCGCCTCCGTCCAAAGGCGAAAAACAAAGTTAGAGTGGGCCCAACTTAAGAACAATTACACGAGATCGCCTCTGAAATTATTTTAAATTCAGCCCTAGCTGCGGTTGAGCAGCGAATCGAAAATACAAAAGGTGTTGGCAAAGCTACCGCAGGGTGAGCTGCAGTGATTCATTGCAGCACCCGAAATAAAACAAGCGCGACATCAGCGATTGCACAACACTCGTAACACTTGCTTTTAATTTCAAATTTATGGAGTCAAGTGCGTTACGAGAGCTCTATTTTGCGCCGCGAGGTTAATTGATGCAGTGAGAGGCGGCCAAGGGGGGCCGAATATCGGCCGCCAATATAAATAACCCCGAGCTGCATTGCGAGTAAAGAAGATATGCCACTGGGGTCGGTCGGTCAGACGAATGCCTGAATCGACACATGACCACGAGCTGTGCCCAGGCAACGGGTTAAAATTAATGGCAAGCCTTCTTGAATCGTTCTGCAAATCGTCCCTACTCAAACGTTGCAAACTAATTTCCTCAAGCATAATATAATATATGCTTCTCCAGAAATTTGCTCTTGACCAGTCTCTGATTAAATAAACTTACAAATTGAATTAATTATATCTATGTATCTAGGAAACTCTAAGGATTGAATCAGCAACACTTATGAATGAAATCCAAGAAAAAAACGTCAGATTTGAATTTCATAAACCATATAGCATTAAAGACAAGAGATTATATTTCAGTTAAAAAAACTCCAATTTAAAGATGAAAATATGATTCAAATAAATTTCTAAGTTTAAAAACTGTAGTTTTAATAAAATTGTGTTCATTTAATAAAATTTAATTTATTGGAGAAACAAAGTCTGAAAATCATTGTGGCTTAAAATTAAATTTAAAAAATTAAAAAAATATTATTTGCAACTAAAAAACGTAGAAAACGACTAAATTTTACCCAAAAAAACCTTTATTTAACTCATTTTTAAGCACTTCATTATACACGCTGAATTTAAATTGATAAAAACCAAGGTTTGATGTCAAAAACGAAAAAAAAATATGCTCAAAAATCTATACTACAATTTGTAAGTCTTCTATATAAAAAGAGTTTGTTTTCCCTTTTTGAGCTGATTTACTCTCATTTTAAAAGAATTGACTTTGGCGCAGTAGCAGCAGTCGTTGCGCGCGGTTTCTAATTCTGCGGATTGTTTGTTTTGCTCTCGGCTTTTTCATCCTAAAACCGGTGGAATTCGTGCGCAGTATACTACCTTTTGCTCCCCGGCAGTCGAGCGAGAGCTCATCATGCCCAAATGAAATATTCATCGGCGCGCGAGTGTGTTGTTGTTTGCACGGTGCGCCGCCGCCGCCGCTCTCCAGCTGAATAGCGGCAGAAAGCCGAGCGAGCCGTCAACGCGGAAGAGCGGCGCCAAAAATTGATACCATCAATCATTCAGCGCCGCTCACAACAGCACTTCCTAACTTTGAATTTTTTAATCAATCCAAAACAAAATCGTTCCACATGTCACTTCCCGCATATATGGAGAAGTTTATTTATAACTTAAATAAATACTTTATTAATTAAAAAAACCAAACAATTTGTCACGAAAGAAGTAAAAAATTAACTGCTTTAGTAAATTATTTTATTTATTTATTTCATTCAGAGATCATTTGAAAAGAAAAAACGGAATTTTCTCGAAACTTTCATGTTGACTCGCATAATATAAAAATATTTGTGGAAAGGTCCTCGAGTTGGAAACAAAAAATGTATATTAACGAATAGAGGTGCTCATTGATGGTCGCGGATGCGCAGAGATGAGATTCGGAGTGTCCTTAACAGACTATAAAATCCGCTGCGAGAAGATTGTGATTTTATTGCCGAGCTGCTTTTTGCACATGATTTGGCAAATTGCATTCGTCCTAATTACGTGCTGTTTGCTCTCTTCTTTGGGCTGGAAAGTCGCAAGAGAGGAAAGAAGGGTAATTTCATTTGGCCAATTGAGAGAAAGAGAATAAATTCGTTCGGTCGAGTGATTTATATTGAAAGACCAGTTTAAGTGGTTGATTGGTGAGGAGCAAAGTGGGTTGCTCTCGTTCATTCCACGGCTAAATATTAAATGCGACGACCCGAGCCAGCGACCGAGCGGCCGTCTGTCCGTCCGGCAGCCGGGGATTACGTCACGTGAGAGTTATTATTGACTCTCGTTTTCTATCAAATTTATTCATTCCCACACAGACCGAGCGACCGCTCTTCCAACTCGCATTGTGTTCTGTAAATTACTTTTTAACACTATATATACTCGCTGCTCCCCATCCACAATCTGCCGATTTGCATTTAGACCAAGTAATATAAAAAAGAGCTGACAATGGTTAAAAATAATAATCAAGTGCAAAGCGGATTCCAATACACTTTTTTTAAAATTTAAATAGCAATCAGGGAGACACTTAAATTTCAAAATAATTTTGAACATAAATTAATTTGAATTATAGCACTCAAAGTGGAAAAATTATACACAATTAATCAATAATATTTAATATAATTATGGAGAAGGAAAATATTTAATTCAAAAATTAATAAAGGGTTTGCTCTGCTTTTTAAAGATATCAAGAAAGTTTTATAAACCAAGACTTATTGTTAAGTTATAGAAATATTTTTAATTAATTTTATTATTATTATTA